TAAGTTAAGACTCTCTACTGCTTACCACCCGTAAACTAACGGACAAATAGAAAGAGTGAACTAGACTATCAAGCAGTACTTAAGATATTATATAAATTACTAGCAAGACGACTAGGCATCACTGCTACTAATAGCATAACTAGCGTATAACAACGCCGTACACTCTATAATAGGGGAAACACCGTTCTTCGCAAACTACGGTTATCACCCACGGATCCTAAGAGATCCGATCGGCAGGAAACTAATAGCAGAATTATCACGGATTCTAGCTAGTGGACTTAAACAGCTATACCTATAGCTATCTAGAGATATTGAATTCCTCGGATTAAGGATAAAAATGTACTACGACCGCTAACACTTAGAGGGACCTAACCTAAAGAAGGGGGAGAAGGTTTATCTTTTGCGCCGTAATATCAAGACTAAGCGACCTAGCAACAAATTGGATCACCTACGATTAGGGCTATTTGAAATTGAAGAAAAATTGGGACTAGTCAGTTATCGCTTAAAGCTACCGGAAAGTATGAAAAGACTCTATTCAGTGTTTTATATCTCGTTACTCGAACTAGCACTAGAAAACGCCAAAACTACTATAGATATGTAAATCGAGGAAGAAAGCGAAGACGAATATAAGGTCGAGGAAATCCTAGACAGACAACGAATTAGTGGGAAACCTCACTATCTAGTGAAATAGAAAGGGTACGATACCTCGGAGAATACATAGGAACCTATCGAGAACCTAAGGGACTGCCACTAGCTAGTTTAATAGTATAACCACTAGGCGAAGATAACCCTCTAGAACCATCACTAGCGGAAAAGGCCGGGCCGTCCTAGTAAGACGCGGGGAGGTTAGCTAACTCCGCTAAGATCTGATCGAAGTTCGGATTCTCGGTAGTAGCAGCAAGCTGCTCGAGATCGAGAGCAGAAGGAGTAGTCTGCTCTAGGGACGTTTATTTTTTATTAAGTATCTAGAGCAACTCAGTATTATGCTTAGATATCTTAAAACCCCTTTGTTTTAGGAAAGCTATCTATTTCCGTAGGCGACGCTGCCGAACTATAGCCTCCTAATATTGTTTTTGTTTATTTAACACTTATTAATATAGCTTAGCGAGACGAGACTATAAATCGTGTAACTCGGGTTCTAATAGATCGAGCTTATCTTTATTCTTTTCAATTTCGGAGGATAGTTTATCCTCGGCGCGGTTTAACAAATCCTATTCCTTGCTAGTGTGAAAGTCACGCTTACACACACGGCCCGCACGAGTGTACGACGCATATTTCGAATAACGACGCGAACGATCTATTAGACAATCTACCCTAGCAGCACTATAGTGTTCGTAAGAAATTAAGGAAGTGAAACTATTATTCTCGATGTATTCGGCTTAACGGTAATAAGCATCGGTCGAGTCGCTAGGAAGTCTAGGGGAAGGATCAGAAACGAAGTCAGCCTTACGTTTAGGTATAACGAGGACACATTATTTTAGAAAAAGAAAACTATATCACTTACCTAAGGGGGGACCGCAGATTTATAAGTCTCGAGGACGAAACTCCTAGGAGGGGGAGGTAATATTACGGACCTACTAGGCACTAATCAATTATAGGGCCGCAACTTACTAATAGGCCACCGAGAGCTAACCGATCTATCTATTATTAGATCACGTGTAGTACCTTATACTCTAGACACCCCGAGTATTCAAGGAAAAGAGAAACACAATCATGCTTAGTGAGCGCTTAGTAAGCAAAAGTATGATTGACCCTAAGCGGACCTACCCGGCAGACTTTATCCTATATATATGTAGCTCTATATAATAGATAGGGTCTGCACGCTAATAGGCCACTTTCGGCCTTCCGTTCGCCGTCTTATTGTATACCGCAATAACCAATAAGACGACCACCACGTGATTATATAAGTAGTAGAAAGGTCAACAGTCGATAGGTAGATCTTGCTAAGCCAGATCTACCACTCTACTTTCTACTGCTCTACTTAGGGAGGACTTAGGATATATAAGGACACTTATTTATATATCTAGTTTAGTTCTTCGTGTTCAATCTTATATTGTTACTTGTGTCTACTGTTCAGAACCTTTAGTGACTCGTACAACTTGATTATAACTTAACAACACTACGACCAGACCAATACTCCGGTATAGATCTGTTCGGCGCTCTATCTGGCATCGCTCCTCGATACCCTCAAAAGGACTTAGCCCGTATAAGGCCTATCAGGCAACGGTACGGTTGAGAGACAGATCGTTGACGTTGGAAGCAGAAAAGCATCAGGCAAGTATAACCCAGGAATCTTCTAGCATAGCGACGACCCGTTAGTCGTGCGTAACACCGAACTGCCCTCCCTTATTCGGCCTATTTCCTTCTTAGCCCCGACTATAGCGTAGGTGTTAATCGGCCGACCTATATTTGACCTCTGCGTATATAGGCGTATTCGCCCTACACTCTTTTAGGATAATTATCCCTACGTAGCGGGACTACAAATCTGCCTTAGGGCCGACACACCGCGCGAGAGCCTTTGTCGACCCTAACTAATAGCGCTCGCCCCTATCTAGAACCGAAGATAACTAGATTATATTACTTAGTAATAGACTGATTAGACTATCTTAGCCGTGATTCGCGTTAGCCGGTTCTTACTTAGTTAGCGTAGTTAAGTGACTAAATAGGGATAGGTTTTTTTTACGATGACTATAATAGTTTACGGCGGTTATGTCGGGGCTAGGACGGCCTCGGGATATATAAAGTAGCTAGGCGACGCCCTAGGCGGCGCGTAAACACCCTCTCCCCTTAATTTCCACTAGTGTATCGCGCAATCGATTCTAGATATCTACGCGTCCCCGCCTATATTATTAAGGCGCCTTATGACCGTATTACCTATTGGTTCTATTAGTGATTAGCATAGAGGACGAGATAGAAGACAAGGAACCTATCACGCGAGCTAGGGATAGAGGGGGCGTGTGTCTCCGTGCGAGTCTAGATTTTAAGCGTTTTGTGTTCTCGAACTATAGATCGACTAGCTAGTAGAGCCCGTTTAAATCAATAATAGTGATAGTGGTGTAGATGATACGTAGTTATACAGTTCCTTAGGAACTATAGCATCGTTATAGCATAATCTCGGGGGCACGGATATAGGTACGGTCGCCCGTATCTTTGAGACTACGTAGTCCCGACTCCTATTATAAAGGCGCCTTATAACCGAAATCCTCGTTAGCTTCACGATTGATTAGCTAGAGGATGATATAAACGGATAAAATATGGTTTATTCCTATAATAGTAGCGTTATACGGACTATAGATAATAAAGAAGGCGTTTGTCTCTGTGATACTCCGTCCTACGCGTTTCGTCGTCTATCTATAGAACGACTAGCAAGTAGAGCTTAATTAACCTAGGGGTGATAGCACTAGGCGCAGACGATGCGTAGGCGTGTAGTTCGTTAGTAATAGTCATATCGTTATAGTATTCTCGGGATCTTTATAACTAGCGCTACGAAAACTAATCTATCAAAGATGCTAGTTAGTCGCTAGCATAGTTAATATAGTTTATTGCTCTACAAACGCGGGGAATGTCCTAGATCTACGACTTATCTAGGTCGTGCTTTAAGCATAAGTGTTGCAAAGCGAAAATAGGCATAGAAGGGACCACCATAGTTCGCATTTAAGGTATATATGCTCTATAGTAGCTCTTCCGGCGCCTTATCTAGTTAAGTAGCTATTTTAAGTAGGGTTAACCACTTAATAGGGACAATATTGCTATCTCGGACAGACTTTAATATATTATCTACCTTATATTATGCTTTTCTTTATATCGAGATTTTTCACCGTAGGCAGTCTTCCTATTCTTTCTAACTAGACCCTTAGGTCAAATGTTCCGTCGCTCAAATCATTCTGATCCCCTTTAAACTTGAATGTATACCCGACATCGTCCCTAGGCTCTTTCCTATTAGTATAGTGGATACGACAAGGGCAAGCTTAGTAGTTTTTTGTTTTATATGCCGTAAGCCTCTCCCTATGTTCAACCGTTTTAATATGATACACTACGCCGTCGACCACGGAGTCTAGAGTATCTAATAGTGTAGGGTATTGCCCCTATAACTTGCACTTATAGCCCGATAAACGTGCTAGGCGTAGCTCGGGCTTAGTTTCTAACCCTAAAATTTCACGCACTATAGACGGATCGGTTAACGTGCCATAGAAGAAATAGGGCCTAGTAGGTGCGTTAAATAAGTCCACGTACTAGGGTGGGTTTGGTGCTTAGAAGAAGTAATCCGAAGGGGCGGTTCTGAGTTTTAAGACGTAACTAGAGATTTTCGAGCCAGGAATTTCCGGAGGTAGGGGGCTGCTAAGATTCATCTGCTCTCTTACACTATCCGACATGATCGGAGTTAAGAATAGAAGGGTATAAGTGCTCACTAGAAAGAAAGGTTTATGTATTAAGATTAGTGCTAAGAGCGAAGTTCTAATTGTAACACCCTAGTGTTTGTTATGTAATCACTACGGGGTCCCCGATTAGGCTGTACCCGCCCGTTCATCACAGCGGTCTAGGCCGGTTACGCGCTCGCGCTAGTAGTAGTGCACACACAAATGTCCCCACGGATTTCCTACACCACTAGCGGTTATTTATATTTAATATTATTGTAGCTAACCAGACCCTAGGTTTATAAATGTAGATCTTCTAGTGAGCCACTAGTGTTCCAAAGAGGCACCCGAGGAATAAGATGGCTCACTCTAGTGGTTAGAGAGACAATCGATAAGAGCAATAAGCGCCGGAAGGTGATATATTTAGTCGTCGGCTGGTTTGCATAGTTTCGAGATATTACGCGCTTACCTATAGAAGGCCAATATAAGTATAGGTATTCGCTTTCTAATTGTTATTGTACACTAGGTTTTCACTGATTTAGCCGTATCATCTTAGGTCTTTGTATGATTTTCTTCGTTATTTATACTTCGAATACTCGTATTTTGTGGCCTATTCTGCTTTAGGTATATTTTGAGAGAGCTCTAATGTCTCGACCACCCCTACCGCCTCCTCCTCCTTTAGCGGTAAGAAGACTAACCGGTATGTTGAATAGGTTCGTGGCAAGTAACTATTTTCTATTCTAAATTATGTTACATAGTTAGGAAAAATTCTGTACGAGCTAAGACTCCTAGCTATCCTATTAGAAGCTTTAGCATCGGAGTCGAGGTTGAGTTTCTTCTATAACCTCGTGAGAATATCAAGGCAGCCGATGATATTAGGCAATTTTCTAAGGCGGTTACATCTTCCTAGAATGCTTTTATAGACTAATTAGAGCCCGGTAGACATCCACGTATGTATAATGCGATAGATGAATCCTACTTAGGGCCTAGGTTTGCCGAATGGTCCCTTGACTTAGATTCGACAATTGAAATGCCGAAGAAAGGCCGTGCACTATATAAGTAATGTTCTTGATCACAAATAATACGATCTAACAAAGGATAAATAGGGGGCTTAGAGAGTATTTCCCCCATTTTTAGGGCACACGAGGGCTCTAGGTAGCGTTAGCATATTGAATTTATATGGAGATTTCTTCTCGCGGATTTCTATGTCGATTCTAATGCTAGTTACGGCACTTATATATATCTATCACGGGTAGGAGGTTACTCACTAAGCGATCTTAAGAAGATTTGCCAAAGTTTGATACACTTCGAGCCTGCTTTTGAAGCCATTCTTCCGGACGAACGACTCGGTAATAAATACGGACGAAGCAATTGGCTAGATAATAAGAATTTTGGACACTAGAATCTATCCCGAAGGCAGAGTATTGCCGTTATTTAGCGAGTGTCGACTACAAGGGAGCTAGTACTACTTATGAACCCCGATTATAATAAGATGTTTGGTTAGAACTTTCTCTATCTACTAAACAATCCCTACGGGACAATCGAGTTCCGGCGCGGAGCGGCGAGTACTTTAGTGCAAGACGTCTTTATCTATATAGAGATTGCGATGTCCTTTCTAGAAGCCTCAATCCGGCTAGGAGATATAGAAAGTCTTAAGAGTGTGCCCGCCACTATCGGTGGTCTCTAGTGGTTTATTTAAGCTACAAAGCTACCGGACGGCATTCCTAGATTATTTGACTCCCGCTATCTTAAGCTATTCTTCGCGGGGAAGAATCAAAGTGCTTTTCGTGAGCTAAGACCACTAGGTATTCTTTCGCCTTATAAGCTAAATAAGCTAAATCGGAAGAAGGAAGAAGACGAGAAAAAATGTTGCTATGGTTAAGATGCTATAGGAGCCTTATTAGAGCTAATTAGGTCTTATAGCATCGATACCCCGATATATTCCTCTATACGCCGAAACAGCACTTAGTATCTTCTTTGCTTTTCTTGTCCTTTCTTAATTGATTATTGCTTTTTTGTTATTTCCGCGGCCCTGTTGAGAGTTTAACGGGATAATTATATACTTGGCGTTCTCCTCTTACGATGCTATATACGCTATGCTATTGAATGTTTATGTATTTAGACTGTCTTCTATCCTACAATTTATAGGTTATTAGGCAAGAGATAATCCTCTTAAAGCAAGACTACGATATCTGCCTAATAATTGGCTATTTTAGCACACCTAAGGGACTAACACAAACCTTTATCCTTAAATATAGCGATAACAATCATAATAAATAGGAGGATGCTAAGATATCCAACCATTATCGTGGATTACGCTTAACAAATACCCTCGGTCTATTATGCTTTCTTAAATATCAATGACTCTGAAAAATCGAGTGTCGGTTTATCTAGATTGTTATGCATTATAGACGAACGACTATATAGACCTAAACCATGATTTCCCTCTATAGAGCTTAGACTTCAATCCTATCGTGAGTGCTAATAAAGGCTATTATAACGATTAGGTCTATAGCTATAACCGCTAGCATAATTCTAGTAAAGTGGACTTATTTACGCTTTAAGATAGTCATGCTGCGTTATGCTTAGCCTCTAATAGTATTGCTATTTTTGATAAGAGTCTTAGTTAATAGGGAGAGTGATCTCAAAATAGACATTCTCGGTCTTTAGGATAACATTTTCGATCGAGAACTTATTCTCGCGCTAGGCCATATCCTAACTTGTAACACACAAGGGTTGTAACCGGTAATATAGGCCGCTTAATACCAGTATCGACACCGAGGGCATTACGACGCTAGGGTTCTACGCTATATTTCCCTCAACCGGTCCGGAAAAGCCTGGAATAGGACAATCTAGCTTTTAATCTGATAGTAAAGCAAACAAAATGCCTCAATTAATCGATTGCACCGATCGATAATAACATCGGGCAATATACTCGCCTACGGGAAAGCATATAGGCCTTTAGACAATTACCTATAAGCCATCTGTTACGCACGACTAACGGGTCGTCGCTATGTTAGAAGTTTCCTGGGTTATACTTACCTGATGCTTCCCTGCTTCCAACGTTAACGATCTGTCTCTCAACCGTACCGTTGCCTGACAGGCCTTATACGGGCTAAGTCCTTTTAAGGGTATCGAGGAGCGATGCTAGATAGAGCGCCGAACTAACCTATACCGAAGTACGGGTCTATTCGTAGTGTTATTAAGTTATAATCAAATTGTACGAGTCACTAAAGGTTCTAAACAGTAGACATAAGTAACAATATATGATTGAACACGAAGAACTAAACTAGATATATAAATAAGTGTCCTTATATATCCTAAGTCCTTCTTAAGTAGAATAGTAGAAAGTAGAATAGTAGAACTATTCTACCTATCGACTATCGACCTTTCTACTACTTATATAATCACGTGGTAGTCGTCTTATTAGTTATTGCGGTATACTATAAGACGGCGAGCGGAGGGCCGAAAGTGGCTTTGTTAGCGCGTAGATCCTATCTATCATATATAGGCACATATATATAGGATAAAGTCTGCCGGGTGGGTCCGCTTAGGGTAAATCATGCTTATACTCACTAAGCATGATCACGTTTCTCTTTTCCTTAGATACTCGGGGTGTCTAGAGTATAAGGTACTGCACGTGATCTAATAACAGATAGATTGGTTGGCTCTCGGTGACCCATCAGTAAGTTACGGCCCTATAATTGATTGGTGCCTGGTAGGTCCGTAACACCATCCCTGCTTCGATAAAAGTGCTTTAGTCCTTACCGATATTTTTGATATATAGGGGTATTACGGCATAGAGACTAAAGTGCTAGATAATCCCTAAGTCCGTAAGATAAAGCCATACTCACATAACAAATCTCCTGTTAACAATTATTAAAAATAAATTAAAAGAGAGGTTAAGAGGAACATTATCTATCTATGTAAGTTAGCGAGAGTATTAGGCCGGACGTGACTATTGAAAACGTTCCGTCGATACGTCGACGCTCATAGCGTTTGATTGAGAGGACTAGAGCCTAATGCTATTTCTACCCTTATTAGTGTTTTATTCCTATTGGCTATATCCTTTGTGTCTTTTTATATGTTAGATGTGTTTTTGTTATGTCTTTTAGTAGGGACTTTATATGTCTTTGAGAAAGTAAATAAATATAGTTATGAGGATATTGGAATAGCGATATAGAGAGCTTAGAGCATCTTCTAACTTTTAAGACAAAATTGCGTAAATAACTAAGGAAAGACCTAGTATTAGTCTTAGCACCGAACTACACGGTCTAATCAAAGGCATACTATCACGTGCTATCTAGAACGACTAGCCCCTTACTCTTTTCTATTCTTCTACTCCTTTCTTCTTCTGTCCTAATTTTTATTCACCTATGATAGAAGGCATCCTATTCTTCTAAGACCTAAAGGCACCTTACGTATTATCACGCTTAGAGGTTCTAGGGGTATTCACTAGGATCCTAATAACTAAGTTCTTAAGGTACCTCTTAAATATAGTACTTAAGGTTGTAACCAAGAGGTTATCGTATCTATTGTAAGCAGAGAAGAGTTCTTAAAGGAGTGTATCGTTCGCGAGAAACTTATTTATTAGGCCGTCCTAAAAGACGACCCTAATATCCTAAAATGCCTAAGTATCGCCGAAAGAGGAATCTAGCTCCCCTATTTATAGTATAGGGATGTCCGAAGTTATCTCTAAAACCATGAAATTGATATAGAGACCCGAGATCGGTAGATTTAAAATGCTATTAACGCGATTGCTACTATTTATGTATGTGGTATCGTCTACTCCGATATTAGTCCGCGTAACTTTCTCGTTACTAATAACCTTTCAATTTAACTATACGACTTCGCTAGATCGAGAATCAATAATCTCCACTCCTTAGTTAAGGAGGAAACTCGATACCGGTTACCTTTGTCACCTTCGTCGCCTCGGACTCCTATCACCGATCTTTTTGCACTTGGTTCTTTTATCTACGAAATCTCTACCGGTATAAGCCCTTTTCCTAATCTCGATAATAATGAAATTGAGAGACGGTACGCCTCGCTAGACTTCCTAAGTCTAGATAGCCTTAAATACTATAAGGTTATTTCTAAGTGCTAGAAGTCGCAATACTCTTCCGCCGGTATAGTAAGGGGCGATATTCGCCGCCTCCGTAAGCCTTCTACTTTCGATACGGAACTATTTAGCCCCTTATTCATTTTTGCTATTCTAGCGATAATTAGCATCGGCTTTACTATCTAGAAGTATAAGGGGCGGAATATATAAGACTATCTATTGTTTATTTTCGGGATTACAATGTATAGTCGAAATACCTTAGCTTAGATTTTACTTCAATTCTTTTAAGAACTATTCGTGCTATCTCTCTTATATAAGTCTAATCGATAATCTTTAGCCCCTAGTCTTATCTTAAAATCTAAGAAAGATCCGTGCTATGGTATAACGAGTATTCTCACTATGATTGCGTGTTAGTGCTTTCTCTCTATAAACGATGTCATAACTACTTACTTTGTTTTTCTTATATTCTAAGCAAACTACCATCCTTTTAGTGGACTTCGGGATCGGTACTATCTGCTTGGTTTCTCCGCAATTTTTTTTATAGGGCATAACAGCGCTTTCGGGCTCGGTATAACCGTAACTATATTTTATAGGGCTAACGGTGAGAGTGTATATTTTACTTATATATAGTGAGCAGTGTACTTCGTTGTAAAGGGGTCCTACTTACCTAGCTGTTGATGCTTACGTAGGAACTGTTTGGCGTGAGGTTAGAGGAAGGTAGAGTTAGACGAATTAAGTGAGAGATGCCTAGATATAAATAAACCGGTCTCCGAAGCTTGCTAGATATACGCGGCAAAGTAGAGACACTAATTGGCTATTAAGTTCTGCGCATTTTCTCTAAACATGATAGCTAGTTAGATAGCGCGCGCTATCTAGACCCCTAGAGATTGATCCCCTACACGAGCCGTGTGATAGAAAGACAAGGTGGTGTTTGGCTTTTAGCCCTATAGTCCTCTAACTCATATATTGTATGTGACTAATAAGGCCTTTACTAGCAAATCCTGGCGTAGCGCTAATGTATCTCTCTATCTCTCTCTCCCTGTCCCCGTTTTATTCTGGACCGATCGATTGCCCAACATGCAAGAAATTGTCCCTCGCTCATATACCTTTTGGTATTACACTCCATCACTGCCTGCGGCAGTCATCTTCATGCTTATATTCATGGGATTGACTGGGCTTCATTCCTGGAAGTTGTTCACCACCAAAACATGGTTTTGTATCGCTTTCACCCTTGGTGGCTTGTGTATGTTCACACACTTTGGAATTGATCTGTCTACCAAGCCCCGAAAAAAGCTTACCCTTCTTTTCTAGTTGAAATAATTGGCTATATTGGTCGCGCTATCGCACATAGTAATACCACTACTATGGGGCCATATATCTTGGAAAATATCTTCATTCTACTCGCTCCTACGCTATTTGCCGCCTCCATTTACATGACTCTAGGCCGTGTAATTCGTCGCGTCGGGGCGGAGCATCTTTCGGTTATCCGCGTCTCGCGTCTGACGAAGACCTTTGTCTGGGGTGATGTATTGTCTTTCGTCGTCCAAGGCAACTCGTCCTCTCTCTCGATTCTTGGTTATCCTCAATGGGCAAAAGTTGCAGTCATTGGTGGACTAGCGATTCAGCTTGTGTCATTTTCCATTTTCTGGATCTCAGCCTTCGTGTTTGAGAGACGCATCCGCCGCTACCCCACTCCCGAATCTCTCCTACCAGGGATTCCGTGGAAGAAGGCATTGTATATGCTATATGCTGTCAGTGCCTTGATCATGATTCGCTCAATTTTCCGCATAATTGAGTATGTGCTTGGAAACAATGGGTATCCGTTGCAACATGAATGGACGCTTTATGTCTTTGATTCTGTGCCGATGGCGATTGTCATGATTATCTACCTCACGTGGTATCCCAGTGATATAAAGTCCAGGGCTGATATTGAGGGAAGCATGCCCCTTGCATATGTGTACTCGGAGGTCTGATTGAAACCTTTGAAGTCGGGATTGTCTTCCAACTTTGTCTTTTTTTTTCAAATGTTCTGTTCAAATTCAAATGTTTCTATTTGGCGGTCTCTATTCTCTTTTCTTTTGTTCCTATAGAAACGATAGCATTGCAGCCGTCTTTTTGGTTGAAGTAATATGGGAAAGTCATGCAATGTTTATTAGAAAGTCCCCTACCTCATACGCATAGAGTCAACAAGTCAAGCTCACTACACATAATCACTGTCATCTTCTGAATCATCCTCACGGTCCATACGCATGAATCTGTCAAACAACAACCCCGTCCTGTGAACCTCTCACCCTCCATTGCCGAGCCATGTCTTGGCCATCCTCGCGTAGAGAAGTCGCTATCCCCCTTTGGGTACTCTCAAAGAAGGCAGCTTTAACGCTTCGCTTGATACCTTGCCCAGGGTATGCGACAAGGCCGATGGAGGCTGCGGAATACAAGGCATCAGCGACAACGGAGCCTTTAAAAAGCAGATATTGAGAAATAGCAAAGAAATAAGATCTTACCGTGACCCATCTTAGCAATCACGCCAAAGGTTCCCTTGAATAACCCACTAGCAAAGCCTAGAGCGCCTGCGTCTCTGGCACCCTTGTATGGTTGATAGAACGGATCAACACAGCTTTCAGCCATACCAACAGCGAAGGTTCTGGGACCAGCTAACATGCCAGACTTCCAGTCCGTGACCCTATCACTGTTATGAATATTGCCTCCATATAGACCCGGAAGGACACGAAATCCCTCGGCAGCAGCCAATGGTACGTCGACCATGGTACCGGATACGAACTTTCCCAGAAATTTTCCCGAGGCCTGAGTCAAGGCTGAAGCCATCGCGCGAGCTTTGCCTTTCTCCTTTGGCTCTAACTTATTGGCCTCTGTCAAATAGTTCATAGATCGAGCTTTCCGAAGCGACGAAGAACTTTCTCCGGCATTTGACGATACAGGCGAAAGCAGCTGCGGCGAGTTTTTCGGTGAGTGTATCGAAGATAGAGAGTCTCTGCTACCTCCCTTGTAAACTTCGTAGGGCTTGTAGATAATATTGCCTCCCGCTTTGAGCATTTCGAATGCCATCCCCAAGCCAGCTGAAGAAACGCCTGTCACCGGGTCCCAGCGTTTGTTTTCGATGTGGATTGGGCATGCTTGGTATATTTGTGTAGAGCATGATAAGCTTCAAATCTGCCAAGAACGATAATTGAACTTACAGTTTCAGTTTACTCGGGTCTAGCACGTGGTTCTCAGCCAAGATTTCTGCAGCAACCTTGGATAGGTGGTACGTTCTTTTCCCTTTCTTGTATCTCAAGATGCTGGGAATTGCGGTAGAAGCTCACATTCGGTAACGTGTGGGAGGTGTCTGTGAAAGGAGGCCACGGCGGCCTTCACTCCTTGGTCTTGCTGCATTTTATTTGCGACATCCTGTGCAGCGCGGGTTGCTTCAGGCGTCAGGCAATAACGAATTGCATGGACAAGGTTTGGTATATTTAGTTGCTTATGTGGTATGGGATCTGGGCCTGCATGAGCTGCAGAAGTCATATCTCCCCAGAAAGGTTGACTAGAGATAGATAAGTCAGAAGAGGGAAAAGCTGTGACACTCCAGCTAGATTACCTACTCGCCGAAAAAGGGTACAATGATGGTCGGCTTGCCATTTCGCAGCACGCAGGCTGTTGTTCCGGCACCGCCATGGTGTACAACCGCACAGACATGTTGAAACAGCCATTCATGTGGGCAATCGTCCAAATAAAGTATATGAGGCAGGTCTGGCCCATTCAGGTTACTCCATCCACGAGAGATGATAGCTCGAACACCAGTCTCCTGGGTCGCTTGTAGAAGGATCTCCGCCATCCTTCCTGGATTTTCAATGACGATGCTACCAAATCCAATGTAAATCGGGGGAGGTCCGGAGTTAAGGAATGCAACAACCTCGCAGTTGGGCTGATAATCTGGGGGTCGCGGAAGAAAAAGCCGCAAACATCTAATTCCTATATCAGGAATTATTTTGGAATGAAGCAATAGGAGAAAGAACCATACCTGCATTCGCAGGCCAGTCATGTGGCTTAGGAACAAGACCAGGGGACCAGCAATATGTGTAAGGGATTTGAAGGGTCTTCAGGAGAAAGGGACCATCAGATAGCGATATAGGCTCTAGTCCCAATTCATGCTTGCGCCAATCGTTGATAACACCCCCTAGACTAGACCAGAGAGATTGAAAAGATTAATCATCTACATTGTATCATGGGACAAAATTATTTGCAGCTCACCCTTGCCAAGATAACCAATCCACCACTGAATAAGAGACACGGTTGATCCAGTCCTGATCAGGATGGATATTATACAAATTTGCCAAAGGATGCGGAAAGGCTCGGGTTGCGGTCCATGGCATTGTGAATATTAAGTGAATCGGGATCCCGAGAGCCTGGGCGCAGTGAACATGCGCGAAGCTGGGAGGATTGGCGATGATTGCGTTGGCGACTAATGGCGTATTTGTAACAGGATCAGGCATCAGACATGAATGCCAGCATCCATGAAGAATTTCCGCCATCATCAGAAGATCCTTTTGGATATCGCCCTTTCGCAGGCTCTTCATACCGGGAATGAGACCGGGATTCTTGACCATGTACGCCATCAGATCGGCCGGATCTCCGCCTATGGGATAGAATTCTAGCCCAGCTTCTCCCACGAATTTCTCGAAAACGTTATGCGTGGCAATCCGGACACGATGGCCGGTTCGTTGTAGCTCCGTGCCCAATGCAAGAAAAGGCTGAACATCCCCTCGGCTTCCCACGATTTGAATGACGATATTGAGATTGAACCTAGGTGGTGTGACAACCAGGTCTTCATAACTTGGTGGTGGTCCTGATGGGGGCGTGCTTTGGATAGGAGACGTCGGAATTAGTCTGGACAGAGTCCGGCAGAGTCGAGAGCTCGCGTCGATCGAAATGCGACCATCATCTACACATATGACTAGACTTGCTCTTTGATGGACTAGAATGGAACCTCTCACTGTTGACGCGAATACCCTCCAAGTCTGGCGGCACCGCCTCATATGGTGGAGGTTGATCCTGAGGTGGCTCTGCTGCCGCACCAGTTTCTTGGTGCTTCATATTCACGCTTGGACGAATTGAAAGCAATTCTCAAGACAAACCAATTTTCACAGGCACAGCCATAAGCTATGAGAGAGACAACAAAAGAGGGGCTTCGACTATGTGTGTCAGAGGAAAGTGTCGACAGGTAAAAAGCATCACTCGAACAGGACTGATACGAGATGGAAAGTTTGACTATGTAACGATCTCCCTTGACTGTTTTGCAACCATGAACTAGTGCGGTGACTCTGTCTTGGTAGGGACCCGTTCAGGCGAAACGAGTCAATATACGCGTATAGATAACCTTTTCAGGACCCACCTGATACCTAGGAAACACCTGTATAACAGGAAATTCCTCGGCGGGATAGAGTATATGCATCCACAGAAATGGTATGGAAAACCTTAATATGTCAGGACAAAACCCGTGCCCGGGCTAATCAAAACAAAAACGATGTATATCTAGGAAACATAGGCAAGCTGTATACATGTGTATTTTCATAGCACCAAAACTAACACAACCGCTATGACGTGGTCCCATCCCGAAAAGGCTACTCAACATTAGTAATTGAGAGCGTGACCTGGCTAAGCGACGATGCAAGTGACTGCCACTCCCCCGGTTCCGAGCGAAGCGTCGCAACCCGCAACCCAAACCCCTCGGAGACCTGCAGGAAGTCCCTCGCAACTCTGACACCCGCCGGCCGGACCCTAGAAACCTCATCGGACGAAGACGAACCATCGAAGCCCTACAACGTCGAGTGGAAATTATCCATTAACACTAGGCGTCAGGCTGGCGAATCTGAGCCTGGCATCGTGGTGTCACCGCAAAGTTTCTGGAAGCGCACCTTGAAGCCGAAACTAGACGAGGCGTGCGCGAAGAAGCCCTGCGAGGTTAACAAAACGGACATTATTATATTCTCTCTTATAAACATCTCCTTGAACCTATTAAACCTATCCATTGCTTGCTCTCCGGCATTTGCGCCACCTGGCGATCGAAATCCCTCACTACCGCTGCTGCATCGACACGCTGTTTGCCCTCTCGCAGGATGGCGATGCCGTGGGCCCGCATTGACTGCTTGATGGCCCTTCCCGTATCCTTCCGCATTGAAGCACGCGCACTCTTGTAGGCGCCCTGGCTGGTGAACGTGAGTAGCCCCAAGGTTCCTGATGTCACCTTCGTGGTTAGGTTGAGGACTCCGATGCCCACACCCTTGGCTGCGCCTAATGCTCCCTCCTTCTTCGCACCTCGCACGGGTGACATGACCAGCCCACCAACTCCCTCCAAAATTCCGTGGCTGAAATTCTTCCCCGCAGCGATGCCCCCTGATTTCCAATCTGTCACAGGACCAGGGTCATACACCTCACCACCATACAGTCGTGGAGCAACACGCAAACCCTCCTCAAGCGCGTGTGGTATATCAATGTAAACACCCTTTGTGAAGGCTTTGAAGAATCCTCCGACAGCACCGGCAGATCCAGCAACGGCAGTAGCTGCGCGGCCTTTGTCGTTCCTCCTGTTCTGATTGTCCTCTGGCAGGTCAAGCCCAGCAGGCCTACCGTATACCGGGTCTTCCAATGCTTGCGTATTGGAGTTCCCAACGGAGTTTGGGTACCCAGTCTTAGGTCTGTCTGCCATCAATGCCTGTGCTGGCTTGATAACGATGTCTGCTGCCGAGGCCGCCATGCCAGCATACATCTTAACCCCCGATGAGAGGAGAGCCGTGACGGGATCCCACCTTCGGTGCTGTATGTCTATGGGCTGAGGCTCGTAGCTAAATTGCTAAATCAGTTGAATGTGCAGTATTAGATTGTGTAATAATGGCGGCTTACCGTTTAAGGTCGACCCATTTGACCCTGCGGCTAACTGTTAGAATCTCTGCCGCCTCTTTCGAAAGCTTGAGATGCTGCGACCCCATTTTGTAAGACCAAGCAGCCGGCAATGTAGGCATAATATCGCAACGAATTTTATCCAGGGGAAGGTTGGCGTGAAAAGAGTTGACGGCCTGTTTGACTCCGCTTTCTTGCCTCATCTTCTCAGCCATGCCTCTTGCAGCCGCCAGCGCACTGGGAGTCAAACAATATTGGATGGCTTGACTGAAGTTTTGACTATTAAGCATCTTTTGAGGGATCGGCATGGGACCTGCACCTGCAGCATGGACCATGGTGCCCCAGAAGGGTTGACTAGCCGTGTTAGTGTTTGTTGTGGCTAGGAATAGAGCGGGTAGATAGCACATACTCGCCAAAAAAGGGCACAATCGCCGTTGGCTTTCCATTTAGCAGCCCGCATGCGGTCGTCCCAGCTCCGCCGTGATGGATAACAGCTGTGACTTGTTGAAATAGCCATTCATGCGGGCAGTCTCCAAGAAAGAAGATGTCCCTGTCGGCTGGCTGATTAGCGCCTAACTTGCTCCATCCTTTTGAGATGATGGCGCGAACGCCTGTCTCTTTCACAGCATCCACCAGTATGGCCGTCAGCTTATCGCCATCGTCAATAACAATGCTTCCGAAGCCAATGTATATAGGTGGAGGTCCATCGCGTAAAAATGCTCCAAGGTCAGATTCGGGGGTATACTGTGGTGCATCGCGGAAGAAGAAGCCACACACGTCTGACTTATAGTTAGTGTTGAAAGGAAGGGCGCAACTAAACGAAGTTAGTTAACGCACCAATGTAATCCGGCCAATCGAGAGGCTTGGGAATGAGTGCTGGGGACCAGCAATAAGTGAAAGGGATCTGCAGTGTCTCAAGTAGGCCTGCGCCTTCAGAAAAAGGAATGTCTTCCAGATCCAGACTTTGCCTCCACGTGTTAACGATGTCGCCGAGTCTGCCGTCAGGTCAGCGTGCAGGTCGCAGGTGAGACGGGAAATGCCTTACCCTTGCCAGGTCATCCATTCGACAGCCATATACGAGACCTGGTTAGCGACAGCAGGCGAGATACCACTATTGCTGACATTGATGTTGGCCAAAGGGTGACAGAACTCCTTTGTATTGCTCCAGGGCATAGTGAACATGAGGTGTAGTGGGATACCGAGCGCTTGAGCGCAATGAACATGGGCGAAGCTTGGCGGGTTCGCAATGATGGCGTCCGCGACAAACGGCTGTTGGCTCACAGGATCAGGCTCAATACATGACCGCCAACAGCCTTCCAGGATCTCAGCAATCATTAGGCGTTTCTTCTGGATGTCACCAGCACGGAGGCTGTTCATGGAAGGTATCAGGCCGGGGTTTTTAACCATGTACGCCATCAACTCGGTCGGGTCACCACCAATAGGATAGAACTCAAGGCCGGATTCAAGTACAAAGTCGGTAAAGGTGCCGTGAGTAGCGAGGCGAACTCTGTGACCGTGGCGTTGAAGCTCGTTACCGAGCGCGACGAAAGGCTGAACGTCTCCTCGACTACCGACAACTTGGATGACGATGTTCAAGGGAATGCTCCATGAGTCCTGCTCAGTATAGGCGGGAGGTAGAACGCTGACAGGCCGGTCGACATTTGGCTGCTTCGGCCCACTGCGAGGAACAAGCAGGGAGAGGGTTCTGCAAAGTTTAGAATCGAGATTTAGGTCAACACGCCCATCGGCTATGAGTGTTGTGTCAGTTTGGCGAAAAGAAAGGGTTTAGTTCGCATCATACCCGTTGCTCCTGCTGCGTCGTTCAAGATTCGTTCAGCAGCTGCAGGTTCTTCCGCATATTGGGGAGGAGCCTCGTTCTGCGAAGCGTCGGTACCCGGGTCTGCTTCATATGGTGCAAATGACGATGGGTGCCTCAGCGCTGGTGGCTGCGGTAGCGGTTCCTCGCTGCTGCCCATGGCGAAACGGAGTCAAGCTCTTAAGAGAACGAAGGAAAAGCCGAAGAAGTTGGTTGAGTAGGGGCGGAAGCTAGATCAAATGGAATGGGGTAGCAGTGCTTTTAAGGGAAGCCCACCAAGCAACTCTAGTTTGAACCTTAATGTCAACCAGTTGTCATGGTCTAAATCTGAAGGAGGCGCATGATAAAGTAAAACATGTCTGAGCATATGCGCGCGCACGACTGAGGGTCAGCATGTAGAGGCTGAATCGTGTAGAAGCTGAATCGTGTAGAGGGCTGCAGCCTTGAGCTACGAAACACGCGGTTCTGGCTTGGCTTGGTTTGGCTTCGCGACGTGGATGGCTGTTTCAGGGTAGTACGCAAGCAGAGTCGCATATCAAGTTAAGGGGCAAATTATCGAATGCATGATGGGGTAATTAGGGCTTGTGTTTGCTGCAAGCTAGAAGCAATCTGAGGCGAGATCAGCCTTGCTGGTCTAGCGCCGGTCCGGACGCATTTGGGGCTAGTATTGATCGTACTCGTTTAGCTCGTGCTCGTGCTTGTGGTGGGTATTCGTTCACCGGGGCATGTTGGTCTCAGATTTATGCCGTGACCATTAGAATCCGTGCCAGGGAAGGGAATCAATCAAATCCACGAACGCCTCGTCGGAAGAAGGGTGCCAGGTTGGTGTCGTCCCATCGGGGCCAGGGTGTCATTCTGAGCTCCACTCCACCCCGGATAGGGCCCCTGCAAGGTGGTCCGTAGCAATGCAAGGTACGAGAGGTACGAGAGGTACGAGAGATACGAGTCAGTTGTATGCTGGAACTTCACAGTGAGGGGTCAGAGCACTGCCCGACCTTGGCCAACACGAGACTAGCTCCCAGCCGGAGCCGCACGTCCACATCTGCCCCACATATCCCCCCTTCGTACTGAAGGCTCGTACCGCACTGCACGTAGTCGTTCGCATTTTCGTTCGCATTTTCGTTTACGGTCCCCTTCACACTTCCAAGATCCACATCACACGATTGATTCTATTCGCCATGTCACTCAGCAACAACGAGACAAGCCCATCGAGCCCACCTACAGGCCAAGCACGGCGCAGACCGCACCTGAAATCCCGGAACGGCTGTGCCATCTGCAAGTCTCGCAGAGTAAAGGTATGAACAACCGATATGCAGGGTCGCGAATGCATCGTAAGCTGCAGGTAGCTGCAACCAGGCTAACATACATGTTGCCAAGTGTGACGAACGAAAGCCCCAGTGTTCGAACTGCGTGAGGCGGGAGGTCCGTTGTAGTTTTCTACCGCCAACCTCTCATGCAGCATCGCCTGGTGGACACTTCGGCTCGTCGTCTTCGGCGTCAGCTTGCGACGCAACACCTGTCACGCAGGTTCCCACTCCTTCAACTTTAGGCTGTGGACACGACGTGCCAGCAGCACCGCCCGACATTCCCCGGACGCTTTCCCTAGAGCCGGCCTCGGAAGGACTGGATATCGACGATTTCTCTTTACTCCATCACTACACCGTCTCCACATCACATACTCTGGTCATGGTCCCGGGCCTCGACACCTTCATGCGCATCAACCTTCCGCAAATCGCCTTCTCTAACAAGTTCCTTCTGCACAGCATCCTCGCATTGGCCGCGCTTCACCTATCGCGCTTCAAAAAGATACGTCCGTGGCCAATTCGTACATGACCAAGGCATTGCATCATTACGGTACCGCCCTACGAACAGCAACTTCTCTTATGGCAAGCATCAATGCCCAGAATGGCCCTGCTCTGTACATGTTTTCGACGCTGTGTTTCTCCTTCACCTTGGCGCTGGGCCCAAAACCCGGCGATTTCCTCATCGTCGGACAACATGGCATTGCACAATGGCTTGCACAGCTCCAAGGCATGAGGTCTCTGCTGGAGACCCAGCCTGAGCTTTTCCACGATGACACCCTGGCCCCGCTGTTCCAGATCTCTGTGCGCACCTTGGCCCAGTCGGTTTCTCGCAGCGACCATTTCCCCGAGCTACGTGAGCAGATTCAACAGGCCGCATCAAGAGATCCGGAACTAGAGCATTACTCGAAAGCATTGGATCAGCTCTCACAAAGATTTGATTTCGCATTCAATCACACTTCTAGAGTAACGCAACTGTCCCCCCAACAGGTATTCCTTTGGGTCTATCAGCTGGAGGATGACTTCATCCGTCTATTGCAGGAAGAAAAGCCAATTCCCCTCGTCATTCTTTCGTATTTCTGCATTCTTCTCAATGGTCTTAGTTCATTCTGGTGGACCCGTGGCTGGGTAGAACATTTATTATCGGAAATTTACTCTTCACTCGACGAAGAGTATAGGATTTGGATGCGGCGGCCAATGGAGGAAACTGGTTGGATCCCAGGCTGATGCGCTTTCACTCAAGTATCTCACAATGCATACAATCCTCAGTAAATCTGTAGCTTTCAAGAGCACTACTTTTTCTGTGATGCGGCTGAAGGCTGTGGAAAAAAAAAAAAAAATTGTGAAGCGAAACGTGAAGCGCGGACCAGGGAAAGGGAATCAATCTACCCCGGGGGGGGTCGGTAAGATCCTGGGGTACCACGGCACGGTAAAATATCCTCCTCCTTTCATGGCCTTGCTATGGGTCGCGCGCTTCGTTCAACGCCACAACTATTGCTGGATGATGAAAAAGACGATGGGTATGAATCGTCAGAAGGCAGAGAATAAGGATATTGTATTAGAATGGTATAATCCGCTTCAGGAGGTTATCACAGATGAAGGGATTGTACCTGATGACATTCGGAACATGGATGAGACAGGATTCCGGATCGGCATCGGCAAAAGCGCAGCTATCGTCATTACGAGGCGTACAAAGAGTCATTATTTCGGCATCCCTCAAAACCGCGAGTCGGCAACAGCTATTAAAGCTATCTCGGCAGCTGGCGAGGCTATCCCTGCGTTCCTGATACTATCCGCGGTATCACATTCGGCGCGTTGGTACGACCCAATCAACAACTTGAAGCCTAATACGAGGGTTGCAATTGCCGATACAGGATACTCGAATGATCAGATATCGTACGGATGGCTTCAACACTACGAGGAACATTCGCGATGCCTTCAGGTCGGCGCCAAACGCCTCCTACTTCTCGACGGGCACGGATCTCATCATACACGAGAGTTCATCAAATTCTGTGATGATCACGGCATCATTCCATTCGGCCTGCCCCCGAATCTAACGCATCTGCTCCAGCCTCTTTGATGTGGTCATTTTTCAGCCGTATAAGCACTATCACGGGATGGCTGTAGAGCGGCTTGTACGAGACGGCATCGCGCACATTGCTAAGATCAACTTCGTTGCCGAGATTGAGGGCATACGAGCCGAGGCTTTGAAGCGATCTACGATTATCTCGGCCTTCAAAAAAACAGGCATCTCTCCGTTCAATCCGAGCATTGTGCTTGAACAGATTGAAGCCCGTAATGCGGCACAAACACCATCGCCGCCGCGGCACACATCGTCCTCGCCAATCGGCACGCCACACACCTATCGCCACCTTCAGAAATCGGCTCACAAGGTTGATGACCTTATTGGCGATCTCCTGAGCCCGTCAGAAATTACTACGGATGAGGCTAATCTCGTGAGAGGCTTCATCAAAGGCTCCCTTACAACAGCCGCCGAGCTCCTACAAGCAAAGAGGGATCTAGGGCGCACCAAATACGCACAGGAGATCGAGGCACGCCGAAGAGCCTCAAAGAACTACAGGCTACAAAAAGGAGGCATTTTGGAGGTCTCTGAGGCACGGCAAATGGTTGCAAACCGTCAGGAGAATGAGGAGGTGCGCGCACGGAAGGTTATCGAGGCTGCGCAGCGCAAAGAGCATAGCTTGCACCACAGGGCAGCTATGGAGACGGCGAAAACAGCGCGCAAATGGCGCTTGAGCGGGCGTTTGAATGGCGTACGTATTGTTGAGAGTGGGCGTCAAACGAGGGTGCTACGGAAGTTCTAGTTGTGGTCAATTGAAGCTATCGTCAAATGGCTAATTTACTGTCGCGGCTAATTTACTGTCGAGCACCTCCTAAGGAGGTGAGCGCAAATCGCGATCCTACTAGGTGGGGCGTGGCACAAGTAGTGAATGAATCTTCTAGTCTATCCCATACGGTCTGCCATGCGCGTGTAGAAAGTTCATTCCTGACACCACTGAGAAGCCTGCTCGATGTCCTTGTTGGCCGCAAGTGCTTCTAATTCTCTTCCTCTCTTGTATCATCGTGGCTGCTTTCGTCTCACCGGAGGCCACAGTTGATCGAGTGCCAGTCAGCACATCCTGAGCTCGTCACGTGGCTCTTCGAAGCTGCCGTCGTTTGAATCGGAGACGACAGAACAGACCAAGAAAGACTAAAGAGGGCGTACTTACTATGGGAGACCCGACGATGTCAGACTCGGAATCTTAGACGCGCGGTACTCTCACATCACGCACTCTCGAACCCTTACGGGACGTCGCATTGAGGTTGTTTGTTATTGGTCAATCGATATTGTCGTATTCTATTCCGAGGAGTACGAGCAGTAGCCCCCACCGACATAATGCGGCAACCCGAGCATACGAGGTCACCATGGCCCAAGCTTCAACCTTAAGGAAGCTCGGTTTCGCTCGCGTCCCTTCTCAGCCATTTCCCATGTAGATCGCTCTCGACCCGATCCTGTCCAAAATGGCACGCAGAGCCCATCTCAAGTCTCGCCTAGGATGTCGGGTTTGCAAGCAGCGCAAGGTCAAGTGCGATGAACGCAAACCCGTCTGCGATCGATGTGTGACCGCCGGCCGCCGAACGAAAGGCTTGACTCGAGAAGCGGGTGGTGGAGAGTCAATTGGGGAGAAGAGAAGCCGCAAGGGGCAATCTCGTATTCTCGTATACTCGTATAGCCTACCCGACCAGGCACGTTTCTTGTTTGTGGAGTAGGAAATCTCGCTCTCTGGATAGCGTACTAGATATTTCACCTTAGTGAATGGGCTGTGTCTTTTTAATGCCTACCAAGCATTGCTTGAGCTGCAAAATGAAACCGCATAGAGATGCATCCTATTGGTACGCATTCACAACCCGAGCATCTGCGAGGCCCGCTTAACAACTTAAGCGTGCCTTCTCGAAGCCGACTATACGAAGCCGAGGTGCCACCCTCGGATATCGCATCCAACTTGCGACGATCGACAATGCCATTCATTCGAAAGGATCAAGCAGATCGGCGTACTCTCCACTCTGTTCTTCTGCAATGTTAGCAAAACAGGAAGACAGGCTTGGCCTAATTACAGAGTTGTATTTAAGCATACAATGTCCCAATCTGTAAGCTCTCAGTTCGACCAGTCACCCACCCAGATACACATCATCTTCTCACTCTTTTCTCGACACTGAAATCACCATGGCACTTAACTGCTCGCTGAACGCACTCCAGGTGCCGGCTCTCCCAGGCGCCAACATCACTGCTTTCGAAGTCAATCTGGTTCAGAACTACACCGGCGTCGCCACCTCAAAGCTCTACATCGGGCACCCGACTGTCTCCGTCGACAACGCTACATTCTGCAACGTCACTGTTTCTTACGAACACATCGACGGAAATGACACCGTAAACGTCGAGACATGGCTTCCCATGGATAACTACAACGGTCGAATTCAAGCCAGCGGCGGCGGAGGCTGGGTTGCGGGTCGATTCCAAATCACTTACGCCAGCATGATGGGAGCCCTCGGCGAGGGATATGCCACTTCGACAACAGATGCTGGACTCGGTCAGACTCCAGACAGCTGGGCGCTGACCGCGGACGGTTCGCCTAATGTGCATGCTTTGGAGGATTTGGCATCGATCTCGCTCCACGATCAGGTTTGTCAAGCCCCCCACGCCGATCCTTCGTAGAGCCATACTAACGTTTTATGTCTTGTAGGCTATCCTGACGAAAGCGGTAGTCGAGGACTTTTACGGCCAGCCTGCCGCATATGCATACTGGAATGGCTGCTCCCAGGGCGGCCGACAGGGCATGATGCTCGCCCAACGCTACCCGGACGCCTACGACGGGATTCACGCCTGTGCGCCCGCTGCGAACTGGAACGAGCTGTTTGCGTTCACTCTGTGGCCGCAGCTCGTTATGGAGTGGGCCGACTATGTACCTCGCCCCTGCGAGCTGGACGCCCTATCGAAGGCGGCCATTGAGGCTTGCGATAAGCACGACGGTGTCTACGACAGCATGATTTCCGATGACTCGGCTTGTGACTTTGACGCGTTGTCTGTGGTCGGACAGGCATATTTCTGCGCGGATACAAACACGACAGAGACCATTACCAAGGAGGCGGCTACGATTGCTAAAGCCACATGGACCGGTCCACGGACCGCCAACGACGACTTTGTGTGGTACGGAACCAACACGGGGAGTCTGCTAGGCACTTCAGGCGAAGGACTGACAACTGCCCTCGGTCCAGCCATGACGTCCTGTTCCGAAAATGGGACTTGCATGGGCGTGCCACTCGGTCTGGGCGATGTTTGGCTGAAGTACTTTGTCGAGAAGGACGCCAACTGGGATTATAGAGAGATGACACCTGCGGAGTTTGACCGTGATGTTGCCAAGTCGATCGAGCTGTATGATGCCATCATTGGCACGAATGACCCCGACTTGACGAGCTTCTACGAAAGTGGCGGAAAAATTCTTGGATTTCAAGGCATGGTAAGTGAAGCTCAACATCCTGGTATATGCGCGTTGCTTACCCTCTTCTAGATGGACCAAGTTATCCCCGTTAAGGGAACCGAACGCTACTACAACGCAGTATCAAAGGTCCTACCGAACGTGGGTGAGTTTTACCGCATGTTCGAGGTGCCGGGTCTACTGCACTGCTCAGGGGGCAACGGCGGGCAGCCGAGCAACACTTTCGATGCCCTGCGCGCCTGGGTTGAGAACGGCACTGTTCCCGAGTCGCTGCCCCACCTGTACACGCCAGTTGAAGGTGGCCCTGAGTTTGAGAGGCTCCTGTGTCCGTACCCCCAGATGGCCGTTCTCAAGAAGTGTGGGAGGGAGGAGATTAGCCCGAAGATGACTACCAGGGCCGGGGACTACGTTTGTGTTTGAGCGGTTTGAGTGAACAAAAACGGGCCCAACACACTTCGTCGTTGTATGTACAGATACTGCGACCTGATCGGTCAACAAATTTTAGATAGAACGATTTTCAAGAGCTTACAGCGATGGAGGCACTGTAGTTGCCACATTCATGTATGTAGTATAAGCACCAGAGCATTGAACACGAAACCGTATTCAAGGACATTGTATAGAACCTCAGCTTGCCTATATTAGTTTCATGCTCTTCTTATTCAAATATGCCCGCGAACACTATCTATGCCTCATTAAACTCACGCAGTTTCCCTTCAAGCAGCCCGTCGATGGCGCCGCCTGTAATTTAGTACAGCAGGGGCCAGCATCTCCGCAGCTTTACTAGCAGCCCGTTCCAGGTCGATTATAGATGTGGTATTCCATGCATCGTCAACAAAGATATTGCTGATCCCACCGCGATGCCAGAATGCTCGTACCAGTGCCATGAGCATAGCCTCGTTGGAAGGCTCGTCCCACGGAGACTGCCTACATTTCTACATTGATGCCACGGCATTCGGTACGTGCAGAGCCTAGATACGCATACATGTTGCGCCATGCAGCTAGTACCTTAAGGTAGTTAGCACCACCGCTTTTGCTCCGGCTTTCGTCACCATTGATCACTGGCTCACCTTCAACCACCTCAACCTCCCTCCCTCCATTACGCGGGCCACCAATGTGGTAGTACGTGACTAAAATCATTTGCCAAATTATGGCTTCAATGTCGGCAAACTGCTATGGTCCTAGCCCTCACCCACCCAGTTGATTGGACCCTATGGTTCGCAATGGCTGACTATAGACTGCCAGATCCCCCCTGCTGCAGAACTGCAACGCTGCAGCAGCCTTTCACCTTTCGCCTTCGCATCGCCCGACACTGAGAAGATGCTCGTGCCCATCCCATCTCCCTGAGCGAGGTGGGGGGACCTGGTTGGTGGGACTTCTCCGCATTGTGACACTCGATGTGCCGCCCGACAGCAGTGCAGCCTTGGCATTGTGATCACAAAAAGGACACTGCCAAGATTGGGGAGCGTTCTGGGCTGAAGAGGATAGTCCGCTGCGTTGCGCCAATAGCTCAATGTAGACAGCATTGCGATAGTACGTAGCACCAGTCGTTGCATCCTTAACGCAGTAGAAGAAGAGGGTGAAGAATGTTAGCAGAAAGTCAATATTAGGATGGTCCAATAGTAGTTTGATAATATCAATCGCACCGTCGGCCGCCGCGAATATGAGCGGAGTAAAGAACTGAGGACCTTGGTCATTGACTGATATAGTCTTTTGATAGGTGAGAAGGAGATCGATAATATTCAAGATCAGTAGCAGAGTGGGAGTTAATAAGCCCTGATGCCGCATAGTCAGTGCAATCCAAAGTGGCGAGGTTCCTGTAGGACTTTTTTGGTTGATATCGGCCGAATTTTGCAAGAGAAATTCGACCGTGGAATAAAGGCCCCCTGATAAGCTGACCAAAGAGGCGGTACTGCATCGGCACGTTGCGGATTTATTCGAATTCCCGGCTGTCGGAGTATGAGTTTGACGAGGGGCATGGAACCATTTCTAGCAGCCTGTGCCAAAGGAGTTTGACCGAGATTATCGATGCAGTTCAAATCCACATCAAGAGCAATTCAGCCAGCCTTGGTTCTGAATTGTCCATTGCATGCCATATTTCAGTACGTCCTCTCTCATCTCGATGGTTCAGGTCGATATGGGGGCTCAAAAGCAAGGCTTCAAGAATGAGTAGCTTTTTTTTCAATGGCAAAGTAGCGGCCGTATCTTTCGAAATGCAGAAGCAGCGGAGTTTTCTGCTGGTGGTTGACACGGTTGACATCAACTCGTGGATTTCGTACGAGCATTTGAATTGCCCCGAAATCGCCCATTTCTACCGCTACATGCAGCGGAGTTTGGCCATAACGATCGCGAAGGTTGGCATCTGTCCGCTCATCCGATAAAAGGAGTTGGAAGATGTAAGATTGGCGAAGCCTCAGCGCAATCGTAAGTGGCAATGTCCCGTCCAAAGATTGTTTATTGAGATCGATATCTTTCTCTTTGATCTTAGGCCAGTGATGTATATTTCACCTCTTGTGCATGCAGTACTTGCCACAGTGTTACTATTCCTGTGTTTTGTACGTCTTGTGCTGGCCCATGAAGCTTTCCAGGGAAATTCTTTGCACAAGAAGGTTCACCTTGCAGTATCTTTGCCAATGATGTTTCTACAAGCGGTGCTAGTTGGATTGAGCTGGAACGGACCAGGTGATACTGAAATGGAGTTGATTGCGGGGGTAACCAGCCTATTTCCATCTTCACTTGCAGTAAGTGCTATTACTTTTTTCTCGGATTTGTGTTAACTATCAAGCGAAAGTATCTTTGGATGATCATTGCGCTGCGAAGCTTCTACGATACATTGAGAATATCCTTACCGTCAATTGCGGTCTCTTCCTGTTTGATCAAAATCACGACATGCCAACTCATGGGCATATGGGGGTTGAGAAAACCATGGAACAAATCACGAGAAACTTCTACTTCCCGAATATGATGAGAAAGGTTCGCTGCTACATCAAGGATTGCGACACCTATCAACGAAACAAACTAGCACGGCACACACCGTATGGAGAATTATAGCTATCGGAAGTACCATCCTAACCTTAGGAATAGATCACTATAGATTTTATCACTAAACTACTAGTATTAGATAACTACGATATGATCATAGTTGTGGTCGATAGGCTCACGAAGTATGCCTACATGATTCTAACCACCGAAACTATCGAAGCTAGCTAGATAGCAAGCTTAATTATTTAACACGTGTTCTCGAACCACGGAACACCTAGTAGAATTATATCCGACCGAGACAAATTGTTTACGTCGAATATATAGCAGTCTTTTACGGATTAAATAGGTATTAAGTTAAGACTCTCTACTACCTACCACCCGTAAACTAACGGATAAATAGAGAGAGTGAACTAGACTATTAAATAGTACTTAAGATGCTATATAAATTACTAGTAGGACGACTAGGCATCACTACTACTAATAGCGTAACTAGCGTATAATAACGTAGTACACTCTATAATAGGGGAAACACTATTCTTTACGAATTATAGTTACCACCCACGGATCCTAGGAGATCCGATCGGCAAGAAACTAATAGCAGAATTATCACGGATTCTAGTTAGTGGGCTTAGGTAACTACACCTCTAGCTATCTAGAGATATTAAATTCCTTAGATTAAGGATAAAAATGTACTACGACCGCTAACACTTAGAGGGACCTAACCTAAAGAAGGGGGAAAAGGTTTATCTTTTACGCCGTAATATCAAAACTAAGCGACCTAGCAATAAATTAGACTACCTACGACTAGGGCTATTTAAAATCGAAGAAAAATTAGGACTAGTTAGTTATCGCTTAAAGCTACCGGAAAGCATAAAAAGACTCTATTTAGTGTTTTATATCTCGTTACTCGAACTAGCACCAGAAAACGCCAAAATCGCTACTAATATGCAAATCGAGGAAGAAAGCGAAGACGAATATAAGGTCGAGGAAATTCTAGATAGATAACGAATTAGTAGGAAACCTCACTATCTAGTGAAATAGAAAGGGTACGATACCTTAGAAAATATATAGGAACCTATCGAGAACCTAAGGGATTACCACTAGCTAGTTTAATAGTATAATGTAACGGAATCCTCAGACGCCATGCACAGATCTCTCGCACTCCCAGAGGATCGACACTATATAGGTGTCGACACGTCAGTGTTGGCTCACCGTAACGCTGATCCCCTATGTTAAATAATCTGCTCCGGAGAACCCAGCGGTTCTCTAAGAATCAGTCTCTGTATTCCTCCAATATATTGTTCGCTTCCAGGCATCTTCATCTTACCTAGTTGACAGGCTCTATCCTATAAACACTAGAACCCTACTTCTTTACATATAACCACTAGGCGAAGGTAACCCTCTAGAACTATCACTAGCGATACTAGCGGAAAAGGCCGGGCCGTCCTAATAGGACGCGGGGAGGTTAGCTAACTCCGCTCAGATCTAATCGAAGTTCGGATTCTCGGTAGTAGTAGTAAGCTACTCGAGATTAAGGGTAGAAGGAGTAGCCTATCCTAGGGACGACTATTATTTATTAAGGATTTTTAATAGTTTAGCATTATATTTCGATATCTTAAAACCACGTTCCTTTAAGAATTTCTGCTATTTTCGTAAACGCGTATAACGCGCTAGTGTTTTATTGATTTTACGCTAAATTTTAGCTAAACGTTCCTAAACCTACTTTAACTCCGGCTCTAGAAGTTCTAATTCGTTATTAGCCTCGGAAAGACCTTCTATAATTTTCTATTCTACGGATTTTAATAGATCCTATTCGTTATTAGTATAGAACTCCCGTTTATATACCCGACCGGCATGAGTATAGGAGGCATATTTCGAATATTTATTAGTGCGATCTATTAGGCAATTAACTCTAGTGCCACGACAATAGACGTAGGGAGTTAAGGTGACCTAACTATTAAGCTCGATATAATCGGCTTAACGATTATAGATAACGGTTAACGGGCAAGGGGATTTCGAAGGACACTCTAGGAGAAAATTAGCCTTACGTTTAGGCATAACGACGATATATTATTTTAGAAGAGAAAAACTATATTACCTACCTAAGGGGGGACTATAGATTTATAAGTCTTAAGGACGAAACTCCTAGGAGGGGGAGGTAATATTACGGACCTACTAGGCACTAATCAATTATAGGGCCGTAACTTACTAATAGGTCACCGAGAGCTAACCAATCTATCTATTATTAGATCACGTGTAGTACCTTATACTCTAGACACCCCGAGTATTTAAGGAAAAGAGAAACGTGATTATACTTAGTGAGTATAAGCATAATTTACCCTAAGCGGACCCACCCGGCAGACTTTATCCTATATATATATGCCTATATATAATAGATAGGATCTACGCGCTAATAGGCCACTTTCGGCCTTCCGTTCGCTATCCTATTGTATACCGTAATAACTAATAAGACCACTACCACGTGATTATATAAGTAGTAGAAAGGTTAAGAGTCGATAAGTAGATCTTACTAAGCTAGATCTACTATTCTACTTTCTACTATTCTACTTAGGAAGGACTTAGGATATATAAGGACACTTATTTATATATCTAGTTTAGTTCTTTGTGTTTAATCACATATTGTTACTTATGTCTACTATTCAGAACCTTTAGTGACTCGTACAACTTGATTATAACTTAACAACACTACGAATAGACCCGTACTCCGGTATAGGTTAGTTCGGCGCTCTACCGGGCATCGCTCCTCGATACCCTCAAAAGGATTTAGCCCGTATAAGGCCTATTAGGCAACGGTACGGTTGAGAGACAGATCGTTGACGTTAGAAGCAAGGAAGCATTCAGGCAAGTATAACCCTAGTGAACTTCTAACATAGCGACGACCCGTTAGTCGTGCGTAACACCATCACGCGGGCTTCTAATTTAGTATCCTTACTATCCTCCCCGTTCTTCTAGGCTCTATGTCTCCGAGCGGTTGGTTCGTGAACCTCCCCTATACGTGCAGAGGTAAAGCAATATAGGAGTATTACGGCACTTAGCTAAACTCGGGCCCGATCGGCAGGGTTTCTACGATACTCATAGTGGTCCCGACACCATAATTGAGTCATTAAGATGGTTAAATCATTTAGGGATACACCGCCATCTTTATTCATTTCCTTAGTTAAGAGAGGGATCATGATCTTTAGTTCTCCCACGATATACTATCTAGGATTAGCCCTGATTTATTTAAAAAGAACGCTGGTATAGACCTTATTGATCGTAGTCCTAGTGGCTAGTAGGAATTCGAAGTTTCTTTCTCTCTTTATACTAGTGGCGAATTGCCTAAAAAATCCCTGAATCGTCTCGACTATAGGCCGTTCTTCGATCCGACCGTGTATTGCCCTTGTAACCCACTCGAGAAAAGCCCTATATATTCTGATATCCGGTGGAATAACGGCCTATAGATATAATTTGACAAATCTAGGGATATAGACACAATTAAGCGATTTGCTTCTCTGCTCCTAGGGCTAAGACTCACTTATCGAAAATTAGTAACTTGTCCCTATAACTAGATTCTGTTCGTGGTAGCACTACACGCTAGATTTCATCGTTATTATGCTCCCCGAAATCCACAATATTAGCCATGTATTTTAACGTTAGGTTATGTTTGGTACGTATCTTGCTCGTGACAAAGCGAGGTTAGAGTGATAAATCGAGGCTAGAGAGATGAAAGCGGAGGAAAAAAGAAGGTCACTTACAACTTTTTCGATCAGAATGGGAAAATGTACCTTTTGCTGCACGGGCTGAATATTCGGGTGAAGAATATTCAGGTGGGTGAATATCTGCCCGGAGTGCCCTGAGGAGGGCTGAATTAGAGCGGCGAGCCGCCCATGCCCGAACCGTGGGCGCTAGGTGACCACCACCTTAGACATGCTGTTGTATGTTTTTGTTTTTTTTTTTTTTTTCAATTCCTACGCACCCAATTCTCATGCGCCTTAGAAACTAAAGTGACCAGGATATCTGTCATAGGGTGAGTGTAGGTGATAGAGGTGAGAACAGGGCGTGAACGGGGTATAGAGGGCACCCCCCAGGAACTATAGGCTGTTTGGGCGCCTTGTTTACTACTCCTGGGGAATATGCTATATCATAACTTCATAATTCCGTAGTACAAGCTATTTCAGAGAGTCATTTATATTACATTGCCTCTGCAGCCATGCTGACCATCGAACTTTCCCTGTAAGATCATCCGAGTACTTGGTAGATTTGTCTTCAAATTTTCATTTAGGATCGATCGACTCCTGACCACGGAGTAAGTAGATCAATAAAAATCTGCCATGTCGACAGTACTTGTTATATCGATACAATATAATTGAGCACCATCTTTCGCCTGCCTATTAGCCCTAGCTCTTTAGTATCAGAGATCGACCAAAAACAACTCTCTATATATCAACCACCAAGCCCATCCAACACCGTAGCCGACGGCGCATAGAAAGTAATGCAGTCAACGGCATCGAGCAGTCCAACAATCGATCATACAGCCTGGGCAGATGCCCCACAAACATCCGCTCGAGCATCATCTCAATAATCCACAGCCGCCTAGTCATGACATCGTCAACTCCGAGCTTCGCGCTGGTCCGCTGAGCCCCAGAGATCGATATGGCCCATCTTCTGATTGGCCAACTAGTATTGCCGGATTTAGAAGTATCGAAAATCGTTGCGTCATTTCGTCTCCACAATTCCATCTACATCGTAGGGAGAAAGTATACTAGGGGTGGTATATATAGTAGATAAACAGTACTCATAGTCTGAGCATACTAAAACCCCAATTAACTGTCCAGAACCTAAGACCCAATTACCGATTTTTCATCAAAGTTGATCAAGATGCCTCAAGGTTCGTGACTGCGTCACTCATTCAGTCTTCCATCCAAAATGTTAAGCAGAGATTCGATGGTAGATACTCAGCAGCCCACCGAACACAAGGAGTCCTTTTTTGAGAAGATTCTCGACCACCACAACCATCACAATAAGCATGGAAACGAAGGCCAGCCGACCGAGGACAAGCCTCGGGGCGGCGAGAGAGGGCTTCGCTCCGATCTGAAGAAAGATGAGGAGGGCCTCAAAGAATACCTTAAAGAGGATAAGCAGCTCGAAGAAGAGGGTCAGACCTATGGAGGCTTGATGTAGTGCTCTTGCTTTGCTGGGCGCTGTTTTCATTTTCATGATTATGCCTTCGCAAACAATCAGGGACAATATTACTAGGAGAATCTGTTGTCACTAGGGTCCGCTCATTAACTTCTTGACGTAGTAAATTATAAAAATAAATTCGAAGCTTCATGACTGCATACGCTAATGTCCGTGCATTGACGACAAAAGCGAATCCGGCGACCATCCTTCATCAACTAGTAGAGCGTTGTTATCGTTATTACCGAGGTAGTAAAGCAAATTAAGAAGACATTTCTCGACTCCCTGGCGCGCTTCCAAACTCAATGTACCAAGAACCTGCACTAAGTCCACAACGTAATTCACCTTGGATTGCCCTTCCTCAAAGAGCCTTGTCAGGCTGTCATATAAGATAGAGCGCAAGTTGTGGACTGAATGCCCCCACATATGTCGAGAATTCCTTAAAAATATCTCCAATCCATGAAGTGTGTTCGATCCAGTGGATGTTGTTGAATCTCCATCGGACAGGACGGAAATTGACTCCTGTGTTAGGACACTGATGGAAAATAAACACCCCAGCATTTCGTCTTCCCATTTCATAGTGTGAGAATCATTGCCAGAAGACCCAATAGAGAGCTGAAAATTATGACGCAACAGTCCGACTGCAGCATGAGTGAAGGGATACGCAGAGAGCCCTCTAGTGTAAAATGATCCCATGAACGTTCTCATGTCTTGAATGAATGATATCAACCAAAGGCAGCGGACCTTTTGAACATCGCAAGATGGGGTTTTTTGCATAGCGCAGGGTGAGAAAAGAGGACGAGAGATTCGTTCGAGGTTGTTCGTGGACTCGAGCCATGACGGTCGCGACATTAACGAGACACTGGAAGTTGTCAGTATCGCAAATTATTTATACTTATTACAAGCTGCACCAACAGGTAAACCACAAGTTCCAAGCGCCAGTTCTCGTGGAGCGCTTCAACCCCACCTTTGGCGTCGATCATTCTTTGTAAGCCATCACGGTGGATTTTCCAATCTTCCACCGTACCCCAGTACCGCTGAGTTAAATGCGATCAGCCAGTTTCCCACAGAGATACTCGCAATTAGCTGACATACCTCAAACGTGAGCAGACGAACAACAGCCGCAAAAGAGTCATCACTTAGCTCCTTCTCTGGATCACCAAGCCAAAGGCGTAGTATCCTGACAGCCTCGATCTTATATTTCAAGGCATCAGAAGACGTCGACCCTCGTCGCGCGGGAGTGCCAGCGTATAGATGATACAAGTGCGCAGCTGAATGTGCCATGATGCAATTGAAAGACGAAGCATTCGAAAGGTCCAGCGGGAACCATACATCCTTCATCGGATTAAACGCGGTGACATCCAGGTCTTCAAACATCATAGCCGCATGGGTTCCAATCCCTACGATCCCGTCAGCAAAATTTCCACATGCAGTAAGGTCTCCAATCCCCATACGCACAGTGATGCAACAGTTTCTGGTGCTGGCTTGTCAAGTGAATAGGACACGTCTGGAACGGGTCCGGCCTCGAGCTCGACAGCGCACTACTCATACCAGACAACAGCTGGGCGGGAATGCCGGGATATTTCTCTCGATTCCTGATCATGCCCATGTCCCCAAACTCTGGCAAGCCTGAAGAGCTACTCGCACCTTCTGATGGCGAAACATACTCATTAAAACGGCTCTTCGAACGGAGAGACAAAGTTCGCGATGTCCTTCTTTGGTAATATGCTTTCGCCTCTTGATTGCGCAGATGTCGCCGTTTCCAGTGTTCCTTCATAGCATGGCTCCGAGCTTCCGAATGGATGTTCCCCGTCACAAATGTGAACCGGTGTGTTCCACTGGAGGAGCTGGAGTCCCGCGGAGACATTGTTCTTTCTGGCCATGAGTGAGGTGCTGTTGGGACAGCAAAATTGATGGATCGAAATGTGGGATGGGAGGTCGAGATCACATGATGAGCTCGCTCTACCCAGGACAGTCGCACAGACCAAGTGCGATTTGGACATCGACTGGGCTCACCTGGAGGCTTGCGCTAACAGAACTTGGCTCCGAATGGGGTGACACTACTAGCTCCTATCCAATAGAAGGCTAACTTTGCAGCAAGCACGGCCTGTCATTCGCCGCAGATTATGTGGCATTCCACCGCCAGATCCATGTACCCGACCTGTCGCCACACGCCTCGGTCCATAGTCCATCAGCGGCGATAGTCGATTGTCTAACAATGGCTCGGTGGATAGTCCCACGCAAGAAAGGCAATTTTTATACGAGTAATTTTATCGACTATCAGACGGTATTATTATTCCTCAGTTACCATCCATAAAACAAGAATCAAATCAAAATCATCCAATGGCATTGGCATTTCCTTCCAAAGACAAAACCAATTCTAGTAGCGCAACAGAAATACTATAGAAGCACATCGATATCACGCGGCCTTAATTGCTGTTTCGGTGCGCTTTTGCAACCTCGACCCGAGATCCTTACTGACACGACTAAAAAGGTCTATATGCAGGGTTAGACTTGCACTGCAATGGACGAATATCTACAGAGATACCAGTAGGGCACCACTTACTATAGACAGCCTTGCGCAATTCGGGGTACTTCACGCTTTTCACGCTGGAGACGAGATTGTCAACAAGCCTATCTTGGTGACCAGGCTCCCGGCCAATAACCTCCCACAATGCTGCGGGCTGGATGAAGTCTGCGTCAGTGATCTCGCTGGAATAGGCGGAAACCTCTCCCGCCCACTTTTCATGCTCGGTGTGTAGGCTCAATGCCCCAGGGTTTGTTCCTTTTACGTCTTGATAGAACTTAGTGGGCTTGATCCAGGAGCCGACGTAATTAGGGTCCCCGCCATAGTTGTCGTCCAATCGCATACTTCCATCCCTCTGGAAAGGACAGTAAACTTGGGCCTTGGCTGCGTTGGTTGGGAGTTGCTGGTAGTTCACGCCCAGTCGGTAACGGGCCGCGTCGGGGTACGCGAAGAGTCGTGCTTGTAGCACTTAGGTACAAGTTAGCCTCGGAAATCTTAGCAAAAGAAGTGATGGACCCTCCCGGCTTACCTGGATCAGCGGACGCAGCAAATCCCGGTACCATCGTCGATGGTGAAAATGCAGCTTGCTCAATGTCTGCGAAATAGTTTCGCGGCTGTTCGAGCTCAGACACTGCAACTGAATATTGGAGAACGGCCATGAAGACTTACATTGCGGTTCATAGTAAGCCGGCCAATCTGCTGCAGAGGGAAGTCCTTGTGCGGCCAAACCTTGGTCATATCGAAGATATTTGTCTCATATTTCTCGGCCTCTTCGGGGCTCATCAATTGGACGTAGACATTCCAAACAGGATAGTCGCCTCTCTCGATGGCCTCAAACATGTCCTGGATCATATAATCAGGGTTCTCTCCGGCGATTTTGGTAGCTTCTTCGCGGCTGAAATTTTGTATCCCTTGCTGAGTTTTGACGTGAATTTTCGCATATTTAAACGAGCCATCCTAGCTATGACTTTAGCGTTGAAAACCATTAGCATCTGGTAATCATCATCGCTTACCGCCTTGGTGAACTTATATGTATGTCCACTGTATGAATTCATGTAGCGAACTGATTTCGGAGTGCCGCGGTCGCTGAATAGAACCATGAGTTGATGTATGCCTTCGGGGTTGCCGACGTGGAAACTAAACGGAGTTAGGCTAATTCGCCAATTGTACCTCGAGAAATAGACTTACTCCCAGAACTAAAATTGTCGTTAGATTTTCTCATCACCAGCTAACAGCAGGAGGGCTTACCATGTTTGCATCAGGGAGATGGGTTTGGGGGTGCCGCTTGTGGGACCGATTCATTGACGGGAACTTGATCGCATCGCGAATGAAAAAGACAGGCTGACGTGGTAATGTAAGTTATAATCAACAACATTAGAGATACAGCGACCGCGCATACCGTGTTGTTGAAAACCCAGTCGAGATTTCCCTCGTCAGTGTAGAGCTTCATTGACCATCCGTGCACATCGCGAGAAGTATCAGCAGATCCTGACTCAGGACCGACCGTTGACACTCGCTGAAGCACCGGCGTTTTCTTTCCGACCTTGTTGAGGAAGCTGGCGCAGGTAAAGTCGGAGCAATCGCGGGTGGCTTCAAACTCGCCATAGGATCTACACACAGTGTCAACTGGAGAAACTTTCCGGCCAAAACTTAACAACTTACCCAACAGCTTTGGCATGAACGACTCTATCCAAGGTTTCAATGTCAGTATACTGTAGGGATTTTAAGGTAACCATCAGTTGGACAAGATACTTACCGTTCCGGGATCCTCTCGCGAGAAAAATGAGCTAAGGTCTCAATGAGTTGAGTATCCTGAAGCAGTCCAAGCCCGCCACCCTGTTTATTCCGCATCAGAACAGCGGTTCTGTTGCTTGCAAAAGGGCAACCTGTGAATAGTCAGACTAAAGCCCAAGTCTAAGGTTGAAAGGTCTTGTACCTTCGGCCAAAGTGTAGTATTTGTCGTCGCCCATGCTGAATGACAATTGGGGCAATGGTAATCAGTCAGACAAGATAGAAAAAGTGAATGTGCGATTACTGGGTTGGAGTCGCCCGAGGGGTGCAGTTTATATAGTCTCATCCCTGGGAAAGCTCAGCTCTTGATTTGAGATGCTTTACATTGGATCTTAGTATTACGGTTACACTCATTGGAGCTCTGTTCTCGACAGCCAGGATGGGTCCACTGTCAACAACCCCTCATTCACCTTGCTCTATACAGTTATCCCCTCCACACGAGGTGACGTAAGTATGTTGCGGTGTGCCATGGCCAAGATCTAATGTTATTTAGGAAACCGACCTAGTAGACTACCTAAATAGGTAGTAAGTGGTAAAAAGCGTTCCACTCCGATAGCGGACAGCTGATTGGCCGACTACTACTACCCAGTCAGTGCATATCAATATGGACCCACTATTCCCGAAACCTTGAAAGCTTGTTGGAGCTTGGCGTTATTGTGTGTGTTGGGTAGGACAATCCACGCTTCACCGTACCCCGAGGCCCGATGATAAGGAGAATATATTGCGTGCATAGATAATTCGAGGAACTTGCGAGGCAGTATTTCTGGTCCGGTCATCATGGTCCGCATGCATGTGGATCCTGCAATTGAGATGGATTCCCTGCAAAGCTTGCGCTCTTCAGCTACCAACTACTCTGGCAAGGCCCCACATTCGGGGCCTGGCCGGTGGCAACCGATCTTAGCCCCAGATCTGATCCCGTTGGATCCGCAAAAGGTACTACCAAAGTTGGTAGTTGAGCTTTAACTACCTTAACCGGCCATGTTTGGGGCTGGCCATCTTCCGGATCCTGGTGCTTGCGGATCTATCCTTGGCATGCTTCGATGGAACCGGCCTAATATAAGAAAATTCTCGGCCAAGTCCAAATATCTAGAAACCATCTAGACTGCAGACGTAGATGCAGCACATGTCATGCCGAGATAGCCCAGCAGATCCATTGATAGGGCTTTGCTTTCTGTTTCCCTGAGGTAAGCGACTGAGGAGGTATAATACCTACCGTGTGCTTTCGAATAGTCAATAACATGGTGCGGAGCTTTCCAAATACGGTCAGACCTTTGTGGATCTATCCGAGTTACGGCCGTGTCGGATACTGACGGCAACCTGAAGATGCATGAACGTTAGCCCTTCATTATTCATTTGTTGGCCCGAACCCGCAGCTTAACTGGAACTCCCTCGAGATTGATAGCCGTATTATAAATTTGGTATATTTTTTAGGTCCCGGCCGGCCAGCGATTACCAGTTCAAGTAATCCAATTGCAGAAGTCTCGACTTCTTCGCATGGCACGGGGGAGAATACGGGTGTGTCAGTTGTTAAAATCACAACCATGCAACTCATATGCATTCACCCCAATATAGAAAGACTATAAGACCAATAGGGAATCACTAGACGGGTCTAGACTCCTAGATTCGTGGAGATACTGCTTTGCTGTTTCTGCTTGCATTCAAGTCGATGACGTCCACTGAGATGTCAGAAAGCGGGATAAGATTCTTCTACACTGTATAGGGTATGGTCTCTCCTAGAAAGACCATCAGCTCAATTATAAAAGGATTGTAGAAGTCCGTTTTTTATGAATTGAGCAAGGCATCCTCTCTCTTTCAAAAACATTCAATCATCTTGTGCTCTCTTTCAATTGTTCTGCCTTCATCATGTCTGTCCAGAACAATGCTAGGTTCGACTTTATCATTGTTGGTGGTGGTACTGCCGGCAACGTTGTTGCTGGCCGCTTGGCCGAGAACCCCAACGCTAAGATCTTGATTGTTGAAGCCGGTGTTGCCAACTCGAAAGACATCGAGGAGATCAGAACCCCTTCGGAAGCTATGGAGCTCCGTAACAGCCAGTATGACTGGGCCTACAAGTCAACCATGATCAAGCGAGACGACTATGAACGTGTTGAGAAGCCCAACACCCGGGGTAAGGCCCTTGGTGGTAGTTCGTCCCTGAACTACTTCACCTGGGTTCCTGGATCCAAGGGTACCTTTGATATGTGGGAAGAATATGGTGGGAAGGAATGGACTTGGGACTCACTTGTTCCCTACTTGCGGAAGAGCGCGACCTACCATGACGATGAGAAGGCCTACTCGCCAGACCTGAAAAAGATCGGACAAAACGGCCCTATTCCGATTTCCCACTCCGAGCTCATTCCGGAGATGAAGCCTTTCCGTGACCTCCTCACTACTGCATGGAAGTCCACTGGTCAGCCAATCAACGAAGACATTTTCGACGGTCAAATGGTTGGCCTAACCCACAGTGTAAACTCGATTTACAAGGGTCGCCGCTCGGGAAGTTTCCTTTGTGTCACCGACAAGCCAAATATCACTATCCTTCCCCAGGTGCACTCGAAAAAGCTTATCATCGACGATGCTGATAAGGTCTGTAAGGGTGTGACTGTCATCACGGGCTCTGGCCAGGAGCTCAACTTCTATGCTACGCGTGAAGTCGTTGTCTCCCAAGGCGTCTTCGAGTCTCCTAAGCTACTGATGCTTAGCGGCATCGGACCTGCCGCCGAGCTTAAGAAGCACGGCATCCCGGTGATTATCGACAACCTTCACGTGGGTCAGCATCTCCTAGATCACCCTGGCGTTCCTTTCGTCCTTCGCGTGAAGGACGGCTTCGGTATGGATAACCACGTCCTACGCAAGGGAACCACCCAGAACAACCAGGCTGTCCAAGCCTACCAGAACAACCACGGCGGACCATTAGGCTCCGGGTTCCTCGAAATGGTCGGATTCCCCAGGATCGATAAGTACTTAGAAAAGGACCCCCAGTACCGTCTGGCCAAATCCTCGAACGGCAACAAGGACCCATTCTGCCCGTACGGCCAGCCTCACTTCGAGCTTGACTTCGTCTGTCTCTTCGGCAGCGCGTTCCAGTGGCATTACCCCACACCAAGCAAGGGAGATTACATCACTGTTATGGTTGATCTTGTCCGCCCCGTCTCTGAACCCGGTGAGGTCACCCTCAACAGCGCCGACCCGCTACAGCAACCCAATATCAACCTTAACTACTTTAACAATGACCTCGACATTATCGCTATGCGCGAGGGTATTAGATATGCCTACGATGTCTTGAAGAACGGGGAGGGCTTTAAGGATATCATAGAGAGCGAGTACCCCTGGGAGATGCCGCTGCACGACGACAAGCTCATGAAGAGAGCTGTGCTAGACCGCTCCCAGACCTCCTTCCACCCTTGCGGTACTGCCCGTCTCTCTAAGAGCATCCAGCAGGGTGTGGTTGACCACAACCTCAAGGTCCACGGCGTTAAGAATCTCCGTGTGATTGACGCATCCGTCATCCCTGTCATTCCCGACTGCCGGATCCAAAACTCCGTGTACATGGTTGGTGAGAAGGGTGCCGATGCCATCAAGCGTGACCACGTCGACTTCTACAAATCTAGTTAGCCGGGAGGACCTGAGATTTTAGTATCTGTACCAATTCAATTTAATGAATGGTGTTTTGCCCAATTAAACATGAACTGTAGTACAGAGTATCACATCCCTCTAAAATCATAGAATTTATATAGTCTACGTTGTCAGTCCTCAATACGCCCTTAGTACTCGGGCGGCAATCGAGGGTGTGTGCGGATGATTTAGGTGAGAAGTATTGATACTTGGATAGAAATGTGAGAACGAGGTGACAATTCTCACCTAGGGTGATAGTGCCTACCTCACCATCCCGAATCGCTGCCTTCCCACTCTCTAAGTGTTTCTAGCTTCATCTTCGTCCGAGATATTTTCATTTCCCTCGGCGGATTCCTTGAATCCGTGCGGCCCTCTGGCTAAGCGCGCCTCATCCCAAATGATCTCGGCTACACTGTGGCGGAACTTGTCGTGGCCTGCTATACAGCGAAAGACTTCGACATTTAGCGGGTTAGCGGGTAAGAAAACGCGATCGATGCGTAGAATCGACGCATTCTTAAATTGTACACATGAGAGGCGGAGATTTTTGATGTCGGGTTTGGATAGATACGATGCTATGCATCCCGATGGCTCGAAAGGGAGGGCAAGGGGGAGTGGTGTAAGGCATGGAGTGATAGAGATGAAGTTCTGGAATTGTCAGGATCGCGGGAAGTGAGTCCCTCCGCCCCTTCAGCTGCGGTCGATCCCAGCCCGGGGGTCCCACTTTTCATTTCCTTGGCTACATCATACTTGATTTGCGATTAGTATCTAAGACGAAACAATAGATCGCAGGTCGGCGTACTAGGTTCTTTAATTCTCACCCTGAACTTACCCAGTTGACACCCACCCGATCACTAGCTGCATATAAGCCACACGCCGCCAAGTGGTCAGTTGGGTGGCTAAGACTCACTGATTTATACAGCCTATTTGAATTGCTATATATTTCCTTTCCAAGCCGGAATAACTACATACGACCACAGGGTGTGGAGAACAGGGCTTCCCGTCCGCTCAGCCGTACTTAAGCCACACGCCGGTAAGTTAGTAGTTAGGTGGGTGACCACTAGCGAATCCTTACTGTTGTATGTTTTTTTTCTTTTTCTTTTTTTTCTTTGCTTTGTTTTGGTCCTTTCTTCCATTAAGGAAAAGTCAACGTAATGAAGAGGATTGGGAGGTGCTAATGGGATTGCAACCTATACCCCTGGCCCCTAGGCTGCCGCAACTGGCGTGTATTAACTATGATATGCTTCTATATCTTCTAATATATATAATCATATATGCTGGGTGTTCCTGCTTCGGTTGATAAACTAAATAAACCATTGGATTCGTCACACTGCAAGTCAAACTAAGGTCTCTGCCGTTTTTCTTCTACATTGTTGGCCTACTCATCGAGCTTCTTTGCAATAACACCCAGCGAGGCCATATTAGCTAGCTTTGACGGGTCCTGGGAGGTTGCGACTACAATATTGTTATTCTGCGTAGTCAGTGATGGCCAATTGAAGACCGAATCCAGAGGAACAGCCGGTAATGAACCAGAAAAGGGCATGATTATGGTGAACTTAATCGGTCAGAAAGAGCTAAGATATCGAAGTATATGCAATAGAAGCGCAGAATGCACGAAACTGATTGCATGTATAAATGGGTGTGATGCCAACGCAGGGTTTAACTGGTTTGAGCCCATATATCAACGTCCACTATCTCCGAATAACTCCACCAGTATTCTTTCTCCTCGTCAGCTCACGCTGATCTCCTTTTCCTTTGCGCCGAAGCATACTTCCCTTTTGTTTGCTACTGCCATCTACGCCAACTACAATATCCCCGTCAAGGTCAAGCCCACCAGCTATTGGCATCTGGGTACGCTTCGATCAAAGGCCACGCATAGCAAGTCAAAGACTGCAGCACAATCTCCGAGTAGACTATTCCGGTGTCCGTGTGTGTATGGCTTGCCTTTCCCGCGGAACTTGGCGTCCGCTGCTTCCAGCCATAGGTAGTTGTCGGGCGGGTCTTCATAGACAGGGGTGAAGCCATGACAACAATAGTCTTATACAAGCATTTTGAGTGCGGCACGGATGTTGTCGGTCCCTATATTCGACCCAGTTAACAATGCAGTCTTGAACCTAGCAGAGGTAGAGACATGCCCGTTCTACCAGCGCCCAAGGTGAGAACTTCCATAGGACGTGTCCCAGGCTCACCAGGGCAATCGATTTGTCCCTGAGCTCCTGACATGCTCACTGTTTCCAATTACCCCGCAATTACAGGAAGCGCAGGGAACGGAAACGGTGGTACAAAATGTTTGTCTAAGTGTGTATATTGATAGATCCTAATGACGATGCCTAATGAAGTCTTGGTATCGCTACATTCGATTGCCACGACAACCGTGCAGTCCATTATACGTTGAGGCGGCATGTAAATCTTCTACTCTCAAGTGTCAATCAGAGGAGTCACGGCGACCACTACCTCTTGCATCTACCCACACTGATCAGTTACGTTCTCATAATGAGCAGTACGAAAGAAGTACATTTGGCTGGAACCACGTTGGCCACTGGCCCCTTATATAGCCATAAAAGTTTGGTGTCTATGGTAGGAGGCGGCCTTCACGATCCGTTTCAACACTTGCAACCTAAATTATAAATATTCGAAAGAATTTAGTGATCTCGGTTTTGCGATATTTGTTCTTCTGCAACTCATTACAGTTATTGTACATGTATTTTGCTGTAATCCGTTCATCTAATTATACATTGTGCAGTGAATAGGTAGCAATACATCGCAAAGGAGAAAACCAGCGGTCAGGAATTGGGTATGCGGGTTGCTCCTTATCTGCAAGGTGCATTGTTGGATATCAGTTGACAGGAAGAGGCTCAATCATGTAAGGGATAATGACCCTACGCCCCGGTTGTCTTTTAAAAAGAAAAAAAAAAAGGCGAAAAATATATGCAACTCTGACTTAAGAGTCGATAAGGGCAAGGTAGATCTTAAACCCAGATATTCACATTATATAAAATTAACATGGGGAAAACAACTAATTGATTCAGCGGGTAGGGCAAATAGCTAGATGGATAAAATAAAGCCAAAGAAAAAAAAAACATACAACAGTAAGGATTCGCTAGTGGTCACCCACCTAACTACTAACTTACCGGCGTGTGGCTTAAGTACGGCTGAGCGGACGGGAAGCCCTGTTCTCCACACCCTGTGGTCGTATGTACTAGAGTGAGCATTGGAATGTATTATACCACAAATGTCAGAAACCCTTGTATGACATGAGAGCCACTAGTCAGATGTGAGCTTGCTAAGGCAGGTAGACATGACTTCCGGGTGGTTGTCTCCGGCCCCCAAACAAACCCCGCACAAGCCTATGGAACTTACCTTTTAACACTTCACTTCAGAGCGAAGTTCCTCCCTCGTCATGGACTGGACCACGCTGCCTGCTGAAGTCTTCGAGATAATCCTCACATATCTGGATCTCGACACGGTCAAGGCTCTTCGTCTGACAGACCGAAAGCTCGCAGAAAAGTGCATCGGCCCCTGGTTCTTAGGCTCCATTCAACAACCAACTTTCGATGTATCGCCGCAGAATCTTCGCTCTCTTCATGCCTTGGCTTGCAATCCTGCCATCAGCAAGATGGTCTATTCTCTGACCTTTCTGGCCACAAGCCTGGACTCTTCCGAATTAGAGAAGAACGTGGAATCTGGAAAATACATTGTGCGGGAATCGCATGGGCCCTTTGTTTCAGCGACTGATGTCGCCTATTCCCCCGAGGAACTCTTGAACGCTAGATCAGACTTGAACTGGTTAAAAGAACAGCAAGAACTAAGATCCAATGAGTCGTCGAGCGAGATGGTTGAACTTCTTCAACTTGCGCTCAAAGGGTTTGGTGAGTTGGATTTTATCCACTTAGATGGTGCGGTCATCATGGGACGTACGCAGAGAGGATCGGCCGGGCATGGGGAGTGGCATCCGCTCTGGATGCGAGCGTCATACGTATTCTCTTTGGTTGTGACAGCCATAGTGAAAAGCGGGGCCTCGGTGAAGAAACTCAATGTATATCGCAGTACTCCCAGATGCTGCGTGCCATCTGGTCATATCACTACCTATGCATCAGGTCTCAACCCAAAGCAGCTAGGGATATTAAGCAAAGGCTTGGAATCACTCAAGCTCAGTATGTCTGCTGAGATACAAAATGAGCTTGAAATTGTCGAATCAGATGAAGATGAAATAGGTGAATACGAGGAAGCATCTCGCAGAACATTTGGCTACTCGGCGGGGCATTTATCATTCGATGATCCTCGTGCGGTGCTAGTTGATGAAACACCGGGAATTACATCCCTACTCAAGTCTGCATCAGCCCTTAGAGAGCTGGATTTATCTTTCCGCCAGACCCTGGTAGACGGGAGCTTGGACAGCTACGACCGGATAATTGGAAGTATCGCCGATGAAACCTACTTCCCAAGACTGGAAAAATGTGCACTTTCTGGATTCCTGGCAAAAGGGGATTCGATTCTGCTATTTCTCCAAAAACATCCCGACCTCCGCTCTCTCACGTTGCACGAGTGTTGTTTGACCGCTGGGTCTTGGACCCCGGTCTTTTCTCATCTAGGCCAGTCGATGCCAAGGCTAGAGAACCTCAGCCTCGGGAACTTGTTTGGAAAACATATGCCGTATCCAAAGTATGCACCGAGGCGCCTCAATTCGAATGATGAAGAGCACGATGAAGAGGAGGGCGAGCAGGAAGTCGATGGCATGGTGAGTCTGTACCCAATTTGGGACGCAGAAGAGCCACCGCGTTGGACAAGCTTTCAAGCGGGTGACATGTATCGTGTGCACACCAGAAGCTTCAATCACGAAGAATTGAAGAAAGGGCTTGTATTTCGGCCGAGACCTAGGGGACGACCTAAGGGCTCTCCTGAACTTATGCAGTGGATGAGATCTCGGAAAGCGCTTTATGGACGTCCATAATGCCGCAGCGCTAGAGGACTTTTCCTTTCTCTTGCCAATAAATTTTCAATATGAAATTCAACAATTACGCTAAATCAATTCTGTTGCCTAGTGATTCTTTTACCACTGGTAATATAGTCCCCGAACAAGCGTGAGCTAATCCGTCGCTAGTTACCTATCATCCCAATACCCGTCAGCCACCTAGAACAAAGCTCCAGCCTGAAAGGTAGTGCTCATTGTTATCTGTGGCCCTGCTGCCCAAAGCGCTTGTCAATCCTGTCAAGGTCAGCTCTAGGCCAACCCGCTGTGCGGAGTTTGCATAAGCTCCATATGCCCAAGTCCAAGAGATCAGACATATCGTGGGTCTGTTCGGTAGAAGCCCAGTCCAGCATCAGGGAAAAACGACCCCACGCACGGATTAGATCACAGCTACGGTTCTCACTACAGGAAACACAGTGCCACATCTGGAAAGGCCCTGCCTAGGAAGACAGGTGAAAAGAACCGTTCTCCTGGGATATTAGTGATCGGTAAAGCCCGAGTGACGAGTGCCAATATGCTTATAGATGCTCATAAATCCATTTTTGGAGAATGCCCGCATCTGTGGCACGTTCTGTCGTGCTACTGCCGCTAGCTCTTGGGTCCGCATGCACTGGCCGGGAGGCATAGACCAAATTCGACCTTCAGCGGAGAATAATGGTCATTATAACTTCTTTTTGGCCGTTTCTACAGGTGGAGCGTTGGCAGATGTGATATGCTTGGGTCCTATCCCTGTATAGAGCAACGAGTCGACGGTGATTCCAAACCCAGGTCCATGGTAAAACCTTCCCATGACAAGCTGAAGATGAATGAACTGAAATTCGTAACTGATGTATGATGGGTAATGAAAGAGGGGCAGAGGTCTTTGAAGATACCAATATTTACCATCCAGTATCTTAGCAATGCTTGCTGATTGAAGTGCCTAGTAGCCCAGCCTTTGGTAGCTCAGTCTTTTCCCATAGTTGAATTTCGGAGGCAGATGGAGCAAAGATAGTATTGCGTTAGGTCGCGAGCAAGCCGCGATAGCGTACGTCATCACTGGGATGTCGGGTGCGACCGTTTGAGAAAAGCAGTTCCCAGCGGAGGAAGACAACAGATGATGGTTGCATAATGCCAGACAAGCACGTCGGCTTAGTATAAGTGCCCAGATATACCACAACGTCCGTGGTGTCATACCAACTGAATAATAGAATCCAAATGTTTGTCCTCGGTTGATTCAAAGGGGTTACATTATTCAGTATGCTCTAAGGCTCTGCATATTTATATCAACTACAACAGGGGGGTATAAATATATACACAGTGCCACTAATGAAGTATTGGACAGCACAATCAAAGCAGCGACAAGCTCTTCTGCTTCAGTCGAATAGAGTCTTCGACATGAAACAAGATATACAAATATGTATCTAGTAATGAAAGATGATGCGGCGATGGGTGTGGCCTCATTGTAGGATATCAAAGTTACTGAGTCGGATCTGAAAAGTTCATTAGACTACAATGATTCTCAATATTCCCCACAGTGGAAATCGTTATCTTCGATAGGAGCAGTTAACGTTAACGAGCGCGATAACGTAATGGAAAAGGAGCTGAGATTCTAAAGCGAGAGACAGCAAACTATGGAGCTTAAATGACTCCAGAGAACTAGCAAACCCTAGTGATCTGCTAGCAATTCTGATAATAAGCAATGATTCCGTCTTGGCAATTTGTTATTGTAACAACGGCGACCGATACGGAATGAAGTCCGCTTTGATGAGGTACCGGTCGATGTAGTCGTTGAACATCTATTCTGCCACCCAGCAGTAGTATAATAAGGCTATATCTATGCTGTCAGTGGAGCAGCCTGGGTGTTAGAGCTCTAGACTGGTGGCATTCAGCGTCTACAATATGGCAGTTACCCTGGAAAGCTCACCTTGTCTCAGGGGAGTGGATCACCGCACATGCTAGCTTGGCTTTACCTGATCTTCGGCACTTTGTTATATATATACATCTCAGATGAGGACATCTGTCCCTGATCGAGAATTTTCGATTGAAGGAATGTTCAGCGCTGCAGTTTTTCACAACTGGGAAGTTTTCCGAACTGGACGAATCAAATGAGTTGACTGAACCAACATTAGACGGATATCTAGGTTTGGCTGCTCGCCCTTGCATGAAATACATTTATAAAAATAGATACCATCGGTCGGAATCATGAGAAAAGGAGTCAAATCACTCATGGAATTTGTGCACAGACAGAGGCTTAATCCGCGCTTACCCCGAATTCTCAGCTGGTCTCTGCAAAGATTCTATTGTAGTGATTATTGATTGGGGCTTGGGGCTCGGACGATCGCGATACAATAGATGAAACTTAAACTATTGAAGGATATGATCTGATTAACTACGGTCACAGCTTCCGGATCTACAGGCACGACTAGTCACTAGTGGAGGGCTAGACGTTTCTATATGAAGGCATTCTACTGCGGCCGGCCTTCAATAACAGTTCGTCTGCAGGGAGAACTGATGCCTCGGTCGCAGAACAATATGTACGTGCAAAGGCACTAAGAAATGACAGGTTCACAAGGCCGAGCGGCGTGGCGTTGTGGACCTCGGACCCCCCGGATGCTTGAAAAAGCCGACAAAGAGAAACATGCAGTAGATAAATGCAGCGCAAACTGCATGGCAGACTCGTCGCTGTCGCAATGAACCGAGGGGTGGTCCATCTAGATCTCGCTTATCGAGAGACGTCCACTTGGTGGACTGTGTGGGCCAATGCAGAATCAAAAGGGGGCGGTGGGGTCTGCAATTTAAGTGTAGTGGCGCACAAACAGGTTCACAGGTCCCTGGGGTTCGTGAGGCGCATGACGAACATCCCCTTGACTGCAAGCTATGGGTGAGCCTAGAATGTGGTTCCTTAATTTTGGTGCCTGGGCAATGATACGTCGATTGAGATGCAGCAAAGCGTCGGATTTTTGCGCTAGCGTCTCCTGGTACCTGCATGTACCTGCATGAATGGCGGAAATCAATGGTTCGCACAGAGACAAGGCGCAACGTGCGTGACCAGGAATCGGTCTGGATAGAAATGCAGGCACAGCCGAGGCAGAAGCAGGGGTTTTTGGCCAGAAAACCTGTGAAGGTACTGAGAATGGGAACCGGTCTATTCCGCCTGCATGGGGGGCTTATGCCAGGAAAACTGGAGGCATACCCAGTCAGATTCGTATTTGTAATGGCATACAAAATGGATCATAAGCAGAAATGCTTATGTTTGTTAGGGGGACGGACTGTATGTATGAACTAAATCCGGTTTGGAGCCAAGAAGGGTCCGAAATGAGGGCCACAAAATCGTCGAGAATTCAATGCTTAAATGGTCAGAATGAAGTTCCCATAATACGCGTACAGGAGCACACACAAGCCATGCCGAACCCCTGAGAGCGGAAAACTCACGATCGGGGAGGGGCGGTGTGGGGGAACTAGTCGCACTAAACGACGCCTATGAGCAATCACAACAACGCCACTGGAACTAGCGGCGCAGGATGTGGAGTTTAACGCTATACTGGGTTTAATTATCATCTTCAGAGAAAGCTGGACTTGTGATCCGTCCTAGGGACCCATTCACCAATGAGAATCCGTGCGAAAAGGGAAATTGGACCTGTTTAGTCGCTTTGAAGCGACCTTTTGCTACTTGGCTTGCTAACTTGGCAGACCCTTTTGGTTCTGATCGACATATCCCCTTTTCGTGCTTGCTGTGGACGGGCTGTTGTGTTAGTCCGGCACCTATAAGGCGATCACCATCCTCTGGTTTTTCTTCTCTTCTGTGCATTGTATCTGTTTCAATCTGTTGTGATTCTTTCACCTGCCTGTCTTTTGCTGTTTACAGCGTCCATTCTTTAACATCTGTGTTACGCCACTCTTTTAAGAATCCTCGGATATCTACGTTTTTTTTTATACACGATGAAGCAGTCTCTTATTACTTCCCTCGTCGCCCTTGCGGCCTCCTCTGTAAGCAGAGACCCTGATAGGTGTGGATGGATGTGGGACTAACACATCATGTACTATAGGGCGTTCAAGCCACTGAGAGCTTGATCAGCGTCCCCGTTGGTCTCTGTGCTGGTATCCTCGGCGAGGCTGAGTGCAAGCAGCAGAGCTCCAACGGCGGCTTGATCAACGTCCCCGTCAACGCCTGTGTTGGTGCTCTTGGTAAGGCCAAGTGTGACCAGGTCTCCTCCGCCAGCAGCAGCGATGAGGGTTCTCTGATCAACGTCCCCATCAACGTCTGCCTCGCTGTCCTCGGCGAGACTCACTGCCAGCAGAAGTCCGACTCCAACGGTGGTCTTATCAACATCCCTGTCAACCTCTGCCTGGCCGTCCTCGGCGAGGCTGACTGCCAGCAGGAGACCGACTCCTCTTCCGGATCTTCTTCCGGTACTTCTCCCACTGGCTCTTCCGGTAGCTTGATCAACATTCCCGTTGGTCTTTGTGCCGGTGTTCTCGGCGAGGCCGAGTGCAAGCAGAAGAGCGCCTCCGCCTCCGGTGGTTTGATCAACGTCCCCGTCAACGCCTGCGTTGCTGCTCTCGGTAAGGCCAAGTGTGACCAGGTCTCTTCCGCCGGCAACGGTGGCAACGGCGGTGGTCTGATCAACGTCCCTGTCAACGTCTGCGCTGCTGTCCTCGGTGAGGCTGAATGCCAGCAGAGCTCCAGCTCCAACGGTGGTCTCATCAACATCCCTGTCGACCTGTGTCTGGCCGTCCTCGGCGAGGCTGAGTGCAACCAGGGCTCCGCCACCACCACCGCTCCCGCTTCTTCCTCCACCCCCTGTGACACCATCACCAGCGAGCACATCGGCAGCACTGTCATCCCCGGCGCTTCTGAGACTCCCTCCGCCGTTGCTCCTACCGCTGCTTCCTCCACCCCCTGTGACACCATCACCAGCGAGGAGATCTCCAGCACTGTGATCCCCGGTGCCCCAGCTCCCTCCGGCTCTGCTCCTTCCGGTGCTGCTCCCTCCGTTACTGCTCCCTCCGGCCCCGCTGGTCCTTCCGGTGTTGCTCCCTCCGGTGCTTCCTCCACCCCCTGTGAGACCATCACCAGCGAGGAGGTCTCCAGCACTGTGATCCCGGGTGCCCCCGCTCCTTCCGGTGCTGCTCCCTCCGTTACTGCTCCCTCCGGTCCCGCTGGTCCTTCCGGTGTTGCTCCCTCCGGTGCTTCCTCCACCCCCTGTGAGACCATCACCAGCGAGGAGGTCTCCAGCACTGTGATCCCGGGTGCCCCCGCTCCTTCCGGTGCTGCTCCCTCCGTTACTGCTCCCTCCGGTCCCGCTGGTCCTTCCGGTGTTGCTCCCTCCGGTGCTTCCTCCACCCCCTGTGAGACCATCACCAGCGAGGAGGTCTCCAGCACTGTGATCCCCGGTGTCCCCGCTCCCTCCGGCTCCGCTCCCTCCAGCTCTGCTGGTCCTTCCGGTGTTGCTCCCTCCGGTGCTTCCTCCACCCCCTGTGAGACTATCACTAGCGCTGAGGTCTCCAGCACTGTGATCCCCGGTGTCCCCGCTCCCTCCGGCTCTGCTCCCTCCAGCTCTGCTGGTCCTTCCGGCTGGTCCCCCGTCTCCTCCGGCGTGCCCCACCCCACTGCCCCCGCCTCCTCCTTGTCCACCCCCTACGTGGTTAGCACTGTCAAGGTCTGCAACGCCGCCTGCTCCTCTTCCATGTCTCTCACGAAGCCCGCCACCAAGCCCGCCTCCACCGGCTTCGTTGCCCACACCTCTGCCCCTAGTTCTAGCGCCGGTGCCTCCTCCACTGGAAGCGTTGCCACCCCCTCCTCCAGCACCGTTCCCTTCAACGCTGCTGGCCGCACCACCGTTTCCGGCCTCGCTGTTGTCTTCGGTGCCCTCTTCGCCGCTGCTATGCAGTTCTAAATGTAGGCTAGATCCTGTTTATGTTCTCGCAGTAGTTGCATCTGTTTCTGGCAGTTGGTATCATGACGTTGTTGTCAACCGCTGTTGACGTCCATATTTGTTTCCCTTCTTTGTCAGATATCCCAGACTCATTTATATTTTATCTTCTATTTCAATGGCTTCAATCAGCCTGAACATAGTTCTCATATAATACTACGATATATGTCCTTAGGTTTGTCTGCTTGGTAGTTGTAATTTATACGGATTCAGTTCATGTATATATGCCCATTTTCGAGTCCCTCCGATTGTGTTCAAATGTAGTGGGTTACCCCTGTAGGTTATATACAATTGGGGATATGAAAGGAATTATGGCCTATGACTGTAGCTTGGAATTAGGAACACTACACTAGTGTATTTCGAAGCCCCGATGAGCTCCTCAGAAAAGATGTGGGAGCAAAGGCGAGAATAGGGCGAAAACAATGCAAGGGACGGTATCCTTGCCTCGAGGCTGGTTCGTGTAGTGACTGTAATACTTTATCAGTGGCACTGTATGAACAGTTATGGCCCTTGATGTATGAACGAAGAGACTGAATGGTTGCGGAAGACGAGGGCACGTAGAAAGAGGAAATAGTTACTCGGGCTAGCAGTGGAAGTGCAAATTGAGGAAAATAATAGATTGCCACCGCATGCTCTTCTCGCGCTGCGCGGTATGCCGAAGCCCCGGCTCCAGTGGCACCCCAGCTTCAGCCAAATCACCCGAGACAATTGTACTTCCAATGGGGCAAGAGAACCGTTCATGACTATGGTTGCTCTTACGCACAGTACGCAACAACCCGTATTGCGGTCCATGTTCGATGCTTGAATGTCGGGAACTGGGGCTTTTTTCCCGGCACTACAAACTATGGGCCCCCGAGAGAATCTCAGACACCGCAAGACGACAGACAATGTATCCACGACGCCATTCACGACGCAGGACTTGGTGGGCTGGAGAACACGATTCTCTAAAATCTCTCTCACCGAGACTGTCGGCCTCTGGTGGCAATTCTCTTGGCTTTCCTTCGAATATTTCGACACTGTACGCCCATGTTCCCAAGTCTGACCCTATTCTGAAAGAGGTCTCATGGTTACCCAGACATATAATCGCGTCCTTTGCGTGAGCTCAAGGTGTTGTAGCTGCTTTCGGAAGTTTCTGTGTCTGAAAGCACTCACCACCCATCTGTCAAGGCGCATTCCCCAGAGCCTTTTGGCAATTCGTCCGTGTATATCGACGAATCGCTTGGTCCCGATTACATATGGCCAATTTTTTATTTACCAAACTTGCGGAGTTTGTCGCTTGATAGCCTCTACCCGGAAACCGCAGGCGAATTCTTGAAGTCAAGGAAGACGTTCGTCAATTTCAAGAGTTGCGATGCCTTTGAGCTCAGTCGCACTTGACACCCTGCTTCGATCTGCCATTTTTGTCAGGATCTTCGTATGTTTCGATACTTCACATCGATCAATTTGACATTTTCAACTTCTGAATCACCCTTAGATCGAAACTAATTCGGCAATGCCCTCATGAAAGCTCTACCTTTTATTTGCGGAAGTGGTCCACTGTCTATTGCGCACTCACCCTACTCACCAGGGGGCAAGGACATTAAAACCCTGAAAAGTCTCATACAAAGTGGTAATATGACTATCGACGAATCGCCAGAAACTCAGAAGATGGGATCTGACTGTCCGCTTATCGACATTAACAACCTTGTGCAACACCGTGGTCCTGCTCTAACACATCGCCTCGAAGCAACCAAATCTCGGTCGACCTTAGTTACAGTTATGCTATATAGTGTTCGAGACTTCACTATCATCTAGAAGTTCAACACGGGCCATCCTTTCTAGTTCCTCTAAGGCCATTTCCGAAAACTCTTGACCTGGCGGGTTGGATTCATCGCCGAGGGACGACAATTCTGCCAGCTGCTGCTGTATCCATCGTCGCGCCTTTGCCACCTGTAATTCCCATAGTCCCTTTAACGTAGCATGCCGGGTCGTGATATAAACAACTGCAAGAACATTAAGGTCGACCGAGCGTAGTTCATGATGCCGATTGCTGACTGGAGACTGATTTGCGAAGGGGATGACCGTTTTGAATTGCGTTATAAGAGCGCGTTGTATATTCGTCCCATAGAGACGAAATTCGCCATCCGCGCCTTGTGAGTAGAGGATTCGTGACAAGGACAATATGTTTGTCGGATCTTCTGGAACCGCGGGAGTAGCTCTTGGTGAATTATCTTCCGAGACAGGTCCGACTGAGGCCCCGTACATTTGAGGCTCCCAGCTCATCAAAGGTGGCCCAAAATCAAAGTATTGTTCGTTGTGGACCCAACTCTCCTTGGAGTCCGACGTAATAGCATTGGAGTATGACCAAACCCCATTGTGTGACGAGTTAACTGTCGCGGCTGTCGAGAAAATACTGGGACGGATGGTATTGTTGCCTTGAAGAGCCACATCACTTTGGCCTGTGCTGGGTTTGTGTCCTTCAGGATCAGAGAACGCGTGGGATGCCGTCCTAAAGTCGAGGCCGTCTCCAGCTGATTGTGACGGCACTGACGGATCGATGGAAAGAGACGATTGAACTTCATCAGTACATTCAGCTGATATTTCGCCGTTTGGACCTCTCTTGTTTAAGTCTTGGCTGGACTTGGGCATGGTATGCGGTGAGCCTTTCGGGAGATCATCTGCATCACGGCTACTACACCGGGGTTCAGCGCCCCCACTGCGGCCGTGGGAGTGGCGCCGAGCACCGTAGGTATTAGCACCGTAGGTATTAGCATCATAGGTACTAGCACCGTACGTACTAGCACCGTACGTAGTAGCACTGTAGGAACTAGCACCGTACGCATTAGCACCATCTGGGCTGTAGTAGGCTCCGCGAGTGCTGACTGGCTGGCCATAGTAGTGCTCCGCAGGAATACTACCAGTAACTGGGTCGTTTCCGTACTCGATTAAGCCTGCAGAGTCACGAGAAGGATCGGGATACATTTCAGATCCAGTACGGTTGGCAGGCTCTCGTGAAATGGGTCTGTCAAAGCTTCGCTGTTGGCCTTGACATGGTGCAGGAGAACTTCCTCCGTAACGCCGAAATTCTTGTGGTGCATAAGACGCACTTCGGAATGATGACTGACTTGAGGTCATTGACAGGGGCAAGGCAGCCACAGTTCTTATCTTCCGCGGCCGTGTCAGTTCGGACACATCGACACCATCGGCTTTCCAGAGTGATATCTCGTGGCGCCGAGCGGTGTCACGGTCGATAGCCACATAGCTCGTCCACTTGCTGGCTATAGACCATTGCTGACCAAGGCGCTGTGCCTCCTGTTCTAACAACCTGTCAAATATTTCTGGTTCGTTAGACCTGAGAGCTGAGTTTGCTGCATGCATCCAGCTGTGGCCAGTCTCGTAATCATTCATCAACGCTTTAGCTGCAAGATGGTGTACACCGGATTGATAGCCGGATTTCTGCAGTGGCAACTGCGCAGTGAGTTTCTCTCCCTTGTCGGTTACCCCTGTTACAGTAACTGTATCAGGCAGAGAACCCAGCTCGCATTCAAGCATGTAGTACAGGGAGAATTGCGAGAAAGCATTCAGCACAGGGATATGGTGCGGGGCCTGGATGCAGGGCGGCAGTTCCAGTTTATAGTCAGATATTTTGCTCGCCTCAAAAGCCCCCGTAGCTGCCGGACGCAATTCGTTGATATCTACCTCGCACCGCAGACGGGGGGCGTCAACGCCGCCTTCAACATCTGGATCACTCTACCTTGCCATGACCCCGGGGAAGACTCTGCGACGATCTCTGCACATCCACCGCCCTGTTGTCCAATACCCTCAACCAATCGATGAGATACGCGATCACCGATACCAAGCGCAAAGAATCTTATGTTCACATTGCGGTCTGAAGCGGTATTTTTCGCGAATCGAATCACTTGATCCACATCCCACACTTCCCCGTCCGTTAGCAGTATCACGTTCGTTGGAACATCAAGCCTTTTGTCATGGTAGTGGAGCACACTCTGTAGAGCAGACAAGATCTCCGTACCCCCGAGATTTGCTTGGAACGCTGCAACATGCTGGGTCGCGATATCTAGCTGATCCTGGTTATAGACTTTTGAAACAGGCCACAACCACGAAACACTTGAGCCGAAAGAAGCAATGTTAAAGGAGCACTGCTGGGGAAGACTCCTCAGGAAAACATTCATCACATCGATCAATGAGGGGATGTTTCTTTCCATGGAGCCGGATCTATCGGCCATGAAGATGATCTCGCCGTTGAAGTCGTCAGGATTGACCATTTGCAGGAAGAGATTTCCGGGGTTTATTGTTATGGCAACCGTGGACCGACCGGGAATTTCGGGTTGTGAAGTGGCAACGGCTTGCGACTGCATAAACTCCCTCGGGCTCGAAAGGATGATAAATAAGACAAAATCTCGATGGAGAACTGCTGATCTATCTGCCAGGTTGGCGCGTGCTTTGGAAGGGTCGAACGTCTCTGATGAAGCCCCTGCGGCGAAGGTCTGGAAGCTCTGGTGGGAGACTGCTCCGATCTCAACTGAGATAGGGTGTGTACCCGACTCCATCTTGCGGATAGCTGCTGGCATCGACGCGTGGATACTGATCCGCAGACCTTCGGTGGGTAGAGGATCGGCTGCACTGTACTCTTCCGGGGCACTTCCATATCGCGGCGCAACAGAGGTCGGGATATTGAGAACTAGCCCTCCCGTGCTGATGTCCACTTTCAGAAGACCGGTGTAAGCGATCTCAACCCTGACAGTTGTCTGCGCAGGAATATTTCCCAGGTTTGTTTCAAAGATCTCTGGGGTCACCTCTTCAACCAGCACAGCTGCTTTGTGTCGTGAGACTGCTTGCTGGAAGTCCGCACGCGCAACTTCCTTGGGCTTGACGTCCCCTTCAAGCAGCTTATCGGGGCCGATCCAGCACTTAAAGGAGGTAACGACGGACCCATTGTATATGGGGAACAAATATCGAGCGTTTTGCGCGGCGCTGGCAGCGGCGTTGGTGAATTTCTGAGTGACCTTGGTGGTGGAGAGTGTTCCGTTGAGGTCAACATCAATGGAGACGCTCAGCAGTGGGAGAGGGGTTTCTTGACTAGACTCCAGACTGGGGGTTGGCAGTGCGATAGATCGATCAGCAGGATCATATTTTCGTTTACCCTTTGAAGGTTGTGAGGGCGGGATAAATCCTGGATTCACGTTCAGCTGGTGGACAAAGAGCCCAGATTCGAATCTGTCGATGACATCCATTATCGTCGGTAGTTTGTTGCCAACGTTCTTGGGTAGGTCGAAGGCACAGAAAAGGCTTTATTATTTAGCCAACTCATTCAGCCTCATTTGCTGTTTGTTTGCTTTGTCTGCCTTGCCCGACCTCATTGCCCCGAATCACCCCCGCTTCGCCTCACTGCAGGTTATATGCACACAGCCCCGGATGGCTTGGCACTGTGTACAACTGTCACCCTGTGCTGATGACGTTGGCGATGCTCTAAATTCCTTTCGTCGCCATCTTTTCTGCCCCCTTTTCTACGCATAGGTCCTCAGCCATGGCGTTCCAGATATCGATCGGAGATGCCTTGATGCTATCGAAACTCGCCTATGACATTGCTCTAGCATTCACGTCGGGCAGGAAGTCGGCACCCGCACAATTTCAAGAAGTGCAAAACCAGCTCTACTCACTCAGCACAGCCTTGGAATCATTCAAGTCGCTGTCCACTGAAGGCGAAGAACAGACCAATCAACGCCCGGTGGATGGGATTTCAGCAATCATCCAAAACTGTCGCATGACCCTCAAGCATCTTGAACTGCTAGTGAACAAGTACATGGTAATACAAGATCAAGATGATAAATCCAAGCCACAAAAAAGACAGTGGTCAGCTGAGATATCCAAAAACTGGAAAAAGGTGCAATGGACAAGGGAGGGAGGTGATCTAGCGAAACTGCAGCACAACCTGGGAGTCCATATCAATAGCTTGAATCTTGCTGTTGCGGTCACAAACAGGTAAGCTTGTTCCTACCTTATTGATGTTCAGACAGCTCAAACCCCCAAGGGAATTAAACCAGAAGATAGACCGCCAAGTAGATGACGTCCATCAGAAGCTTGATGAAATCTATGGCTGGTTCACAAGCAGCTTGAAAAATCGAACGAATTTCAACGAGCCACGCCAATTATTTCGACCAAAGGAAGATGTGTCATCAGCATTAACCTTTTCGTTGTATATGGAAAGTCCTGACAGTCACGATGTCGTTCCTATCTGCGAAAATGCATGTTTCGACCCAGGATGGCTTCAGACCTCCACTAATCATCGAGTGTTCAAATGTCAATGCTATTTGATAGGAACAGAGTATGGGGGCGGACACCATGAGCATCTATCAAGGTTCTCATGTATGCATGCACCTCTACTTACTTCAGAGCTAGTAACTAATTTCACAGTATCCTATATGAGTCTCATCGCCCGCTTGAATGGACTATCGCAATCTTGGAAAATCTGGCTATCCTCAGCCAAAGTATCCAAACTTACGCCTTTGGTAATACGAAATATCCACCCATCACGTATGTAGCAGAATGCAGAGTTGGTGTCATCAGAATGCTAATAACAACAAGAATTGGCTCTCTTTGAGGACGCAATAGCCGATCTGGCAACTACCACGGCTCGACAAGCTACTGGGCGCGGAGTAGGCTCGTTGATGGTTTTTCCATCCGTCAATCCATATACAAGTCGCACTATGATTTCAGTTCTCAATATGATATGGTACGCCAATAATGTATCCCTGAAAAGCCGTCGTGCTAATCATTGTCCAAAGTGATACCCGCATATTATACAACCAGATTACCAACTTGAGACTTGCTGCTAACGGGCATAGCTATTGTCCTGGCTCTATCGAGATGATTCAGATGGTTCATTACCGGAATTTGAGTGAAAGCCGCGAGTGGATATTTCACGAGACCGCTGATGTTATGTTTCATTTACAATCAGAGAAGGGCCATGTTAGCTCATTGGATGATCGCGTTGTTAGATTGCACTTTACTAGTGAGTGAGCATCGATATCTTATTCTGTGTGCTGGCTTAACCGTTGCTAGTTGACTGCCAAACAAGGTTCACCGTCGGAGAAAGCACATCAACTGTTTGCGTTAATCAAACAGATTGCCTCTCTGTGACTGAAGCTGGCCAGGAGAACATGGCCAAAGGCGTCGATGCTGAGATAGAGCTTTGTGACGACAGTAGTAAGATGATCTTTCGTTTTATCTACTCTTCGCTAATACTAGTAGCTGCAAACTATCTCTTTCGTCAGTTGAAGTATTTGCAAGAGGGCTTGCTGTTCTTCAAAATCCAACAAATCCAGAGATACGAGAAACTTGTATTCCAATTGTACGTTTGATATCAAAGATTGATTTCAGCGAATTCTAATTCGGGCACCTGGACAGACCCCTTGGTCTCCTAATGATATACAACTACCACCTTGCCGACGCAACGCTAAGACTCGGATTAAACGTCGAGAAAGACGTATATCGTCTCCTCCTCTCTAATGGATCTAAGTCTATCTCCCTGAGCATCGAGGGTATGTTTCTATACCTATAATTGATCGATAACTTCCGTTCTAATTCCGAGCAAAGTGCCACCGGAATCGCTAAGTCAAATCCCGGGAACCGAGGAGCCATGTATCTCCCTGAATGCTGTATGCTGGATTGCAGAAACCGACACAAATACCACACATATATACGAGAATCAAAAAGAACCTACTCTTACTTGCGCTGATCAAGACAGTATGCGCGCCCTCAAGCAATATGTTATTTCGCATACTGACAATTACGACATAGCTCAACAGTTACTTGCGTTAATGTTGCAGTCTGTGGCAAGTGGTAGGTCCTTTCCATATAATTATTTATATTCCTCATATGCTAAACCGGAAAAGGAGGCCATAGGGGCAGCCTACCGATTCTAGGGACGAGGCGTAGTGATTCGGAGATTCTCAGCCTGTCTATTGCGCACTCACCTGCTCCTTCCCCGGTGTCGCGCCACTAAAGCAGCGCTCCCCCTAAACTCACCCGTCGGTTTGTTCTAGTGATTCGTCGAATACGGCGGCTGCGGCACCCTAATGACCCCGGGTGTCCCGAGGCGTTTGAGTATACCATAATGTCTGTGTACCGTGCTACCTCCGCCCGTTCTATTGCTATCCCCCTGTCTGGCTCGATCTCGACTTTCGAGAACGCCTCTGGCCTCCATGGTGGCAGCGGGGTCGGGCCAATTATTTCGATTTCTTGTAGCCTCTCTAGGCTTATTTTTTCAACGCCTCTGCTAGCGGGTACCGGGCGAACGATCTAAGATTGTTCCGTCTCATTCGGGCCCGAGGCAGCGCGCTCCATATAGGATGTTCCTGAGGTAGGGTGTGGAGTCTCGTAACGGTGTTTTGTACGCGACAGCGTAGACGGAGATGAATTGGATATTGTTATTATTCTATAGCGCCCTTATAGTGATAGGTTATACCTACCTAACTAAAGCTTTGACGATTTCGTAAACAGTTCTAGCACTCTAAAAGTTATCGACGAACTTCTTAATTTTGCTAGTCGAGGGACACGAAATATCGGTACTGTTACTGTTGTTAATACATTTTCATTTCAACATAAGAAAGACGACGCCAACGCCGACCTTCGATGCGAGGAAATTCTTGCACATTTTTTGTAGGTAAAAAAGCCTCGAGTGATTATCTATTATTTAAATCTATTGTATCAAAGTTTGTTAATAAGAAAGTTCAACTTTCCCAGGAAATATTACCGAGTACGAAGCGAAGTTATCGAAATTGCCGACGGCTACACGGCTCTTATTATACTATCTTTTTATCCTTCGCGAGCGGTAAATTACCTTAAGTATAGGCTAGAACTACGAGTGTTGCTAATATATCACTTTGCTATAGCCTTCCGTTTATAAAGTGATAGAGCGACGATACTATATTGCGTAAGCAGAATTCTTGATTTGTGCCTCTACTAGGGAAGCAAAAAGAAGACCAATCTTCTCTTAGTGAATAGGACTTAGCATTATACATATTAGATAGCCTTAACAAGTCTTATCTACGCTATAGCAAGGATATTATACCTCTATTAAAGGCTGGCTTCGTCGATAAAAGTCTTTTCCGAGAAAATCGATAGGGAGGCGGTTACCTTCGATATATCGGCTTTTTAGCTTACGCTTCTTTGTAAGAAGCCGCAAAAATTTGACCTATTTAGAACTACATCTATTTTGTTCTTCTTGCAAAGAGCGAGCATTAAGAATAACACCTTTTATTCTCGGATCTCCTCTACACTGCTTAGCCTAAAGTTACAGTAGGATTATTGGGTTTACAATGCCGAACACATAGACATAACTAAAGTATAGGAAGAGTTTTTAGCAATCACTATTTGTGGTGGCCCTACTATATTTGATTCTATAGAAGCAAACCGCAAAGCTTATAACTCGGTTTTCAATATTCTAGGCCTTATTAAGTGCGGCGAAAATATAGATTTAACGGGAGTCAAAACACGTCAACACTACTATAGCTTTGTTAAACAAAAATCGGTTATAGATCAGTATATAGCTAGCACGCGGGATGTCACCATTTTCTAAACGCTACGGATAGAAGCAATTTCTAGACGCTGCTAGGTCACTATCGAAACGTTACACAAAAAGAGCGAATTGTATAAGGAAACTTCGCATCTTAAGGCTATACCGCACCTCAACCGTTTGCTAGAATATCTCCTTAAGTTAAGAATAGAGCTTAAAGCTATACACGAGTAGGTTTTTGTTTTACGCCGATAACAAAGTTATTCATAGAATACAGCACGATTGCAGCGTTTTCGTAAATGCGGGACATAACTAAAGGAGAGGAAAGAAATAATGAGGGATCTTAGACGGAGTAGGACTGCTCCATTTCCTATAGCAGTGAATATAGAGTGATTGCTACCTCAACTAGTCGATGGTATCCTAACAGATCAAGCGGGGTATTGGGATGTTCCGTTAATTGTCTATACAAATAGGTATACTTATTTGACTACTGCCCTGGTAATTTATAGTTTATTGTACATTATACGGTTTGTGCTGAAAGGACATTTAGGTTCGAACTAGCGCAGCTTGGCAACCTAGATTTGAGAAACGATCGAAGAGTGTAGATGGTGACACCAGTTTCGAGGCGTATTGTATGTACACAATAAGCTCCAAGACAGTCACTTGAGTACGGGCAGGAGTGGTGGTAGAGGGAAGGACATCTTGCTAGATTGCCAAATTTACAAGGCCCACTCCAGCTCCTGATATCTAGTTAACTGATTATTTAACTTATTTGCATTAACACGGAAAGTTCCAGCTACTGCATACAGTAATGAGGCCCGACGTATATGTATCACTTGGCGTAAAGTACCGTAGGTAATCTAAAAGGAATATTGATACTCCAGGTCTATTCCTAATACGGCTCCTAATACGGCATAATGGATCTTGGCATTAGGGTTCGGGAAACAATCGAAGACTGGGGACACCAGTTTCGGGAAGTACTGTAAGACAAAAGAAAAGCGAGGAATGGCATAGCCTACCTGGAACTTTTATTAAATTTCACGAAATAGCGAATGTACGGAGAAGATAATTGAAGTCATGCATGGATGTGACTATCTGTGGAAGCTGACCGTTGATAAAGGGTCGTTTCTACGAGCTAGTTGCTGGTGGACCCTATATAGCAAATCTCCTAAGCCTAAATCGAATGATCTCAAAAGCATCAAAGCTGAAATCCTTTGACAACATAAGGAGGCCATAAGTTTGAAGAACCATAAAGAAACTTGGTTGTAAAATGCTTCTAGTTGTGTTACGTGCACATGACAAAAAGCTGAGCATTTCAGATGAAACGGTGTGATCCAATGATATTCTGTTATTGTTCAGCTGAGGGGGTCAGTGCAGTTTTCGCGCGACTCGGGTGATTCTCGCCCTGATTCTCACCCTGTCTAAAGAGCACTCACCCTTCTCACCCCTGGTCGCGCGACTTTAAAGCGGCTCTCACCCTAAACTCACCCGCGACCACTGCATTGACCCCTTCAGCTAAACCAAGGGAGAATATCATTGCATCGTGTCTTTTCCCTTGAAACACTCGGCATCTTGGCATCTCCACATAACTAGAACTGGAGAGACTAGAACTGGAAGCACATATACCCTGGTTTCAAATGGACCGGGGTCTGGGTCCGGGCCAGCCGGCCCATTTTCCCCATTTTCGCTCTCTTTTATTATTCATTGTCGTTGAGACATGGCATCCCAAGGTGTTCGGCGTATCACGCCTTTAGGGAATGGCTTTAGTCTTTCAAACGGGACCACGGGGGGTAATTCGCGATTCCAAATCAAAGGTGAATACCATTTTCAAACCCTTGGATCCGGGCTGAGCTGACAGATCGAATTTGAGGTGTCTCCTATATCTGGGACACGAACACCGCTGGTTATACTGATCTCCTGGTCGATGAGGAACAATGTGCAATCGATGCCCCTTTAATGAAGGAGCTAGGGGCAAATGTAATTAGTGTGTATGCGATCGATGCGACCAAGAACCATGACAAGTGCATGCAGATCTTTTACGACCATGGCATCTATGTTATCGCCAATTTGGAGGGTACCTGGGCCATGGTAACTAATCGCAAAGCATTCCAAGGGTCTTGAGACCGCATACTAAATTCTGTGATAGGGCAACAATACCTGGGATATGTACTACTTCACACAATACTCGGCTGTCCTTGATGCACTCGCAGGGTACGAGAACACCTTGGGGCTGATTGTGAGCAACCAGAACATTGCTGCTGGTGCGATGACCTTCTTCCAGACATTGCTGTTGTGCTAATACCTCTGATTAGATAGTCAGATTGACAATGCACCATCATTGAAGGCTGCAGTGAGAGACATGAAGGCATACGCAAACGCCAGAGGATATCTAAACCTACCCATCGGGTACTACACGACGATGCTCACCTCAACGAATTGGCTCAATCTGGGAGAGTACCTTGCATGCGGAAATAGCAGCGATGCTATCGATTTCCTCGGACTGGATCTGTATACTTGGTGCGGAAGCTCGTCCGTCGAAAGCTCCGGTTACGACGATTACGTTAAGCAGTCAACAGCTCTCGGAATACCGGTTTTCCTTTCAGAAGATGGCTGCAGCTCAACAACACCGCGAAGCTTCGGTGACCAGTCCGCTGTCTTCGGATCGGTAGAGTCCACCTACTGGAGCGGTGCGATCATATATGGATGGCGAGAAGAGTAAGATGCCTTTTCTTTCTTGTCAACCTGTCAGTGCACCAGTGCGCAAGCTGACATACCGCGCAGAGTATTGAGCCCTGGACGAGGACTGGTGTCATACCCGAACGTGACTGGGTCTTCATCGGCGGCGGTCACCCCGACGCTGCTGGCCGACTATACCAACCTTAAAGAACAATGGGCTTCCGTTACCACAAGCTCACATACACTTCGTGTCACAACTGCACCTGCCTGTCCTACCTCTAGCACCAGTCTCTGGACTTTGGATCCCTCGGCTTCCTTGCCCATGATATCAGGGCTTGACTTTGCGACTGTGAAGGAGGCCAGCCTCACGCGCCTTTTGACGAGTACCAGCGCTAGTACTAGCACCAATAGTGCAAGTTCGGAGAGCTCAAGTGGAAGCTCTAATGGAGACTCGAGTGGCTCTGACTCGAAGACCCGGATTGGTGTGGGAGTTGGGGTTGGCGTCGGCGTTGGGCTGCTGTTGATGGCTGCAGCGTTGTTCTTCTGGTGGCGACGAGAAAAAGCAAAGAACAATCCATCCAACCAAGAGCAGCTACAAAAGGGACAGAAGCACTTTCGGGAACTGGAGGGCGAAGGGACCACTCCCCAACTACATGAGATCAGTGGGAACTCCAGCGCGGCAGCAAACCCAAAGGAGATATTATCCACGGAGATTCTCGAGGTCAGCGCGGCAAAGAACCACGCTCAAGGAGACTTGCTCGCAGCAGAATTGGACACGATCAGTGCCACTGAAGACCGAAAGGATAATCCTTCGCCTGTACTAAGCCCTGCTCCCATAGTTGTCTCATCGCCAGTCTTCCCAAAAGAGACTGTAATGTCGACTTCAGGAAACTTGAGTAGAAATGAGCTAGCTGAGGAGGCAGACATCGCAGTGCAGGAGCTTGGGCTTATCAACTTGCGCAAACGGGCTTTGGCCGCTCAAGCAGAGGCCCTTGATAGTAGCCCCGAGTCCAGGGCGGGAAGGCAAGGAGAAGAATACCGAGAGCTGCTTCAAAGAGAAGCAAGGATTACTACTAGATTGGAAGAGATTGAGAGCCAGCACAGAAGCATTAATTGAGTCGCTGATTCAGAGTGATTGGAAGATAGAGAGATGCAATGGGCTGTAACTCGAGTGATCCATTAACATGAATGTTACCAGACCCTCCGCCTTGACACTAATCAGATCTTCTTCGCTGGAGATTGCAACGAGATACAACGGGACGATTTCCCGCCAACTTGTGGTCGTATGTATCATGTGCAGTGATGAGGGGAACTATGGAGATGCTGAATCCTCATCAATCCTATCGCGCAGGCTCCGAGGGCTATCTACTCCAGCAGTGAGGTCATCGATCCATGCGCGTACATGCCGAGCAACAGTCTCATCATCGCAAGTTTGCACTGCAATATCGAAGTCTCTCGCTGGCTCTTGTTGAAAACATCCAGCCATCCCGGTTCTAGTCTTTTCATCCTTTCAATGAGCACATCATGGAGGAGAGTGACCTCATGTCCCATAGGTGCTCCCAGTAAAGATCGGAGGGTTCCCCATTCGCTTCATGTTTGTATCGTCCTAGATCGGGCTTTAGACGTCGTTGTGGCTACTTCAAGAATGCAGGGTAATAGCAGGCAAATGATAGAGAGCGCCATATCTCCTTCAAGGGCTTCCCAGACATTTTGGTCATGATGATCCATTCAAATCCGATGGGAAGATTGACCAGTGATGAATCTGGAATGGAATACTCGCGGTGCGGGATGTCCAGTCCACTGTCGATACTTCACTCATGGTTTTATAGTACGGATCAACGGGCAACGAAACTCGCATAATGAAAACCTTCTTGTTTATTTCCAAGTCGTAGAGTTTGTTGGAGGCACCCTCAGCGAGGAAGGTCACTTGGACCGTGCTTGACGGCTGTAGCGACTGTATTGTTTTCTTGATGGCCCCAAGATCCGGTTCCACTGTCCACTGGGATTCAACATTAAAAGTCCTTTGAGTCCAGGCAAGGCCCCGGGGCTGCACTTCCACCGATTTCATGTTTGCGGTGGTGAAGCGGGTTCGCCAGTGGGTTTAACTTGGTCTTGAGATTCTGCTTTCCGAGCTTCAATTTGCGGGACCGTGAAAGGCTTGAAGTACGCGGACGGGACGCGCTCAAAGAGGTCCACGGGTCAGCGTGGGCCGGATCGGGTCAGAGTAACTGGATTCGGCGGCTCCGAACTTTCAAATGTCAACACACGGATAGGCGACGTACACCCCTTTGGCAGATTGTATATAGACAGGATGCTGGAGGCACTACGCACAAGAACAGGGATCAATGATCAATGTGATAATATTGAGAGTGATCGTTGGTTGAGAAGGGAGAAAGCGAGAGCTGGCTAGACTTTGGGATGAACATGGGGAAACTTCCAAACCATACAAACAGATCAATCGAACGGTAAGGGGCACATATAAACCGTAATAAACCGCAATAAACTATCCAAAAACCGTATTAAACTATTCGTGTGTTTCATTCAGGAGAAGCAACACATCCTCGATGGACTCCTAGGGGTGTGAAATACTACTGTTGATCCCGGAGACAGGCTTATTCATCGTCCGCCCATTCCTCCATATGTTGTGTCTGGTAATTCAGGTACACTCGGAAGTACAGCGTCGTAACACGCTATAGCAGACACCAGGAGATCTTTCAACAGATCATCACATCTTCAATCAACACGCATAATCACCAAGGGGCCGAAAGGTGTTTTTGGTGGGTGGGATCGGAAAAATGTAGCATAGTGGAATCATGACAAAGCCAACATTGGGACCCACATCCAAAGGATTGACTGACGACCCCGCCCCCAATTACTACATAAACCTCGTGGGATAGCTAACACTTGTCATGATCTTCTATCATCTCCGCATCTGAAACACAACCATGGGGTGCTGTGTGAGCATAGTCGACCCCCAAGAGAAGGAACTCGAAGACTATTATCAAACCGTCACGCCAGGTTTGTCACCCAGCGGCCAGGAACCAGCTCGTTGCGCAACAAGCCTGACCATTTGTTGCTAGGCATCACTCTTCACAATTTACACAAGAATCTGGTCGAATATGGAACTCAGGACGAACCACATCAGGCGATATTTGAGGCATGTAGCCTGCAGCACTCGCCCCAGGAGCCGCTATGTAAGAGATACTTGCTCACAGTAATGACACTGGTATCAAAATATGATTAACGAAATAATGATTCAGATTGGACAAAGGGAAGCTTTCGAAATCACATCACAAGAAAATTTCCAGGAGCTAGTATCTCGGACACAGCCATCGATGTTCTGTGGTCATGTTTTTATTTTTACGCCTGGCACCCCTTCACACGCCATGGTGATGCCGATAACGGAAAATTAGAACGACCCGCATTTGAACGTGCCGTGGTATTGCTTGCCTATAAAGGTACAGAGACTCTAGGTACTATCGTCTCAGGTGTGACCCGTTCAAGAATCCACTGGGCGTATACGCAAAATGGCAGGCCCTGTACATGCAGACAGAACGTCGACCGGATCTTGCGAAGCGTCAGTCAGTTAATCACTGATCCCCACGAGACACACCCAAACTCTATACTCTCCAGTTCATTTATAGAGGACGATATGATGGATGTTGTAGCCACAACTCGATCCAATCCCGGCAAAGGAATCCCAGGCTCCGGGGAATTAGCGCCGACAGCGCAGCGTCTACTCAAAGACAAAGGCGCAACTTATCATTATCAGCTAAATATCAAAAGCCTTGCTACTTTAATGAGTATTTTAAATAGGGTCAGACTTTATAAAACAACGTGGGGTCGGAAAACCTTCCATTACGGCACTCTCGAGGAACCGAGTCCCCAGCAAGATGAGCTTTTGAATATACTCGCCGAGCAATTCCAGCTTTCCGAAGGCTTCTTAGTGCCGGGTGCTATTTCTCGAGTCTTTGATATTTTGGTACGACTGTCCTCAATCTAGAACTTTAACGTGGAAGGCTAACCTAATTTTTGGCTCTAGCCAAATCTCGAACTACGTTTCCATCAACTATGGGCAATCATCTTCCAGCCTCCCGTTCCTGAGGCTAGTCCGGTATTAGGGACAGAGTCACTGCCAGATTCCACGATAAGTGATATACTCCGTGCAGTATCATTATTTGTGCCTCCAGTAACAGAGTTCCACGGCAAACCTGAACGTGCACGGAATCTCAGGCCCGTCTCGTTCGAAACAATATACCAATCGTCAACACAAGAGTCAAGTCATAGCTTAGCTCTAACTCATATCATCCAGGGTATTACCGAGAAAGGTAACGAGCATCGGCCTCACCTTCTTCTTTTCCTCGGGGACCAAAGCCTTGGCCAGAGCCACACTCCCGAAGTCATTGGTGCTTTTTACCCCGCCACTTTGAAGAAAAAGAGTGATAAAGAACAAGATATGCCCGAGAAACCTGGAAATTCTGAGCCCGGCCTTCCCGAGGTCGGCCCTCCGCAACTTCTTTTCCAACTTCAAACAAACCCTAGAATATTCCGATTCAAAAAAGCAGATGAAACATCTCAACCTTCATCGTATGGAACGGCGAAAAGCCATGTTCATAATTTGGCCGCCAAATACTGGATAGGCGACCCCGAGGAGTCAGAAATCGGCTTAGAAATTGATCCGGCCACAAGTCAAGCGACGTTCGTGCTAAATCAGGTCAATCAGGGTCAAGGTATATACAAGGACGTGCTGCAGATTGACAAGAATAGCGAAACTTCAGGTGAGAAGCTGAGTGAAGGTATTATGGAAAGCTTTACGGTTTCTCGGGTTGCCGTCTATAGAGTTGACGGTGGTGATGAGTTTGACCCTTGGTCATCTAATAAAGATGGAGTGATCAGAAGGATTTAAATTAAAACACCTATAACTGGAAAACTATTGGCATTCGATTAATATTCGCTTGCTAGAAAGCCTGTCAGTTCAGCGTTTTCAGAGAAGGACTTATCTAGAACAGGAACCTCATATTCACTACTGAAGCCAACTTGTCCACCGGGAGCCATGAGTGCCTTTGAGACATGATTGAAGACCATGAAGATGAAGATGCCGCTGAATTATATCACACCATCCTTGAAGCACGAATGAAGTTTTTTGATGCCCTCCTCCCGCATTCTGACATCGACGTTGGCTTAGGAAATCTCAACCAAGAGACACATATGCACCTTATTCCTTTCGGTCAAGACGAGTCAATGACTGTTTTTTTCCAAGTTTAAAAATCCCCCGCTCCCCCCGGTGTGTTCGCAACACAAAAGCATAAACGCAGTTATATATTGCGTACCTCAAAGGATATGACGAGATAGCGCACTAACCCCTGCACTTAGATCCTCCAGCCACTGGCCGGAGCATGCCAACCTTCCTCACCGGCCTCATCGGCTCCCTTCAATTCAATAGAGCTGATTTAAATCGTCTGCATACAAGTGATAGTACATTTGATATTGGCTCGACAGCTTCTATGACACCCGTGTCTGATGACCTCATCTCACCCCTTGAAATATAGATACGGATTAAGCGATCAATTTTCCTGGATAACCTGTAATGTGACTGAAACTTTTGTGGTTGCCTTCAGAGTATCGCCCGGTTGATCCCTCTCTTTTCGCTATATACGAAATAACATTGGCTACTGCCTGCTCATCAGGTCGTGTGATATTCCTCTCACTCTTGAAACAAAGTCCCATCCCTAGCCTTAGTTATTGTTTATATTACCTCAGATCTGTAACCTGCTTCAGATTCACATTACTCTCTACGCCCATGTCTCATTGTGCTTCTCGCATGCGCACTAGTGAATCTTCAATACGCAGGAATCGAAGCCGAAAATGACGGCGTTTGAGGCTAGAAACAGCTGCCTTTCCACCCTTGGTAACTTTGGAGGTCCACCTGCCCCTTAACCGCCCGCTGCCAAGAATACAGCATGGGAACCAATAGATCGAGTAGATCGAGATATCTTGACTTTTCTCGGGAAATGCCGTCCATCGCATAAGTACATATATCTACAATTCAATCAGCCTTCTCCTCTTAAGTTTCCCGCACAGTTCCATCAAGCTCTTGTGGTCCCCATCCGGCCAACTCGTGACGCTGCTGCTGGTGATCCCCGACTAGCTCTTGCGTTTGCCGGTCGATAGGCATCTCAGCCCGGTGATGCTGGCCAAGGAGTTCCTGTGGATTGTGACTGTCAGCTTCAACCCTCTCGACAGGGTTTTCAATCTGCGAAATGTTTCTATCTGCTTACTTGCGGTGGCGTTGGAAATACAGCAAGGATAGAATATAGATCACAGCGATAGCGCCGAAAGCAACCCCAACCCCGATACCCGCCTTGGCCCCTGTGCTTAGACCACCCTTGTGGCTTATGCTCGTCGTGGTAGAGACAGTCGTCGGATCCGTGGCAAAGTTTAGCCCAGCCAATACCCCTGCCGTGATAATGAAGGGCCCTTGCGGCCCTCGTGTAGATGTGACAGTTGAGAATGAATCAGATCCCTCAGGTGTGATAGCCTGGGACGCGCGAACGTAAGTGAGCGTATCTGTGTCGAGTGTAGACAAGCACCTAAATTACCTGTACCTTTGTACTACTGTTTAAGCTTAAGAAGTTCAATTAAAGGGAAGATTAACAATAGTGTTGAGACAATCTCTGACCCTGCAATGCTGGACGCGTACACTATACCGAATGTGGACTAATGTGCCCTCTGAAAATAAGCTCCGATCCACTCGATATTTGGAGAGCAGCTAGCATAGATAGCTGACCTGAGGTCACGACTGTATATGTCTAAAGGTTACTGATCCAGGCGTACAAAAACAGTATTCTATCATGATTTCTCTGCAGTCTCCATCCAATTCTAGGCAATTATTGGCAGAATTGCCGGCGCGGGACCATTTGGGAATGCCAAGGTCTACACTAGTCATTCTTCCCATTGGCTCGCAAATACTTGACTTGCCTCATGACCCACCCAATCAGCGGGCCCCAACCAAGCCCTGGAGAGCTGTTGGTAAGCAAATGAGCTCATCACTTCTCTTCTAAACTCCCTTTAATCAGCATGAACTGAAGATTCGAGAATAATCGACACTATATATGCTGAATGCTTGCCCCTTCGATAGTCTCATTGCAAATTCATTCGATTTTAATCATGCCTTCCTATCTTATCACTGGTGCCAGTCGCGGTCTGGGAGTTAGTGACTACATATTTATTTGCTTGAATGATTGTGGACTAATATGAATAGTTTGAATTCGTTCGGCATCTTGCTCAGGGTCCAAAGAATACCGTCATTGGTCTTGTCCGGAACAAAGCTGCGGCTGATGTAAAGGCCAAGGAAGAGGGACTTCATAATGTTCACATGGTCGAGGCTCAGTATACAGATTTGTCATCTCTAAAGGTGCGCGGTCTCATCCGATTAATAAGCATATTATACTCATTCCTTTCAGAAAGCCGCAGAAGTTGTCAAAGATATTACGGCCGGCGGTCTGGACTATCTTATCAACAATGCCGCCATCGTCTCGCACATCAGCGAATTCAAAACTTTAGGTGATTTGTATGTACTGACGCTTCAGACAATGAAGAAAAGAATGCTGATAATGAACAGTGATGATGATTTCGAGACTCTGGAAAAAGACATCTTAGAATCGCTGGAAATCAACCTTCTAGGCGTCATTAAGACAGTGCATGCATTTTTCCCTCTAATCCGCAACGGCAACGGCAAAAAGATTATTGCCATTTCCAGTGGTATGGCCGATATCGACCTGATCAATGCAACCGAAGTAGCTTTTGCCAGCCCTTACGCTATCAGCAAGGGTGCTCTCAATGTCGCTATTGCTAAGTACAACGCCCTTTACAACAAGGAAGGTATTCTTTTCCTCGCAGTTAGTCCGGGATATGTATCAACCGAGCGAAACAAAGGTATGTCAGGAGACGTATTCATATACTGTCATAAATGTACATACTGAATCTCATCTTGCAGTGGAAGCGGCCCCAGAAGATGTTGACAAGGCAAATATTCTTGTGGGCAAGTTCGTCGAGTATGCACCGCACTTTCAGCGCCCCTTGACACCCGAGGAGTCGGTCACTGCTGTCCTTTCCGTCATGAATAAAGCCTCAATCGCAAACGGAGATGGTGGTGCATTTATCTCACATCTAGGGAACAAACAGTGGCTGTAAATGGGTTGGGTAAAACCGAAGGAATTAATTTATTTCGAGACCCGTTCATCATTGTTGAAACTATTATGGTAATTCAGTGTTCAGTGTTACAGAGTGTGTGTGTGTCTGACTTCAATTACCCCGACCCTTCACCGAAGCGATATGCAGGCTACAACAACTATGCATCTAGAAATTGCTCGTAGATCTTCTCGTGGACGCAAGAGACTACCTGCAGAGGTACGATGGAGCACCAATCTAGATAACAGCTTACTCTTTGACTAAACGTAGGCTTTGCTAGATAAGCTCAGTATACTTGGGGAATGACTACATCGAGATCAACATCGTCATAGATACTTGCAATACAGCCCTGATTGAAGCCAGTGATGCTGTAATCTACCATGTAACACTTACCACTATACAAATGACATCGTAAAGTTCTTGACCGCCTGGGGGATGGCCTTCTTGAAATGCATGGTCTCCACATGTGTTTCTTGCTGTGGAAGTCAACTAAGTAAAAAGTGCCTTTGTCTGCATTAGTGCAGCGGGAAAGCTAAGGTAAGGCATTCCTATGCCCTTGGCTTCGAAGTATAGCAGCTATTTGCGAGCTGCCACCGGAGTGAACTAATGAGTTTGTGGTTGAACATAATTAAAGATAATACCTTAACGGAGAGTCATTTGACCATTTCCTGAGAGTATTACAGTAGTCTCCGCCTGAGTTGCGCGGGGTCGGGTTGCTTACCTGTTATCGCATACTCCACTCAGATTCTCTTTCTCAGCCCTTTCCCCTCAGACCGATCTTCATCCTTGACTATTTGCGTTCTAAACGCTCAATACTGCGATCTACGACCAAGTCTTCTACCACGACTGCAATTCTGCCCAGGTTGAAAGTGCAGTCGCTTCTCTAAGACCTCATAGCTACCAGTGTTTCCATAGTCCCTGCACCTATGCGGCTTGGAAGAGGTTCCAAGTACCTATTTGTACTGCCTTCGGGACGCGGCAATTCCTCTGGCAGTACAGAAGATGATGGTCTAAGTTACAGCCAAAAGGTTCGGGATGAAGACGGAGACGGCGGATGCATCCCACAGCCCATTTGTCAGCCAGCCGGATGAGTAGACTGAGGCAATCCGACGGACTGCTGGGGAGAACGTTTGACTTATTTCGCAGTCACTGTTTGCTCAACGATCGTGCCAAACGAGACTTCCGGTCTCAGCGAGATTTCGTCGCTGGATATTAAGGTACCTACATAATAGTGTTGAGTATGTTGAGTGGCCGAAAGCGAAGAAGATCATGACTTTAATTTTAGGCTCTCATCACCTCTTTCTTTTGAGTTCATTATGATTTTGAAATAGATTAAGTTTCATACCTCGACAATCTCCAAAATGTGTATTGAGAGGGACCACAACAAGTTTATATCACAGGCAAAATCAACCGCCACTTGTCCAGGTTCGTTGGGGTCCCCTACATCAACAGACGGGTGCAAAACCAGCCCCGTCCCCCTTGCCACGGAGACAAGCTTACTATCTCAAATTGCGTGAATACCGAAGTGACAGGTGCCTGTGATAGCAATGGACGGGTCATCACAAAGGAAATCCGACGTCTGATCGGCAGTCCAAAGAAAATAATTTTCGCCAAACTGCCGTTACCGAGTCCATGAAAGCTGAGCCCTTAAAATTAAAAAGCCGCCAACGACGAACTGTGAGAGCAAAGGCCAATATTTCGGGTGCAGAACGAAGGTATTCCTCAATATCCCTGACGGAATTTGATAGTTCTATATGTACTACACTTTCATAGAGGGAGCACCACCGGCAGATGCCGAAAAAGCCTCAATTCTACTAAACAAGTTCGTCAAGTACCTCGGCATTTGACGCCTCTAGAGTAGATCACAACTGTTTTTTTCTGTTTCCTATAACGCCTTGATCGCAACCAGAGACTGTGGCAAATCTATCTCTTACATTGGGAATAAACAATAGCTGTAATACGTCTAGACAAAATCAGAAAATTTGGTGTTGAATCACCGCGCACTAATACTGTGCATTTTGTCCCTCGCCTTCCATTACGAGAACTAAAAATAACGTTTTATATTCTATGAATTTGCTGCTCCATATCCGAGAGAGACCTTCTAGTCGGGCTTTGGTTTTTGGATTCCCATTCCTGGTATAAAGGACTAGGCCAGTGTTGGTAAAAGCTCGTTTGAAGACATGATAGCGTTCAGCGTATCGACATAAACCCTTCCCTCCGTATTCGAGTCCGAGATTAGGTCATGTTGCACCCACATCGATTCAATCATTGCCTGTATAGCGTACAACCTCCGCTGATTAGATCGATTGTGTGTCCTTTCCAAGATAGAAAGAATGAGCTCCCGTTGGGTATCAGTATGCGCTTCACATGCTATGAAAAACAGCGGGAATGGTCGCTCGCATATAACCAACTCCCGAAGGAGATCAAAAGCTTCACCGGACCATCTTGCCACTCGTATGCTATTAGGGTATCTTTTCAAAACACGCTCAAAATAGATCAACCCTGCCAGTTGATAAAGCTTAGACATCTTGCTTCCGCGGTTAACTTCCTCTGAAATATTTGTCCCCGAGAAGTACGTGGTATCTTGCTTGAGAACCATCAGGTCGTGCTCAATAGAATCGAGAGAACCTTGGTCAGCGTCACGGTGTTTATAGGACATTTCACTATCGAATTGGACATCCGACATTCTGGCGATCAGGTTTATCATCTCCAGCGAGCATCCAAAGATGCTGATAACCTATCAATTCTATTAGCACAATCCAATGGGAGGAATTGCTGTCTTACTTGATCATTTGACACAGAAGCTAGAGTCGAAGCCATACCCGGGACCTTGAAGATCGACGCATTCTCTGCAGACTGTACCTTCCAATGTCTCGAAGCGAACTTCCCAAGAACATCATGATAATGCACCCAAAGTACAAGAAGATCGAACTCTATCAGCTTGGGATGCCCTCCGTCGCAAATTTTGTGGAGCATGCTCTTAGCGCCGGACAAATATAACGGCCATTGGAAGGAGCTCTCTGATGGCAAAAATATCTTATCTTGTTAGTAGTTCTTAAACAATAGAAGCGGGGAAGATACCTCAAATGCGCAGAGTAGCATGCCCACGGCGACATGCTGATAAATCTCCCTTGTCCCGGTAGTGAGCCCATTCATGGATGCGGCCAAAGAGTTAAGAGCCGCCACCTTTAGTTGAAGAGCCTCTGCGCCGTGTCCATGACGGTATAATGATGCTAGGGCCAATATTGCTCGTAGGACAGCCATCGAAGCGGGCGAATCGTCGGAGAATGAGAGCTGAAATAGTAATTTCCAAAGCTTATCGCCATCCGACACAATTGGGGCTAATGAACTGACTACTTCCGTCATAACTAGATCAAAACAATCAGCTCAGTCGGCATTATTTGGTAGTTACTCCGTACAGAATGACAGCAGATAGTGACCATCGCCCATTGCTGGCTGTGCATATGTCAAGTTCGACGGTGGAAGAACCCACATGCTGGGACGTGGTATTTTTCCTTAATGAAGTAACGATGAATAAAGTCAGTAACATAAAATCGGCAGACAAACAGGTTCAGAAGCAGTCTGAAGAACTGACCTACACTTCCTGGACACTGCAGATAATGTGTCTCAACATCCATCATCAACGTATTGATGAAATAGGCAGATTTGCTTTCATTTGACCATTCTGGCGAACTTTCCTGAATTGAGCAATGAATAGATCTACTGGAACCATTCGCTGGCCAACTCAAGCGTAGGCCATACCCCTGGCAGTTACGGAACGACGCTGCGCAGTTCCGGCATCCCGGACGGCCCATATCACAAGATATCTTTCGCTCTGAGATAAAGTCAGAGTCCCGGTAAATCAAGTTACAGTCTCTTTTGGCTAAAAGCAAAACGTGCCATCTTACCGCGACATGTCCAACACCTTCGCTTTGATGGAGGTCCGACACGATAGGGTCGTCGTTGCTTTGCAGTAGACATTCGGGCAGAGAGCATTGCTCAAGGAAGTATAAATTGGAAAAATTTTCACAAGAGTAAATTGACTGTGAGTGTAGTGCGTCAGGACTCCTTCCGACAAAGAAAGGAAGTGCCGCAAGGCTGACCTTATGTCCAGTGGGGCCCCGTCCGTAGTACTATATACTGCTCACGTGATATCAGGATGACTAAGATTTGGTAGAAAGGGCCATTTTTGGCAGCGAATTTACCCTCACTTAGCGTTGAGGTGTAAAATAGTCCCAAATATTCGGTGAATTGGGATGGCTATAATAACGAACCGCTGTTCGGATAATGTACGTAAGCACGAGTCTATTTCTTGCATGATAACGTATCACTCTGTATGATCTTACATGTGTGGTAGAGATCTGCTAGACATTACACCGGTTATATCTCGATGAATTAACGTATCTTGTACCACATTCATGTATGCGTACATTGTTGATATATGCGCCTGTTGTCTTTTCCCCTTTGATACTATTTGGTTCGCACTTTTATATCAATGCGATATCCTTAATTGGTTAAAAGCTCTGTATAAGTTCTTACCACTCTACCGGGACTTGCATCCGCCTTTTTCCCTGATTTGAGTCCCGTTATATGTTATCCTGTTTATGCAGACCATACACCTAGACTTACTATTTAACATTGCACTGATCCGCCTCGAGACACCAAGTCAGCAACTGATATCTATCTTTCGGGAAACCCCTCTGTCCTCGCCTCTTGATGGCTTGATCATTCATATCGTCTCTTCGCTCCAAGTATCCTCGAGCCTGTGTTATAACTTGAAGTCTTCACAGAGATGGTATCGGAAAGTAAAATTCCGACATACCTACTGGCAGGGAACTGTCTGAAATAGCTTGGTAAACCAAGAATGGTCACTAATGACGGCCAGCGAGCCCATGCAACTGCCAGTGAGCTCTTGCAGTTCTTTCATAGAGCTTGTCTTTCGTGAAACCAGAATCACTGGGAGACTTGTAACTTCGAACACAGTAGTTTTTTTGACTATCTATGGAGCAAGATTGGCGGCTAGTTTTATGGCCCATCCTATTTCTCCATCCTCGCTCCTAGTCCTCTTGTACAAGTGTATTATCCCTTGCTTTCTCTGCGGTTATACTTTCGACATTGCCAACCAAACCACATCAGCCCTGGACGATGAAACGAACAAGCCGCATAGGCCAGTTCCCTCAAAGCTGCTTAGTATGCGACAAGCCCATCAAAGGTGGGTTCTTGCGTGGACTGTTAGTCCTTTTTTGTTGTATACGTTTTTCGGAAAATTGGCAGCCTCAACTTCGTCATTTTCCAACTCTTGTTTCCTTCTTTTATGTCTGGCCAAATTTCAGTCATTGGATCTGTCGCAATGCTTTTGTCGCATTGCAGCACTCCTAATACGCAGGTTTGAAAATGTGATTATTTCCCGGCCCGTTCCTGAGTTGAATATGGCAATGAATCTGGACATTTTCCTTGCTCTTTGGTTGCTGTTTACTATACATTTGCAGGAGCCTAATGATGTTGAAGGCGACTGACTCGCGAAAAGACAGACTCTTCCAATCATACTTCCGCACGGGGAATTCGAACCCTGCGAATGGCCACGGCCGCATTCTTAATTGACTACAGTACAACCATGCTCCTTTGGACGATGAGCTGTCAAGGTACCGACCGGATAGATTCGTTTGTTGGGTTAGTCTTTTACAGCATTTAGCAGCATGAAATCTTGTATCCCGAACAATCGATTCGACCTCAGCTAGTATGGATGAAACTACCTATCGCAAACATTATTTTTTCTCCTTCTTCACTATGATCTCAGATACCACACGGCTCTATTTTACAGGAAGGATTTGGAAATAAGTCTTTGCCGTGAATTAAAGCCAGAGCATGGCCGGTGTCATAATCCCCTGTTGACGAGTTTCAACTAGCCATGTATTATCTCCCAGGCCATAATTTCGACTTATTGATCTCATTGTATAGTCTTACGGATAAGTGCCTAGTTGGAGTGTTCCCCGGCCCCTCTAAGGATAAATACTATCACTAAGCTACCGGTCTAATTTACGTCCTGCTTAATGAGATCCGCCGCCTTTTCAGCAACTGCAAACACGGTCGCCTGAATATTTCCCCTCGGCACCAAGGGAAAGATACTAGCATCAACGACACGAATATTGGCCGAACCATACACCCTCAAGTGAGAATCCACAACTCCCCCATCTTCCCGTGGCATCATCGCACAAGATCCACTAACATGGTACATAGACAAGACGAGCTCCTTACAGAGCTCTTGCACCTTCTCCAAGTCCGTCAGACGCTCCGGTGTATGAAGACGCTCGCCACCCTTCTTCAATAGCGATGCCAGTGGCTCCGTCTCGGCAATTTTGTCCATGTACATATTATGACGCGCATGTAGCTCCAGATCAACGGGGTGACGAAGAATTCCATGATCAATGACAGGGGCAGCTTTGGGGTCAGAAGACTGGATGTGAACGGATCCCCGTGAGAAAGGATAGCTGAGCATAGAAACAAGGCTAATAAAGAAACCTGGATGTCCGAGGCCGAAGATACGTTTCGGTTCTCCTTCTCGCGGTAGAAGTTGGAATGGCGCTAGAACGTATTGAGCGGTGGGCTCATCAGGGTTTTGGAGCAGACTGTGCAATGCCTCGTATTGCTTCTTGTGTGTCCGGGAGAGGCTAGGGCTGTCCAATGATTCTTGCAGCTGCTGGAGTAAGTGATTTCGCTCATCTTCAGGTGTGTCCACCAGCGGCATAAATGCTGAGATCAAGGGGACCATGCCGAGAGGCCCTGAGCCATCCTTCTGATAGGCGGCCATTGCGGCAGCGGCTACTGCTGGGTCCCTGGCCATATCGCCTGATGGCATACCATCTGCGACTTCATATCCAAGCGAGATCATGCCGTGGTCCTGTAAGTTCTCTCCAACACCGGGGTTATTGATAATAGTTGGAATGCCGTGGGACTGAAGGAGGGTCTCATCTCCAATTCCTGACAGCTCCAGGATCTGAGAGGATTGTGTTGTTCCGGCCGCAAGGATGACCTCCTTCGCAACCAAAACCGTATACACAATCGAACCCTTGGTGAATTGAACACCAGTGGCAGCAACTTCCTTCTCACTTTCCTTCTTCTCCATGATAATCTTTTCCACCAAAGCCCCAGTAACAACCCGAAGGTTCGACCTAGCTTGGATTTGCGGTCCCAGATACGCAGCCGCGGAATGGCTTCTGGTATGAGTAGCCGGATCCACAGCACCAGGGCCCAAGAAGGGACCAGTACAGGCCCCGTTAATAGGATCTTCATCCTGCGGATATCCAAGTGTCTTAAAGGTATCCATCCACGCCGCATGATACGGCATATACTGATCCCCAAAAGACACTTGGACGGGACCAGTACTTCCCTGATCTTGCTGGTCATATTTCATTCCCTTGAAGAATTCGCGGTTGTCACTCGAAGGAGGTGCAGCCGTGTGAAACTTGCGGACATACGGAGAAAATCCGTCCCAGCCCCAACCGGGGTTGCCCAACTTTTCCCAGGCATTCATACCGGAACGAGAGGGATAGATAATCATTCCTAAATTAATAGCCGAGGAGCCTCCCAAGGTGCGACCTTTAGTGGCCAATAGTTTGCGCCCATTGAGTTGTTCCTAATTTATATTAGCAAGGCTTGGAAGGGAAATAGTCTGGAGTTGACCGCGATGTAATTCTTTGGACATACCTGCGAAGATGATCGGAAGTTCCAATCGAAGTCCTCGTCTTCAAACGTCGCCGGTCCCAAACCCGGGACGTTGATACGAGGGTCAGTGAGACGGTTTGTTCCCGCTTCCAGGACGAGCACCCGGACATTTGGGTTCTCAGTGAGTCGGTTGGCTATGACAAGGCCAGCAGTTCCCCCTCCGACAATCACAAAATCATAATTCTCATTCTCAAGTCCTGCAGAAGACTCGGTGTCAAAAAATGCCATGGCGACGGGTTTTAGCAGTATATGTTGTGCATGCGGGGACAAAAAAGATCCAAAGTCAAAAATTGCGCAGGATTGGAGGAGTATAAGTGGCGGGGCCACGAATTATGCTAACCTTTATCATTCCATTGCTTAACTGAACCCCTGAATGTCGCGTCGACCTTGCTCCGGAGCTAGCAGAAATCAACCAATCTTCTCGCGATTTAGGTATGTCCTAGTAACGGTGGTGGGCCGCGACTGCGTAAGGAGACAAAGACAGTCTAAGGTCGGAAATGCTCTGTTCATATCTTTCCTTATGCACAAAGCACTTGTCATGACACGTGTGGCATTGTAACAATGAAAGAAATCCTTCGTCCTTCGTGTCTCGGCCAAAAGCCGGTAGCGCGAGGTTAGGGTTGGGGTTGAATCTTGACACCAAGTGTGACCATGAGTATTGAAAGGCAAGGTGCCAGTTCGGGATAAGTTAATTAATGTCCCGGGATTTGATTATCTTCGATTTCCATCCAATTTCCCAAAGGTTCCTTGGTCGAGGACGGGAAGAGCCGATGTTTTGCCCCACTGCGGAATGCTTTCTACCGAAGCGATGCGCTAAGTTGCATGGCGTCTGCCCAACGTCCACGTCGTAACCACTTCTGGTATAGATTTACTTAAGGGCATGGAAACCATCCCATATATTTAGCATGCTTCTTCGCTATCATGGTCGTGCGACTCTCTCCATTTTGAGCGGTGCACGATACCCGATTGAAGAGGGTCAACACGATGGGGAGTTATGGACTGCGCGCAAATGATGGCAGAAACATCGTCATCGTGATGATGGCAGTCTTTGGGACCATTGCCATGATCTCGACAGGTCCTCGGATTGTATCTCGGATAATGAGGAACCTCAGCTTGGGGCTGGATGATTACTTCATGGTGATTGCGGGTGAGCTCTCGAGCGATACTGTGCAGAAAGCCGTAACCGATCAAGCTCATAGTGTATGATGATAGTGCCGACCGTGGTGATTGTATACTGGGTTCAAGAATACAATGATTTATGGTAAGCTTTTGACTTTTTACCTGTGCTCGTCATTCTATTGTTTTCTTGTGCTGGGTACCCTATTTTGCGCAGTCCATAAAGCTCTGTAGGGGTTATCCACACCAAGAGCAATGCTGCAAATATAGATGTGATAATGATGGTGCTTTTTGAGTTGTCCACTGTCAAATCCTTGACCTAGTTTTGGATAGCATCCGATATTTTCTGTGTCGAGGACTGACTACTTTGTATATAACCCCCCACAGACACCTCTCTTCCTTCTCTAACGCTTGCCACCGTGCTATTCTATTTATTGCGCTGTGGCGTTTCCCCCTGCTTTCATTTTCATGCTGGTGGCACGTGTGATTAGGATAGAACTGCTTGTATTAAATTCCAGAAAGCCATTTAATAATTTTCCGAAGTCTCAGAGTGCACATGTTCATGTCGTGTTAAACCTTACCTGCCTTCTGCGATTACTGTGATGAGATGTTATCATAGGCTTAATTTGTTCAATCAGTATATCGGATTATTATTACAATACTTCATATCATGTTTGGTGGCTTTGTTCTTCTTGCGCTTTTTGCTTTTTCCTTTCTTTGGCTTCTGCATCTGCCTGCTTCCACGAGCCCTCGTAATGGTGTGTCACAAGCGCATCGCCTTGGTCCGTAGGGTTTCCGTTTTGAGCCGCAGCGAATGAGACCCCCGGCATAATCAGGACGTCGCCGACCAACTTTGGATGTTTGATGCCCGAGAAGTCGCGGTCATCCACAGTCCTGTTTAGCAATTTTCCTAGACTTTCCAAGATCGCGATAGTCATGATCTTGGGTCCAGTCACATTCACAACATCTTTAAACATCTCCAAAGTGATACCGGCGATAGAAACGTTGTTGGCCTGGGCGATCTCCTTCAACTTGTTGATGACAGCGTCAACGATCACAAGTAGATTGCGCGATGATGGCTGCGCTGCAAACACCCAGTTGCAGAATTGGGATGCAACTTCAGCTTCGGGGCCCCGGTATGCAAAGTCGAACTCCAGACCGACAATCATGTCAATATTTTGATACTTGTACTCCAAAGGCACCCAATCAGAAAGTGGTTTCTCCAACGTGACATCTAAATCACTCCAATACCCGCCCTCAGCGAGAACAATCAAATAACGGAGAAGATCCGCCCGTAAAATTGGAATTGAGAGTGTTTCGATAACCTCGACAATATCTGGCCTTGTCTCCTGGTAGTAGGCGCGAACAAACGCCTCACCGGATCGATCGGTAAGCAATTCTTGGCGGCACGCTGGAGTTGTGCGCGACCAGCTGTTGACCCATTGGCGTTGGCTTTCCGATATATCGTCTGTCTTTGCGGAATGCCAGACTTTATCCGGAATGTTAGAAATTGAAGTGTTGGTGTTTGAATAGTGAAATTTGGATTTGCTGGGCGAAGGGTTCTCAGGGATTTGTGGAGATGGAGCTGAACCCGAGTCGCCGGTCGCAATCGCTCCTGAGGAGGGGTTGGGATTGGGGATGACCTTGTGTATCGGCTTCCAGTCCGCATAGAAAGCACACAAGAGTGCGAGGATAACAACAATAGGGACTACCAGGCGCAAGGAGCGCGAAGTGTTTAAATTGGTGATCGCTAACATGGTGTGGGGGCCCCTCAGGACATGTGTTGAGGGGAGAAAGAGATAACCGCAAAAGCAAAAGCGAGAGTGAGAAAATGAAGGCTGAAAGCAGTATAAAAATGGATGGACACGAACGATGGAGACAGAGAAAAATAAGAAAGAGGCGAAATGAATCCTTTGAGGATCAACACTAGCGCTTAGGGGAACTGCGGTTAAATCGGTCGGGATCTCCGTTTGTGATCCACTGGTCCAGGCGTATCGGAAAGTGCCTAAGGAGGGCTAAGTGCATTAGAGCGTGGCATTTAGTGGGAGTCCGTTCTGATCTGTCGGGTCTTAGTGGCGGTTATTGAAATCCCCTGATTGGCCTGACGCTACAGCCTCATGGACATTGCATTGCATCGCAAACGTATAGAACCGAAATAGCAAGCAGAAGTTCGCGTGTTCTTGAGACCCTTGTCCAGCGGCTAACTCAGTGAGTTGTATCCCAGGCATTAATCCGAATAAATTATCACAGGCACCCTTTCCCTTTGCTCCACGCGACATTCCATTTTTCGAGATTCAGAGACGATCTTCTAGATTCAATGAGGTCGAATTCATTCGCACCATTTTCAGCATGGCTTATGCTGTTGAGCAGCATGCTTTGGTGCCACGGTGTTATGGGTCAGAGTAATTCTGTGAACATTTCGATACAGAGTGACCCTCATTTCATCGGATGGTATAAGGGACCATCAACCAGTGAGTACATGTCTACGATTGATCTACCCACGGTTTAGTGCCTGACTGAGCTTATCTTCCTCCAGCCCAGGCATTAATGGACCCTGACACTTGGACTACTTCTGGGAACTATGCGCGCGGTTGCTCAAAAGGTGCTTGCGGATATGCCACGGACTGTAGGGGTAACAGTATCACCTATGATGATGGTAAAACGTCTTCGTGGTGAGTATTTCGAAAGAGAATTATCCCAGCCAGAGAAGCAGAAGACTGACTTTTTCTCTCTTGTCACGTCTAGCAATGTATGCCGTACCATGACCATCTTCCAATCAGCACCATACGCATCACCCTCGGCTAGCAATATCTTTTGCGCAGAGTATTGGCTTGCCTTCACTGTCTTTCGTGAATTAGCAGTATCAACCACCACCTCAGGTATTTGTCCAACTTAGAAAGCGAATGGTCGGGTCGATTAACTGATTACGTCTCCAGAGTCTTCCACTATTTCCACATCGTCCCGTACAAGCGCACCATCTACCACCACGTCATCCGCGACTGGCTCACCCTCAAACAATTCACCAACAACGGCCGCACCCACAGCCAGTGCATCCACCACAGCTGTCCAAGCCGGGGATTCGCAAACCGTGACAGGAACACAATCTAGTCAGAGTAAAGGCTGGATTGCAGGAGCTGTAGTCGGCTCAGTTGCAGTGCTCGCCATAATTGCAGGTCTCGTTGGATGGTTCCTATATCTCCGAAAGAAAGCGCAGCAATTATCCGCAAAGGAGGAGTCTACCATGAGGCAGAGCCTTCCTTACCAGCAGAGCCTCTACAAGGCACCTCAAGAAATGGATACCGTGTCCAATCCATTTGTACATGAGCTGAGCTCGTATGGACACAAATAAAAGAGCTGTGGTGGATTTTATGAGACCGATACTTCGTCGTCGTCTAGCAAATTATAAAAAATTGTTACAAGCGCTGCAAGCACGGGTAGGAGGGGCTCTGACATTTCCGAATTAGTGAAGGTTGCTACGAATGTTTATAATTGAATGCAAACTACTTTCAGCTGCTTCAGCCATCTACGATGTGTTTAGCGATTCGCTAAGTATCATAACATGGATCATCTCGAGCTTCGATGCAGAAATCCTCGGGCATCGACATTCCTATACCTGCAAGTCAAGCATGTATGCACTTTCTTTTTGCTCAGAGTGAATATGATTGTATAGACCCAATCTAGTTGCGTATTGGCGATTTTCAACTATTTGTCAACAAGGTGTTGAAGAACTTATCAATGGAATATTTCATGTAATTTTGTAGAGACACGCTAGCAAGTTATACTATGTGCATGATACGTGACTAATGGACAATCTGGCTTATCCATGATTGTGGAGAATCTTCGGGTTTTTATCCTGACAGTATATCCCGGAACGGTGATGGAGCTAGTGCTTACCCTGTTGGTGCCTTTGTTGGTGCCTGGGAGGCATTCCGCGACCTTTACCTAGGTACGTTAGTCATGATAACCGGACAACTTCTCGACTCTCTTCCGATTAATATTGCCACGTTGCCCTCTTCATCCCATTATTTACATAATGTCGCGAACCACTGAAGATACCCCGCTGCTGTTGGACCCCACAGCTGATGAATTAGGATCCCCGAATGATGAACGATACGCTCCCATTGTGGAAAGATATCAACAACGATGCGCCAAAACCATCTTCATTTTGACGTGGAGCTCAGCACTGCTCGCGGTCTTCATCCTTGTTCTGGACCTGACCATCATATTCATATTTCTTGCCCGAATCAGGAATATCATGCCCTGGCCACCAGAGAGTGCTCTAGTTGCCCTCTTGTTGACGGTATGTTTTGATGTCACGCACATATATACTCCTCACCAGGAGAATAGGCCGCTGACCACAGCGACAACAGCTCCTGGCGGCCGGATTGATCTCGTTCCTTAATCTGGCTCGTCTGTATCTCTGGAATCGACCTATCTGGCTCTGGTTGAATTTGATCCTAGACCTCGCCATCGCCGTATTCTCAATCGGTAATAGTCTATCGATGTTGGGCCTCGACGGCCCCGGATGGGATGCAGATGTACCCTTATGGTTCATCCGTATCGCCCAGATCGTATCCTGGTTGGCTGTGGTGTTCGGGTCAGTCATTCCGAAAATATCCTCTCTGCTCTCTTAATACATATTAACACCCACTGGACATCTAGACTGATTCACTTGGCTCTGTTCCTCGTGCGATGCTTCCTGTCCTTCAGCTACCGGCCCTGGCGTGAATATCGCAATTGGACGTTGCCCCGTGGGCGCTTCAGCATTGAGTTCAAGGTGCAATTCATTCGACAGTCGGACAATGCCGAGGCGTCAGCCGACGCTACTACCTCTGGTACCGGAATCCAGGCAGAAGTGGCGGCGCAGAGGGTTTGAGGGGGTCCATTCCCGGTGTACATCAGATACAGCAACTGAGTCAAGCCCATCCATGTTAACTCATCAACAGATCAACTATACATAGGCAATACAACGTTCCATTTCCAACAGAATTCCCGAATGAAATCAATCTTTACTAAAAAGCCTAACCCCCACCGGATGATTATATTCACTCACATTAATTAAAGAGCTACATCTCAACTTTACAGTGCGTACTTAGAAAGTGCTCATCACAAACAAAGACAGGACAGGTAGAATTGTAACCATGTAGAGCGAAGACTAAAGTACAAAATATTAGCTCTGATTGACTATGTCGTACAGCAGAGAAAGGCTAGAAGCAACTGGAACAGGCAGAGGAACATGCAGAAGACTTGATTTTGTGCCCGAGGCGGGCAACCGAAGTCCTTATATAGCCTCGCTGGCGGGATTACATGGGCACGAGCTTACGGTAGTGAAAGCCACTGAAGAGGTAGCAGAACAAATTATTAAGACAGCGAGAGCTTAGTCCGGACTATGTAGATGACTATGTAGATGAAGTAGAGGTTGAGGCTCGCACCGACGACTAGAAATATGCCTGTCTCGATCTAGTTGCCGATCTCTTTATAGGGGTGCTAGGCACTCGTCTTCCCCTGCAATCCTGATACTCTGCCACCCCTTAGAAATATCAACTCGCGTCGTGGTCGTCTCGCCGAACTTGCAGAGTGGGACACCTCTGGCGAAGAGTTCATCTATCCCTTCGAGGACTTGCCCTTGCACTCTGGAACGCAGAAGTAAGAAAATACGATGGCGAGAACAGCGAAGGACCCAAATATAAATCCAACCTTGGAGCCCTAGGTTCGCATACGGGGCGTAAAGCAGATAAGGAATGCAGAACACTGGAACATCTAAGATGCAGCGTGTTCGGCACCGTAGATAACAGCAGGGGGTATCCGGCCGTACCTCGTCGGTAAACCAGACACCACAGGCAACAAGTGTTGGCACGATAAAGAATAAGCCGAAGGGTATGCACCAAGAATCGTGGCCTTGGATATCACTGGTGCCACGGCAGACCACTGCCATGATGAGACTGCCTAATGTAGCTGCCGAACACCAAGCCCCAAACGCAAAGCCGATATAGTTCAAGCTACTGAGTAGTGTATCAATATCAATGTGCTGCCATCGTAATATGCCGTCACGGGGTTGGACACTTCTGCCGCCCAGACGGCTGCTGATCCGAAACGTCTAAGCTCGCTCGATATCCCTGGGCCCAGGGATGAAGCGGTTAAGGAATACAGTGAGTGGCAGGTGTCTAATGTCACTCATGACACCCTTAAGGCTGCATTTCGTCAAGTCTGTGATGTGATGCTGGAAAATGGTCTTGATCTTGAGCAAGAGTGGGGCAGTAACATTAAACTCTCTACTTTCCTCTCTTTTCTTCCATCTCCCCCTTCTCATGCACTCTCTCTTTCCAACACTGGTATAAGAAGGAAAGCACGAAAGAAAAGAAGGAGAATAAATTATCATGGCAGAGAGGGATTCTCTTATCTCGTACCCCTTGGACCTCCCGGAATCCCCCTCTCAAATGATTGGCAGGCGCAGAAACCGCCTCGTGAACATCATCAAGCAGAACGACCTTCCTCAACTCCGTCAGTTTATCGTCTCATGCTCTCCTGAGGATGTGATTGCCCCTGGGACGCCCTACTTGGAGGATACCTTGTTCAATGCTGCCTCGTACGGCAGCCCCGAGTCTCTTCACATCCTCTTGGAGGTGTACATTGCGGCCCCGGAGGTTGTCAAGAGGCTCAATCCCAAATTACATCTGCTGCTCGATGCATGTGGTACAGCAAATATTGATGTGGTGCGCTTCATTTTGGATAGCCATGACATTCCAGAGAATCGATTACCGCTCGGGACGGTGGATTTGCATCAGAGAGATGACTCCGGAGATACGCCGATCCTCGCGGCTACGGGGTCGTTGATGTATCTTGACAAAGACGCCGATGGAGTAGAAGATGAGGGTCTCTATTGGAATGAGTGGATTCGAAATCGGATTGCGCGGGGCCATAGATTGATTAATCTCCTTCTCGACCGGGGCTGTTCAGCGACAGATATTATTCCCCCTTTGCCAAATGATCTCTCTCCTTAGGGAAGTCAGGTACAAGCCAGTGTGCTTAGGCTTGCTGTGTCAAGGGCTAATAGTCTATTAATTCAACGGCTCATTGATTGCGGTGCCGATATCTACCTTAAGCATCAACATGTCCATCATGCCAGGGTACCATTTCAGTCCAGGACCATAAGAGTTCACGCGTATAATGTCACGACGCTCTATCTAGCAAGTTTATTTTACAATTCTGATGCTGTTAAGTTGCTCTTGGATCATCAGAATTACAAGAAGAATGCCAACCCTAAGCTGGTTTCCCCCTATGACAGTGATAGGCGACTCCCACTGCATTGGGCAGCTAGCGATCCTAGAGGGTTTAACTGTAGACTTCTGGATAAGCAGCTTAGAATCATAGAGACCCTTCGACTGCTCCTAGACCATGATTCTACTAGTATCAATCTTGTTAACAACACTAGATCCACGCCGCTGCACTATGCTGCTATAAGCCACGCTATGTGCGGTTGTAGCCAGCACGCTGAACTTGCTATCCGCACTTTACTCGAATACAGGGCTAACCCTCGGATCCCCGATAGCTCTGGTCGTACCATCCTACATCTACTAGGGCATAACTCCCATCAAGGTGACCCCATCAAGACCATGCTTCTGGATTTAATCCTGTCTCACGGTGCAAATATCAATCATGCCAAGAACAACGGGAAAACGGCATTGCATGTCTTCGCTCAGAACTTGCGGCAGGTCTCGGCCGCAAAGTTCTTAATTGAGCATAGGGCGGATTTCCGGGCTCGGAATACTCTCTGCGAGACGCCCTTTCATACGGCAGCGCGGGGGTTTCTGAATGATCATGTACGCCGTGATGGGAGAGATAAGGAAGTTACAACTGTGAACAAGATCAGACTTCAAGATAAGATGATGCATGTTCTGAAGGAGGCTGCCGGGGAGGATACTGCTATGTTGATGAACCAACCAAATGCGGAGGGTAAAACCCCGCAGGACTTACTGCAGGAGACCAGAAAGCGGTGGCAGGGAATGGAGCAGCCGAAACCAGGCCCCGGAAGAGGCAGAGGTAGAGGCAGAGGGTAGCCAGTAGGAGCATAATTACAGTTCAGAAAGAATATCTCATAAGCGTAGCCATGGTAGCACTTCTGACACATTTGGAACTGTTGGAGTGTATATTTGCTACACGAACAAGGGTTCTTGCCATGCGTCAGGTCATTACAGTAAAAGACTATGTCGAATTGAGGTGGTATTTTACCACTCAGGGAGTACCTATTCTCTGTTTAACTTTATATGGTCAGTGCTCGGAATACCAGCGTCGTACGCTATAAGCGCCTCCTGAGATCTGACAACGCTTAACAGCGAGATCCAGCGAGAACACACATTTTCAATGTGATACCTCAGGTGGGCCAGGTCCAAGGGATCAAACGGAGGGTTTAGAGATCGGCACCGATCAATTCTTTATATGTCTAATAAGAAGTAACCTGAAAATTTGGCAACTTCTCATACTATGTACTAGGCTTTCGGATAGTATCATGTCTCTCCGGTGTCGATATTCACTCGTGGCTACGAAGGCACATCATAGCTAGAGAACCGTGATTTTGAATATAGTATGAAAGATATCAAATAATAGTTCCTAAATTAAGCGAAATCATTGGTGGCTCTCTCACACGCAAAGCATGAGGTGTACCTACGCTCTAGTTTCAATGATTCCCTAACCACTATAGATTTGCGAGTTCAGCGAAACGGGATGAACAATTTTGCCCCCTGCTGCTTCAATAGCTTATCGCAAGATCATGAAATAGGTGGCGTCTAAGTCGTAAGTTTATTATTGTAACTTCCCTCCTACTACACGCTCAGTTATAACTTCACTCGCATGAACCTCTAGTGGCTGAGGAAATAATTTCGTTCAATCTTCCAACCGGAACAAATTTAGCGTCTATCGTCCACTAATCGTGTAGCGGGAGAACGGTGTAATTTTGACCATGTTGTAACTACACCTACGAGTATTTTTGACCATTATAAGTTCCGCGGCGATCTCTTATCCCCTCTCTCTTTATTGGAATACTATATGTTAGTACGCACTAAGAGACTCCAAGATCCCACTATGTATGTAAGGTGGGTATGGGCGGAAGATGGCTACCAAGTTAGTTATGCTGAAATGTCGCTCGGGCGATCAGTGGGCCTGACAGCGAACTAAGTGCCTCAATAGGACGAGATAAAAGGTATGACGGCCCACCAGCTCGTATTCGTCGCACAGCCCTCCCTACTCCTGTTTGAAATATTGGGATCTTCCCAGAAAATTTCTTTAGAATCAAATTTTCTGACACTACGATCATGACGCATTCCCTTATACCCTCATTCGTCGATACTCCTGGAGAAATAATCCTCGGGGTGGCGGAACACCTCAGCTTGATGGACCTGAACTCACTCGTTCAATTGGCGCAGCGATTCCATGAGCTCCTCTCGAAGCAGCTGTATAGCCGTGCAGCTACGTTCATCCGAAGCGATGGCAAGACGCCGCTGATATGGGCAGCAGAACGTGGCAGAGTCCGGTCGATGCAAAAGCTTTTGGATCAAGACCCGGATCCAGCGAAATTGATCAACGGAAAAGGAGCGGTGCATTATGCGGCCACTGAAGGACATGAAGAGGCAGTTGAGCTGTTGCTTAAGGCCGGAGTGCCGGTGTCGATGCCGGATGAGATACTTCGTACCCCTCTCAATCTGGCCACCCTCCAAAATCACGAACACGTAGTTCGCTTCCTTCTCGCTTCTGGGGCGGGGCATACTGCACGCCCAGCCGACAACGATTGGGAATGGGGAGGAGCATTGACAGACTCAGTAATGGAAGAGTTTGAATCAGTAGCGCGCGCTCTTCTGGAGGCAGGAAAACGAGCGCCACCAGAGCACGCGAACGATGTCAAGCAATGGATCTATGCCCAATTATGTCTGGCTGCTTCATACGGAAAATGCAATATGATGAAGTTACTACTAGAATTCGATGGCGCCACTCATCTCCCGGAAGTGGAATACCAGCCCCCAGTGCATTTGGCTGCTGCCGGCGGACATATGGATGCCCTCCAGCTTCTGCTCGATCACGGAGCTGACATTTCCGTCGTCGATGTAGAAGGCGATACCATCATGCACCACGCGGCAGTCGGTGGGGACGAGGAAATCCTTCGGTTTCTGATGGACCGTGATATGGATGTGGATGTTCCGGGCGGGTTTGGAAATACACCCCTTATGAACGCTGTTGTCTATAATAGACAGACTGCGGCTCAGATGCTACTAGATGCTGGGGCCAATGCCACCGAGCCCTTTTCCAACGGAGACCCTCCGATAAACTTCGCCGCCCATTTTGGATCAAAAGAAATGGCCAAGCTCCTCCAGGACGGCGGAGCGTCGATTAACGATCTCGGAAGGGGTAATCGGTCTGCCTTACATGAAGCTGCTTTAGGCGACAATACAGCCATTATTCCATTTCTATGTCGTGCCGGGGTACCAATGGATGCGTTAGATGTCAATGAACTTAGCGCTCTCCACCTTGCTGCCGTTCATGGTCACACTGAATTCGTCCGAAAGCTCCTTGACATGGGAATGAATGCATCAGTGGGTGAACCTGGAGGAAGAATGCCAATTCACGCCGCTGCAGTAGGCGGTCATCCTGACGTGCTGCAATTATTAATCGACGCTGGAGCGGATCCCTGCGCAGTTCACAAAGAGGGGGATCATACGGCCCTGCACTACGCCGCCATGTATGGGAACACCGAAGTGGTTCAGGTTTTACTGCAAGCTTTTCAGGAACAGACTGTGAAGACTCTCCAGTCTCTCCAGCCATGTCACTGTGGGCGGTCGCCGTTGAAAAAGGCCGCTGCCAACGGAAACACGGAAATAATAAAATTGATGAAGGATAACGGAGTGGATGTGACCCTCTATCACGAAGGCTCCTCCGCTTTACATCTTGCGACATCGGCCGGCCAGGCTGAGGTTGCTGGCTTTCTCATGTCTCTAGGGGCCGATGCTTTTCGATTGGACATATACGGTCGATCCTCTCTGGACTGGGCATCTCTGGATCCACCGACTCTGGAAGCGCTGTTGAAATACTGTCCGCAACCTCCCCCGACAGACCGTGTGAAACGTACCTCAGCTCTAAGGGAAGGTATCTTCTGGCTCGCCAGTCGTGCCCTAGTCGAGGGATATAAACATCATTACAGACTTGGAAAGTGCCTTCTATACATAGATGACCTACCGTCCGCCCGCATCTCATTTATTTTAGATGCGCAACCGCCGGGAGATGATGCAATTCATTATTCACCGGCTGTTTGTGATTCATGTTCAGATTCGCTGACAGACAGCCGATTCGTCTGTCGAACCTGCCCGGATGTGGACTTCTGTTCTGAATGCATAAACAAATACCAAGAGCAGGGGGGTAAAATTAAGCTTTGTGAAGGGCATGAATTTCTAGAGATTAGAGTCTCGGACCGAGAGCTTCTGGAGGAGCCGGCCAATGAATTCAGGGACCGGTGGCTCCAGGGCCTCGTGGCGGCGTATGGCAATTCTTCTGCCTAGTCGATGATTCATTGATTCAGCAGTATCTATGGGCCATACATTACTGTTAATAGTAGAAAGCCTGTCGACCAGATAAGGAAACAATGGCGAGGAGGACGCGAGGAGCATATCCCATTCGCCCAAGAACTTGAATTTTGAAGAGGACATAGATAAAGGATCATTCTGGTGGCCAACTGAAAATCTATTTCATTGTTTATGATCTTCCTGTTACTATTATAGTGGCACTAAGCCCTCAAGGTCTTGGTCTCAGCCATTTTTGCTTCATAAAATGAGCAGTTCTTAATGCAGTAAGTAGGACGCGGGGAAGTGTCTCTTCTCTTTGTGGTGAAGATAGTCACATAGGCCAGGATGCAAGGTTTTTATTCGGAGTTATACGCGGAGTAGCTAGATTTAGAATGCAACCATCATACCAAAAGATCAGTCAAATCGAGTCTAATGTAGATGGCGGCTTATCTATGTCATCAGAATGGTGCTGCACGCTTTAGAAATACTATGTGGGAACATGTGTAATACTCGGTTCCCCTCACCTTATTTGCTTCCCTGGCTAAACTCATAGGCGTTGCCAAATGCGCTGTTCAAGTTCTTTCATCGTTTCAGGGCCACAGCGTGCCACGCACGCGTCTTCCAGTAAAATACAACTTCTATTCTAGGAACTTGGGGATCGACGGACATACCATATCTGGATTAGCGTGTTTCAAACTAGGGTTCGGGAATTAAAGTCGAAGAGTGTTGAGGTATAGTTGATTTCGAACATTACTGTACTTAGATCCGGGGTGTTTATAATATCCGAACCTGTTGGGCTTCGTAAAACTAAACAATGCTCGAGTATCATACACGCGACAGCTTTGGAAGGCTGGACGCCCGTTCATAGATGATGCCATATCTGAAACATCAGCCACAGCAGACAGTCGACTCGTTTGCTACACTTGTCTGCTTCCCATCACTTTTGTGTAACATAACAATGTTAGCTATAAGATGAACTGTGGCCGCAACAGAAGAGGTACTCACCCAGAACTAATGGTCTCCCACGTAAAGATAAACGAGCCAATATATGCACCAATGAAGATACAGATAATGAAGTACCCATTGTAATACATCGCAAGGCTTATCAAAAATCAGTCATTGGAGTCATAAAAGTCAAGATTTAGAGAAAAAAAAACTCACAGCATAACAAAGTACGCCACAGCAAATTGACACATATGCAGCAAAGCCCGAACCATCTGTTGAAAAACCGTAGGCCTAAACCCAAAAGATGGGAATTTTGCAGAAGAAGCCTGGTTCGTTTCCGTCGCCGCAACCTTTGATTTATGCTGTCTCAAAAGAAGACGGTCATACTCTTTTCCCAATCGGCGAAGGAACTCCAGGCAGATAACGAGACAGATAACGCCAATGCAAGAACCCGCAAACATTCCTCTGGAGGTTATGTGCCATGATTTGGTGATGAAGCATGTATCGACTGTGTTCCAGTTCCATAACATCTAGAGAAGATAGGATTAGAATGTAGTCTTGTACCAAATTGGGGTATAAATGGTCGCTTACTGAAATCTTGCATGAGTGACCACCGCCGCCCATGTCCATACTCATACTCGAAGCGGAAGACGTCGCGGCCGGTGTGGCAGATGTGGTAGTGCCCATTGACATATCCATGATGACGGTTGAAATAAACAGAGATGGATCTTGGAGGGACTGCAAAGAGGCAGCCGCAATAATATTAATATACCCGCTATAAATTCGCAGCTTAAAGAAAAAAAGGTCAAAGCGCGACATGTGTCAGACAATAGTATGTACTATTAGATGGGCGCCAATATTGGCGTTGAGCAGGAATGAGCATGTTTAATGCCAAGGACTGCAGGTCACCTCTTTCGCCGGTGCGAAGCTGCACAATGTGACCACCGCCCGGAGTTTCTAATTGGATCATTCTTAAAACGATAACATTCGCATCTGCTCGGATCTGGACGGCGCCGAAAGAACCGTCAACTATGGGGCGAATGACAGCACCTTTTTTTGTGAGCTATATCTCATGTAAGAATCTTCGTACGTTACATGATGGAGTCTTCTATATCCTTTTAATATTCATAATACACCGAACATTGCTTTCCAAAATCTTTGATTCCACTATTACTAGCGACTGAACAAGTGTTGTTTAATACCTGATTGAATATTAGCAGGGTCCAAGGCGATTGAATGATAAGCAAAGACTCACGAAAAGTTCTCAGTGTGGAGCCAAACCTCCCGCGCAAAATTATTCTGCTTGGCAAGAATTCTATACTGAGCAGACGAAACAGCCTCACCCACATCGTGGGTCATAGACGAAGGCCCACACACCACAACACCGACAGAGACACCACTTTGTCCAGAAAAATCCCGAATTAACGCCGGCAGATCTGGACGACCAGAGAAGAACTGGACACCAAACATCTCCGTGGTAGATGTCTCCCTAACAGCCCCATTGGTGGTCTTTTCATCCTCTTTCAATTTCAGATCAGGAAGCACCGTTTCTGTCTCCATCTGTGTCTCCACAACCTGATGCTTGGCATGCGTCTCGTGGATGTGAACAGAAAGACCCGGGATAATGCCTTCGTGGGAATTTCGCAGTGCCATGTCTTCCAATGCCTGAATAAACCATGCGCGCATCCCAGGATCTCTGGTAGCAACTACCATCTTCATTTCAACCTTGCCCTTATGAAAGGAAGAAAGTCGGACAAAGTCCTCCAGCATGGAGAGTGTAAAGCCGGCGCCGGCACCACCACCGATAATGAGGCTTTTGTCAGAGTCTGCTAGCTTGTGCTCGGGAACTCCTCCGTACGGTCCATCTAGCAAGACAGGTACTTGCACGCCCGGATTCTTTTGCGCCATGCTCATCAGTCGGCCGGTGAACCCACCACGCCGCTTGACATAGAACACCAGTTGGTTTTTCTTGTTTTTCTGCGGTAACGAGCAGATGGTAAAGGGATGAGCGGTGAATGCGTGAACTCCACACGTCAAGAATCGAAGGAAGATATGTTGACCGGGCGCCCAATGCATCTTTGTATCGATAGTAACGCAGAGCGTGTCATCCGTTTCGGATACAAGGCTAGCCTTGTGTCTGAAGCCGTGCTCGATATATGTTTTGCACTGGGAGTATAGCCAGCAGAGGCTGTAAATAACTGCTGTTGCGATGAAATAGTCCCAGGATGACATGCGGAAGTCACAGTGGAAGAAGAAGAAGATAACGAAGACGAGTGCCATGAAGTAGTGTGTTGCTTTGAAGAATTCGTAGTATCGGTTTCTAATCGGGGATAGCTGTTAGCAACTGTTAGATCTCTGTTGAAGGGGAACGTACCGGATCCAAGGAATAGACATGAATGTCAGCCAAGTTTGCGCTATAAGTGCGACCACACCAGTCACCCAGACTCCGCCTTCGCTCCACGATGCAACAAGATCGCCTTTCCAGGCGTGGAAGACAATGAAAGGGAAGGTGTGGGTTAATGCCAGGACGAACATAGCCCATGCGACCCAATTGTGCCATACGTTCAACTTTTCGTGGGAGATACCTGTTAATGCTGTGATGGGGTTTGCCTTGGCACCTAGGACACTGTCAACTGGTCAGCTTTCTTGATGTCCCCAGGTTGAAGGTATGGTTCTCACATTAGGAACGGCATGCAAGCAAGAGCTAAGAATCCAGCACGGGTAGCAATGGGAGGAGAATTTCCGAAGCTGATTTCCTTCGTGTTAGGCCAATAGTATGGACGAGGGCCAAGGGTCATGGCTGTATATGCAACTCTGATTAGCAACAATTGTCCTCCAGAAGGGTTAGGGCGGATAGGTCACTCACCAAAGAAGAAAACCGCACCAGCAGCCCCAAGCAAGCAAACACCGAGAGAATGTGTGTTCCAGCCACCAAATCTCCAGCTCTTATAGGAAAGGAAGCGAAACGTCGCCACGAGACGTGACCATATCGACTTTTTCCTGAGGCTTTGTGGTGCAGCTTTGGATGCGATATGTGAAACTGTGAAAAGGATAATTGCAACCAGAAAGAACGCAACCGTTGGCAGGGCATATCGATGATCGGCTTCATACCAGAACACCCAGTAGCTGGTCTTGAGTGCGCACTGCTCTGGAGTCATTGTGCATTTGCCTGCATCGCGACTCGAGTGTAGCATGACAGGCTGGTCCAGCCATGGGACCATACCCGTGCTTGGTTCCATCTTCATCGTTGCGGTATTGCTGAAATTCTGCTACCACATCCGTTGGAGGTCAACAGTCGTTCTGCGAAAGTGTTATGGCAAAAAAAAACATGAAACCTATCTCGCCCGGATATCATTCGCCTTACTAATACCTGTCCCACTCGGTCATCTGCGGGTACCCTGCCCAGTGTGAGACCAGAATGATCAAATGATATCTAAAATGATTGGATTAGAACATGCTCAAATTGCCCGCGCTGTACGTATGCAGGAATGTGTAGGGGCTTCGGGAGGGTCCGAGCCATGAATCTCAATGGGGCCGTTGTGATTTGCCGAAATGAGTGAGGGAGTATGAGAAGGTTTTGGTATAAGCGCATTAGCGGACCCACCGATATACGTCAATTCCCTCAACTTTGCGAGGTTCTCCCCTTAATCTTTGAAATCTTTGACCCGCGTGGACCACGTTGTCCTCGTGGGAACTCGGGTGTCATTGTCCGTGAGTTGACTCCCAAGGTTCTTTTCGCTTGTTCCCGATCACTTTTTTAGTACATGTACTCCCCCTCTTTGACTCATATAGGTCAAAATTGCCGTTTCTCTGTTTCTTTCTTATAACATAATTTCTCTTCATCCTCAGTTCACCAATTGAATAGCCAAAATGGACATGTCAGACATGTCAACGACAATGTCCATGGCGACAACAACGGCAATGTCAATGGGTACAGCAACGGGCATATCCATGGCAACATCAACCTCGTCGTCCATGTCCGGCATGTCAGGGATGTCCGACATGTCCATGTCAATGGCCGACATGGCAATGACCTTCTTCGTCTCCTTCAAAACACCTCTCTTCTCCACCGAGTGGACACCGGGCACGCAAGGCCAGTATGCCGGTACATGCATCTTCATCATTGCGCTAGCCGTTATCATGCGAGTTCTTCTGGCCTTCAAGCCGATCCTCGAGGGTCGCTTGTGGACGGATAGCATTCACGATCACATGCTTCATGATCATTCGAACGTTGAAGCTGGCAAGTCGCCTCGGGCTCCCTCTGGGGTACGGTTGAGTGCGCAGGAGATTGGGAGCCGGTGGACATCGTGGCGTGTGAACCCTGCTGCTGGTCGGGCGACGTATGAGGTTGTTCTTGCTGGTGTCGCTTATCTATTGTGAGTTCTATCTCCCGGCTATCATTCGAGCTAACCAGCCTGCAATGCGGTAGCTGACGGTGTTGCAGAATGCTCGCGGTGATGACGATGAACGTGGGTTACTTCATGTCGGTTCTTGGGGGTGTTTGGTTAGGAACTTTCATGTTGGGGAGTGTGGCGGCCGATAGTAGATGGATGCATTGTTAGGAAAGCTGAGACACGGAGCGTGAGGCTCTTAATAATACCAGGTACTTGGAATCTGACTCCAATCAAGCCGCAGTTGCCGAGATGGGATGGGCAGAATTGCGAGATGGCCATGTCCAACCACAGGTCATGGGGTCAGCAGCAAACAAGTCAAATAATGGACAGACTAGGCTCTAATTGACTCGTCCTGATTATCTCATCAGCTAAATTTCCCCCTCCTAAAGTTGGGAGTTCATCACGAAATGGCCACGTCTTCCCAAATAGGAACGAGAACGCGACTTGCAGCCTCAAGAGCAAACACTCCAAAAAGGTTAAAAAACCTTAAAATTGGCCAGACGCGTTTTTATGTCAGCCCATCATATTTCTCCCTCCCAAAGATTGGAAAATGTCGCCCAATTGCCACGCCAGCCTAAAAAGGAAATCCGGGGAAAGCAAACAAACCAAATTCTTTAAACAAGTTGAACTCTCCTCAACGCGAAAGAAGATGTAAAGACGTGTCTCACATGTGACCTCTAAATTTTCCCTTTCTCAAGTTGGGGAAAAGTCGTCAGTTGCCCGCGTTGCTCAGTATGGGGGATTTCTTCTCACATCAAGGCCGTTGATTATATGTATCTGCATATCTTTCATCACTACCCAAGGCTATCATGCTCATCCTTGACAATTGCTGATTTCCATGCTGAGGTCATGGATATGTTTCTATTTTCCCTCCCTTGTATACATCCAGTGATGTGGTTGTGCTAAAAAAAGAACCACGACATTGAACGACGTCATTGGACAATGCCCCGCTAAGCCACCCACCGCCACATCGGTCCATTTATCAACATCATCAACACACCTCAATCATCAATCATGTCTCCCCACGAAGGACTAGTTCACCCCAAGGAATACGACGTCAAAGATAGTAATGTGGAGCTAATCGGATCCGACCTCGACCACCGCGTCAAGTACAATTTCGCCGCCAGCGAGCCAGCCTGGAACAGCGGCAAGATCGGCCAAGAAGCCGGGCTCTACATTTGGCGCATCGAAAACTTCGAAGTCATCCCCTGGCCCAGGGAAAAATTTGGCCAATTCTACGATGGAGACAGCTTCATCGTGCTGCACTCGTACAAAGTCGGCGACGACAAACTAGGCCATGACATCTTTTTCTGGCTCGGCAGCAAGACTACTCAGGATGAAGCCGGTACCGCCGCTTACAAGACCGTTGAGCTGGATGAGTTCCTTCATGGTGCTGCGACCCAGCATCGTGAGGTGCAGCAGTCCCCCTCGGATGAGTTCTTGGCGCTATTCCGTCACATCTCTATCCGGTCTGGTGGTGTCCGGTCTGGCTTTACACATGTCGAGCCTGAGGCTAAGAAGGATATCCTGACACTTCTGCGGATTTTCAAGCACCCTGGTGCTGGCCGGATTGATTCGCTCATCGTGCATGAGGTCGAGCCGACCTGGCAGAGCCTCGATGAGAACGATGTCTTTGTTTTGGATAAGGGAGACAAGATCTGGGTTTGGCAGGGGAAGAAGTGTAGCCCGATGGAGAAGGCGAAGGCTGCGCAGGTGGTCAATGATATGACTCTTGCGAAGCATGTTGATGTTGAGGTCCTCTCGCAATTGGAGTCGAGGTCGAGGCTCATTGTCGATTTGCTCGGCGGGAAAGAAGAGGCTCCGTCTACTTTGGAGGCGCCGAGACCCGGTCGTTTCGGGAAGAGGTCGAGCGAGACCAGTGCTGATTCTCCATCGCGCAAGCTGTTCAGACTCAGTGATGCATCGGGCGACTTGTCCTTTGATCTTGTCAAGGATGGACAACGTGTCAACCGGTCCGATTTCGATGGAAAGGATGTCTTCCTCTACGATACTGGCAGCAGACTCTGGGTTTGGCAGGGATCTGAAGCTAGTGCGAGCGAGAAGGCTATGTGGCTCAGGGTTGCTCAATTCTACGTCCGCAAGATCCAAGAGAGCGTGCAGTCTTCAGAGGCATACCTCAAACCTATCTCCAAGGTTTCCCAGGGCCATGAAAGCCCTGCGTTCTTGAAGGCCCTCGAGGTCTAAACCTATAGATACGATTACTGTGACATATGAGCGAAATCAACAATATCATATCATACAGCTTTCCCAACGTGTTACTCTATGAGCTTTCACGAAGTGATGCGTCTAGCCTAGACATATGCGTAATCCTCAAAGCAGCTCAGATCCCTCACCCCCCTTATCCAACGCATCAGCCTGCTTCCGCAGAACATCAGATCGGAATCTCCGGAACGCAGTCTCAATCCTCTTCTTACTCTCCGGATCAGCCGAGATACGCCGGCTTCCACTAGCCGCACCACCAGCAAACCCTACGCACCCGAGATAACCGTTAGAATGCCTTCAACTCTGAAAAATATGGAATGGAATACCCACCAAGTTCACCACCTAAAAGCAACCCACCAAGGGAAGCAAAGAAGTAAGTCGCAAAGTCACCCAAAGTAGTAGGTTTCAACAACGGCGTAAGATCAGGAACGGACTCTGCAATGCACGTCAGCCAACATTATTCCCATCCATCCCATCCAAATCTTAATTGAACAAAATCTATTCCAACATACCAGTTCTCCCATTCTCAAAAATAACCTTAATAGGCTTCTCCTGCGCACGCATAGCTGAGAAAAGCGCCTTGCGAGTGCTGCGCAGCCGAATCGCAGCGAGTAACCCCAGACTCACACCAACGGCTGATCCAACGGTTGTCCAAAGAGAGACTGAGGAAGCAGCTGCTTTTAGTTTATCGCGATCGTTCGGTTGGAGGTCGTGTTGCATGTGTTCGTCGGCGAGCTTTGCAAGCTCGTCTGAGCGTTTTTGGCGGAAGATAGCGAGTGAGTCAGACATATTGGTAGATATTGAGAAATTGATGATTTTAGGGATGTTGTTTTTTTGGTGTAATTGCAGGAAAGAGGAATTTTGTAGCTTGAGGAACTTTAAAGTGGTAAGTGTGACGTCATTGATCTGGAACCCGGGCTTGGAGCTTGGGCCTCGGGATTCGAAAGTATGCAAGTCTAGACTGGCGAACCATTAGATATGGACATTGAGCATACTTGAATCAAAGAACACTAAATAACACAAAATAAGTCATAAATGGCATGAATTGGGATTATTGCAAAACGGTGTTTGCGATCATATCTCCAAGTTGATCGGGATCTATCCCGTTTGGCCGTCCTGCTATCTCCCCTCGCACATCTGGGGTATTTCCGGATTAATGGAGTGAATGATCCGGGGTTGGCTAGTTGATACATAGTACTGTCCATGTCTTCTCATGCATTGTCGTTTGTCCTATCTTGTGGTCTAGTCTCTGATATGCTGTTGGTGACTTTGCCGCGAGTATGTTCTGTGCCATGAGACTAGCCCGGGTCAACCCTTGACGTGCAGGAGGGATATCAGCGATGAGGTTGCATCGGGGTTCTGTTACCGACGCCAGATCTCCTAGCGTTGGCTAGCGTTGGGGCAAATATTGGAGGACAAAACTCCGAGGTCTTTTGATATTTTCACCAGTCAAAAGGTGATATCAACGAGGAATGCTATCCCTACTCAGGTATAGCATTGCACGATCTATATATTGGGATCTCGGGTTCTCGAGGAGCGTTGACATTGTGAAATGCGTCAGCGTTTTAGTCAATAGTTCGTTGATTCCGTATTTTTCTCCAATTATCAGCCGTATTCAAAACCGGTAGTGCTCAGCACTCTCAACCCCCAAAATAATTCATATCTCTGGCATCCAAATTCTCAATAGTCAAATATTCAACCACTTTTAGGAGTGAGTCGAACAATACTTTTCGCCGCTTCTTCAAAATCCGCCTCTACAAATAAATTGTCCAATCCTGATTCCTCGATCTATGATCCGCGTCAGCCATGAAAGCAACATACTCCAAACCTGCAACCTTGACTCACCAATTTCAATCCTTTGTCACTATTCGTACCCTGCAGACGGACAACAACAGGAACCTTGAATCCTCCAATCTCCTTCGCAGCAGCAACAATCGACTCGGCGATCATATCACAACGGACAATGCCTAGGAACATATCAGCCATCCACCTTCCCGATGCCTCAAGGGAGCATATACTCACCACCATAAATATTAATCAAAACCCCTTTAACCCTCGGATCCCTTCCCAAAATCCGAAAAGCCATAGCCAAAGTCTCCTTCGTAGCCCCACCCCCAACATCCAAAAAATTAGCACACCTCCCCCCAAAAAGCCCAATCAAATCATTCGTCGCCATCGCAAGTCCCGCCCCATTAACAATATTCCCAATATCCCCATCAAGCCGCACATAAGAAAGCCCCAACTGCGCCGCCTCAAACTCCTCCTGTTCCTCAGCGGACCGCTCCTCCAACTCAAAAATCTCCGCCTGTCGGTATCGCGCCGAATTATCAAAATGCAACTTCGCATCCAAACAGACAAAGTCCCCCTGCTCGGTTCGTACAAGCGGATTCAATTCTAACAGCGTTGCATCTGTCTCCCTGAATAATTTCACCATTTGTTGCAGGATGTGTCTCACCCTCCCCATTTCTGAATCCGAGAACCCGAGCTCGGCTTGTATATAAGCGTCGATTTCATCGGTCATACCGGTTTCGAGGTTAAACCATAACCGGTGTAGACTGTCGATGTTCGATTCTATGTTTATTCCGCCTTCATCTGATATCAGGAGGACTGGGGAGGAGTGTTGTCGATCAAAGGTCATTGCTAGGTAGTATTCGTGCGATATGGTTACCGCTTTGTAGATGTATAATTTTGAGACGGGGAGACCTGGTGGTGGGGTCTGGTTTGTTTTTAGGTTGTGACCGAGCATTTTTGTTGCGTTTTCGAAGGCTTCGCCTGGTCTGCGGGATTTGGTTAGGTCGGGGCTGGTCTCTTGTTGTAGTTGATTCTTAGAACTCACGTCTTGACGATCCGGACGCCACCTTTGCCATCGCTGTCGTATGTTCCTTTTCCGCGGCCGCCCGCTAGGATTTGGGCTTTTATTACAGACGGTGCATCTGATTTGGTTTAAGGTTAGTTTCGATATAGCCCGAGTAGACTTGGAGGGGGATGGGCTCACTAATATCGATAACGACATTCTTAGCTTCCGCCGGACTCGTAACGACGAACCCGTTCGGTACTGGAAGTTGGAACTACCCAATGTGAGTATTGTAGCTCGGCAGGACGGGTATAGACCATACATCCTTGAGCAATTTGTGTGAGTGATGTTCCAATAGACTCAGTCGTCTGATTTGCGTTAATGGGGCGTGGTGCTGTTTTAGGGTGGTTGATACACCGGGTCTGAGGATGTGGGATTCGAACGGGGTATGAATTTGTTGGATGAGACGTGTGAGGGAATGCCGGGTGTTCATGATGGGTTTCATTGAGTGATCGTTTCCATATGTGAAGATCGGATTCCGTATGTGTAGAGTGGAGGTCACTTTATGAAGATTGACATTACTTGGGTCATGACATCAGCATGTCACTTTTTACTTAGTCTGGGGGCCCGAGGTTGGGAGGTTAACTTTATTTGGGGCGTGGATCGCGTGACATGCTAAGATATCCACTATAGCTCGAAACGGGAGGTATTTGGTCAGTGGCAAAGTAGCTGAATGTTTATCTAGTTTATCTAAAGAGATGTTTTGTCTCCATCTTAGGGTCCTGTATGTATAAGCCTAGAACTAAGTTATCCGGCGAAACATTTCATTCTGCAAACCCGAAATGAACTGAATCATGCACTAATCCAAAGGAAACCCTTGAACAGCCCGAAAACGTTTAGCGAAAACTCTCATTAAATCCATAATGAAATACCATATATACAAGTGGTTTTCACCTCTTCTCTCCCCAGTACCTTTCTTTTTATACCTTAATAATTAGAAGGCCAATTACCAGTCCACCTAACAGAATTTTCATCTTCATCATCAATAACGACAACCATCCAAACACCAATCTGCCCATTATTCGCCAACAAAGGCGTACAATGAACCCAACGATTGCGGCCTTGATCATTAAACTTGGTCACCCACTTGATGCGCGCCGTGACACTCCGGCCGGCCATCATGGCGTTCAGTATATTATCGCGTTTGGCGCCTGAGTCACCGATGCGGTTTAGGAAGGAGGATTGGAGCATCCCTGGGATTTGGAGGGAGGGAGATGTGAAGAGGATGCGGAGGGAGGGGTATGGGCGGACGAGGAGGTACTGTATCATTTGTTAACTATCTGGATACCAGGTGGCGTGGTGCGATTGGAACGTACGTGTTTGTAGACACCGGCCAGGGAAAGGCTAGGAGATGGAGCTGGTGTGGGATTTGACTGGGATGGCGGTTGATCTTGGGTGCCGCCCTCGGTCTCGGTATCGGAATCTTGCAGGAAGAGTCGATGATTCGGATCTTCGTTGACGATCGGTTGGAATAGGTTGCCTCCGTGTTCGCGCACGTTCTGGAGTTCACGGGGACTGAAAAGCTCGCCTAGTTCTTGGAACTCGCTCTTTGACTCTTTGGTCGTGGAGCCGTTCGTTGAGGGATTTTCCTTTTGCGCTTGGATATTTTGTAGGGATTCCATCTGAGCGCCTTCCATCGCTAGTCCTGAGACATCGATCTGGGCACCGATGAAGTAGCGGACCTTTCCACGGCTGTCGCAAAGAGGTGCACATTGAAGGAGGTTCATGAATGGAGAGCCATCGCGGCGGCTGTTTGAGCCTTAGCTTTAGCTCAGATATGTAGTATGTGAAGCTACTCACTAGTTGAGGAAGAGCTCGGAGTGGTGTCTCTCGGCCTTAATCCCCTCTCGGATACGCCGCACACTGTTGGGATTTGTTTTTGGGCCTTGCAAGAATCGACAGTTTCTTCCGAGGACATAGTCCATACCGTACTGAGTAGTGCGATGGAATTCTGAGCCGAGTAAGCGAACCTTCACTTAGAACTGTTGAAATGCAAACATACCTCCAGAAGCAAAGATAATAGGATTATCTGGCCGCGACGGATCCGTCAAACAGAACACCTCAGCCAGCGCATCTGCAGTACCCTGGAACTTATCCGGGAGGGTTCCGCGCACACGCTCTTCAACAACTCTGCTAGTAATGCTGATACAAGTAGAAGTGATGAAAGCAGGCAGCTCCTCCGCAGTCAAAGCATCCAATGCCGCCTGCACACGAGCTTCAAGCGCGGTGGTAACAGTAGGACCAACAGGCTGCTCGGCCGTTTCAACACCAGCCGTTGGCACATCGATAGCCAATCGCACGAGCGCATTAGCATACTCAATAGCCTTGAGCGACTTGCAGGCATTGAGATAATAAGTCAAAGTCGAAAGTGACCCAGGGCGCTCCTGGTGCAGGAACTCGCGGAAACGCGCAAGATAACGCGGGTTATTGAGAATCGCCAACATATGCTCCGAGCAAAACATCAAGTCCGCTTGTCGCTCCAGAGAATGCAGCGGGGCTGCGTCACCTTCGTATGGAGCGACCAGGTTGTAAGATTGTTCCTCGTTTTCTTCAACAATCGGGTAAAATTGTTCGGAGCCCTCGTTGGGGTTTGTCTGTTGCAGAACTGGAAGCTCGTTCACCACGAAGTTCCGTCGCATTGATCTGGTAGAGAAGGACGAGTGGACATCGCGGGTTGGGGACGTAGGCGATCTGCATGGTTAGCGATGATTTCGGGGGTCGTGGAATTTGTCTTACGAGTAGTAACCCCTCGGTGGGCCGCCTATAGAGTGGTGTCCAAGCGATTGGTTTCCTACAGACTGCTGGTCCAGAGAGAGGTTGGTGAGCGATCGCTGGTCAAATTGATGCTGGCCGTACTGCCACTGCCTGTCAGGTTGGCCTCTTATGGAGTGGTGACCGAGAGATTGGTTGCCAATTGAATCGACGATGGATTCTTGGTCCATGGAATACCTGCGCGAGGACTCGCCATTGATTTTCGATCCCGTCGGTGGCCTCCCAATCACCGGCTGACCAAAGGCCGATGGCTCGTAAGCTTGCCAGGGAGGAGAATCGGAGCGTACAGAGAGAGCATGTGTCTTGGTGATGGTATCGTCGTTCGGCTCGACAATTTCAGGCGTGTGTGCCATGAAGGCTGCCTTGTGAGGTCGATTGTCCGGGATACTCGGCGATTCCATTTTGTATCTGCGATTGATCGAGCGAAGGAAGCGAGAGGGATAAGTATCATTACCTTTGGTCGGGTTATTCAACAATGACTTGATCTAGATTGACGGCCAAGCTACCAGGACTTTTTTTCAATAGTCTCCCATGGTTTTCGTGAAATGCGGGCGACTAAACCAAGTTCCATCGCGGAAGTTGGCCAGGTACTCTGGGCAGTTGGGTAAAGATCGGCCTGGTAATTTGGGTGGGCGCCCAATTCTCCCGATCGATCGATCGTGAGGTCTCTAGAGGAACAGAGATCTCGCCGATCAAAGCCTCGGCTGGAGCCATGATGCAATATGTGGATCGCCGATTTGTTTCCGAGATCTGCAAATAGTGCGCTGCTTTTTTTTGATTTTCAATAGTGCCATTGCTTTGATGTTAAACGGTCGAAGTTCCCCGTGATCGGCATGTCCGTGTCTAGTATTTGTCAAGATGCTCGAGCTGATGTCAAAAATAGCTGATATGCATGGATCTTTCCTATCGGCTTGAAGCTAGCGAGGAGAAATCCCCTCGAGCACTTGTTGAGTTGAAAATGAAGTGGCTCCAAGTACCCAAGATTCGCCGGGATCCATCACGTGCTGCTCAGTTGCCCTGTATTTTCTCACAACATACAAAAGGGGAAGTGATTTCTGGGAAGAAAGAAAAGAGCAGCCCGCTTTTGAATATTGCCACGGACTAAACAACAAGTGGATGTAGAGAGCCAATTTTCAGTTCATTTATAAGGCGGTGCGAGTGATGTGTGAAAAAGACCTAATTAACAACAGAGATCTCGCTTATAACAGTCCCAAGTCAAAATCTACCCCTGGAGACCAGAAACCAGCTTGTCACCAAGACCCTTGATGCTATCCTCAAAGGCATCGCGATCTCCAGCCTTCCAGTTGGCACTGCTACCAGGAACAGCACCTTGACCAGTGAATCCGATGTACAGCACATCATCCTCTGTATGTCCATTATTACCATTAATACCATCATTGGGGTAGCACATCTGAGCCAACGAAATCGACGCTTCACCAGTTGAATCCGCGCCATTCGTATCACCCCAGATACCGTACAGCTAAAGACCGCAATGTTAGCACACCTCACACTCCTCAATCTTATTCAAAAGGGAATTGCATCTCACCACTTGATTGTTGCAAACAACAGCCATAACACTCAACGGCTCCATACCATACTGCTGCGGATCGAAATCGGTATTACCAAATACGACATAGGGGTGCAGATTAGCATCGAGATCCTCAATGCCAAACTGGCTCAACTGGTCCTTGAAAGCAGTTTCGCCCTGCCCAGTCGGGTCGGAGCCACAGTCTCCGCCCTTATCATTCAGACCGTCGCAGTCTACGTCCATGTTGTCATATTGGCCGCCGTTACCGGAGCTGTGGAGGTAGATTGCCCCGTGGATATCGCCGCAGTAGGCGAAGGTTGATGCGCCGCTGATTCCATCTGTGAAGCCATCTGCGAGTTTGTTGTTGCAATTTCCGGACTGGGGGTCATTAGTTGGAGAAATGTGTGGTTGGTATATTTGGGGTTGATACTTTGTGGCTGTTGTAGATTTGCTTCAGGTTATCGGGGATGTTGTAGGCTGAGGCAAGGCCTAGTGAAAGGAGGGTGGTGGCGGTGATATAATGCATAGTGTATATATTCTGTTTAGATATACCTCAAATAGTTGATACACATATTGCCCCGGAATTTTACTGTTCTTTATAACAGCTGCCTCGCAAAGCCATACCCGATCAGGGGTATGGATATTATAATAAAGGCACAATGTAAGCGACAAAAATGGCAATGATCTACACACTGTTGCATCGACTAGCAGGGCGTGTTTGATGCATCCCCCTGTCAGTTGCCAGTTTTGAAAGCTCCAGACGCCATGCATCACGCTACTGAATACCATGTCACGTTTTAGGTAAGTGATGTCAAAATGGGAAACTGGGGCAAGTGGAACTTGGGGCCATTCATGTTTGATAGCCTATGAGATCGAGTGTCAGATCGAGGGTCTTGGTCAATGCTTGTTTCAAACGAAGGACCCTGCAGATGTTTTAGTGGGGTACGTTGTGGAGATCAGGTACTGTATACTGTTTTGCCGCGGCTCATTTTACTGTATGTGAAACCGCCTCGCATTCGTATTGGGGGAATTGGAATAAGTATCCTCCGTGCGGGTGCTGCTTAAAGCCAGTTACTGTACCTAAGCTCCTAGGCGACCTGTACCTTTCCTTCCACAATATTACCTATTCAGTTATCTGCTTGTCTTGCGACTCACCTTAGAATGAAGGTATTTCGGTAAGGATGCCTGTAAAGGATTTGATGTCGACCAATTTCCTAAAAGGGAGGGCAGGGCAATATTACCCCACGTATCAAGCAATAGTAGCAACGCATAAGGCCAGGATCGGCACTATTGTATGTGAACTGAGGGAAAAAATAGCCAAACAAGTACATAGATATCTGAGACTGCAAGCAAACTAGTAAAATAAACTCAAGCAAGGTCTTTCCCCTGTACGGATGCTTCACCGACGACACCTTCCTCTTTGGCTCGCTGTACAGTGAGTGAATATTTCTTGCCCGCAATGAACCACCAAGCAAGCTCAATAATCAAAAATCCACCTACAACAACACAAGTGTAATTCATATTTGACGCTGCGGAGGAAGTATATTAGCATACTGCAACAGGATAAGGGGGTTCCGTGCATAGGTTATTACATACCGGTAGCAGGCATCTGATATGGGAATGAGAAGAACACAATCGCAAATATCAGCCACGCAACGGAAACAATATTCACTGTCATTCCTATGGTTTGTCCCATAAAGAATGGACCACGATGCATAGTGCGACGGCGAAGGAGAACATTCGTGAGAATCGGTACAAGGAACGCAAAGTTGTTTATGGTCCTGAAGTTTTGTCAGCGCTGTTAGATCTCTCTGAGTTAAACACTTCGTAGTATAGAAGGGACATACACAGCGGAGCTCATCATAGCATTAAAAGCCGTGCTAGATCCCAGATAGATGCAGCCTAACAGGGCAACAATCACTGCAACACACAGCTGTGCATTGAAAGGGGAGCCAAGTCGCGGGTTAACTCGTGCCCAGACTTTAGACAAAGGCAGGCCTTCATCGCGTGCAAAGGCCCAAAAGACCCGGCCCGTGCCTGTTGTTGTTAGAGAACGGAACTTTGTTTCAATTCACTGGCATGAAACTCACTCAATTGTGATCCGATTACACAGGGACCTAGAGCAACCCATACCATGAACACCAACCCAAATGCTCCACCCCTTGTCGAGGTTACTTGCCAAAAGAGCTCGGCGAGAGGTAATCCGGTATGTGTATCAGCTAAGCTGCCATAGTTTTGAACTGAGAACATCAGGCTAAGGAGATAGGATAGTCCTGTTACGAAGGCGATTGAGAGTGTGATTGCTATACATGCTGTCAGCAAGATGATCTATACAAGAGTCCCATACCAAACGAACCTAGACCCAATGGGGCGTTTCTGCCAGGCTGTAAAATGATGTCAATAAACAGGGTTGGCGAGTAGTCCAAGCCAAACTTACATTGGGCATTTCCTCAGTGATATGCTATGAAATGATTAACGTCTTCCTTTGTCTCCGAATGAGAGTAACCCACCGAAATCCCGTCCAAGCCACCAAGTGAATACATTGGATTCACTAGTCCGGTAATGAAGCAAATAACGTTATTCTCCCAGCCAGTGTTGTTAATCCAAGTCCGGAACACGAATTTGCTGTCATTGTGCACGGGTGCCGAAGCAGCCACCACGACCATCGTGACAAACCAAGCCACTTGCAAGTATACCACTACCATAGATTGTCAGCCACAGGAGATAGCACCAGGAAGAAGGCACCACCTACATGAAAATTTGTTGATCATCGGAATAAAGCGATTCCCAAACATAACCACACCAGCAGTCAAAATGTTGAGAATTTGATATGCCACAAAGGTCATCCACGGTTGAACAACCAAGCCGTCGTGATATAGCGCGATCAATGCCATGACTGTTGTAGCATAGATCAAGTTTGTCGAGGCGGTCGTGAAGATCCCTATTTCCCATTAGCACCTATGGTATATTCATTTGTGATCTGTCTACCCACAGCCAAAAACGGTACACCACCCAGTTGCAAAGCTGAGCAAACTGTTGTATCTCTTTGGGGCAATTGCCGCGATCCAATGGTACATTCCTCCTTCGACTGGGTAAGCTGAGACGAATTCGGCGAGTGATGCGCCGACGAATGATTGTAGGATGAAAACCAGGATAAAACCATAGATTACTGGTGAAGTATCAGTCAGGGGTCTGATTGAGGTTTGATATCGGGTCTCTCTTACGTGCGCCTGGCCCACCGGCGTTTATTTCCGTGATTAGTCCTAGACCAAGACCTGTTATGAGTTAGATATGAAGTGCTTCCGGCGAAAAACACGACCGAACTAACCTGTCCAAGAAATAGTACAATTCGCCGCTAATCCGATCAAGCTCCAAACAGAGAAATGGCGTTTCAGCTCTTGTTTATGGCCTGCGCCATCGTTAACCGTTATTCGCGCTCATGGCGTGAACAATAGACACCCACCCATCTGTGCCAACCGCAACTCATCCTCATTCTGCACTTTAAGAACCTCGCCTGCATCCCCATCCCGCTCCTCGAAGACAGGCGTCTGCGACGCAGAAGTTATATCGAGACCGCCCATAATAACCACAACCCGAATGTGTACAATCCAAAACAGGGATTTGACAGTGATATTGAAGAATAAAAAGAAAAAGAGAGTAAAATGAGGGGTACACCACACGAGATCAATCCGTAACGTTACTTCTTTAAGTATAAGTTATCACCTCTTATCTTTATCGGTTACCGGTAAACATGGAGAAAACACCGGGTTGGCCGGTGTGATAGCCGATACGGGACATGTGGCGTATCAGAGTGCGGAATGTGCAGGCTCTAGGGTGGCCGGCCCCGTAGCGACCAAGAACTTTACAGTTTTGAAATGCGGGGTTGATAGGGGCGTTACACATGGATAATTATGTTTTTAGTATGTATTTAGGAGACTGTGTGTATCTGTACATTGATTGGTTTTGTCTACAATTAAGGTGTGAATCAGGGATCACAGCTGCATTTATTTAGGTGTTGAGATAGTGACATGCCACTTTATCTAGTGAAGACTTGGCATTCCTTGGAATTAAGCTTAATGTAGAGGGTGGTATTGATTTCTCTCAATAGATTGGTTCGAGCGAGAATATAGACATCGTGCAGGGCACCACCAGTTATATGTTTCCACAGTAAAGCAAATGATTAACTTTGCTCCTCAAAATTAATTAAATTCTTATATGTCTACCAGATCCATAAAGTCCACCTATCTAAGCCCCGGGCTGTCTCTCCTAAGAAGTACTTCGAGTACGATAAAACGTGGTCACTAGTCATAGGCAAGATTTTAGCATCGTAGTTTGAAACGCTAAGTTGCAATCCACTAGGGCAAGCAACAGACTGGCGGTTACTACCACAAGCAGTTCGGATCCGCCTCTTGTATCAACTCATTAACATGGGACTAAACTGCACCTTCGCTGCATTAGGCTGGGCACATACATACCCTAGCATTAGTTTCCCTACACTACCACTTTCACCAGCTTAAAGGCCAGTTTTCGACCCCTTCTATCTCAGTACATTTATATAGAACCATATTTTTTTACGAATTTTTCTATATCAAACTACGCGGCTTTAAAAATGGTCGCAATTCTTTCCACTTTTGAGTAATCTAGTATGGGGGATTGCCCCAAAATGCGGAAATTATATCAGACCACCACTTCCAACGTCTCTATTTAAATTAGCAGTTTTTTTTAGATCTTAAGATAAATAATATAAATACTTTGGCCATTTACTTACACTTTTCAACAACTTATAACATTTATAACAAAATGTCTGACTTGGTGGTAAGAACATATTTTGAAAGTGGTGATGTTTACGGATTTAAGGTAGGAATATGGGAAGTGTAGGGAAACTAATGCTTATGGTAATGTGCACCGGTGCTTATGCTCATAGAGGTAAATATTGTACAGTGCCAGAAACCCGGTTTGGGTCCTAGGCAAAGCTTAAATTGTGGGCCGGTACGAAAGATCTATACAACGTTCGAACGAAGTGTCAACGAAGAAGGAACGCGGTTTTCATTAGGCCACGTACCGTCCATCGCGTCGGATCTTGTGTTGAGCAACGCGTTAGACATGTTAAACACCCTCCACCTCGGTGGCTCATTTCTTTCCTTTGCATCATCTTTCACTCTCGTTTCACTCCCGTTTCACTTCCGTTTCGGATATCTCCCACCCTGGTCTGACATCCCAAGATGTCGGCCACGGATCAGATGGAACGTTTCGCTTTGGCTGAGAACCCTCTTGCGGTGGCCGAGAGCTCCCTCGTCCTGCCTCAGGACTCCCGAACCGTGACTGAGCCTTCGGCCTTGAACGATCGTTCTGGCCCCGCCCAATCTGCCTTGGTCCAATCTGCCATGATTGACCACTCTGTCTTGATTCACCAACCCGACCCCATCAAAGGACCCGTTGTTGAACCCCTTCAAGGATTTGCTGTCCCCCCTCTCCCCACTCTCCCTCCTCCCACCCAGGCTGACAATCTTCCACCCTACGTCTGGACTCTCATCCCGAACATCCGCAAGCTGTCCAAGAAATGGGACCAGGATTTGTGGCTCTGCCGCGTTAAGGGCACCCTCCACACCCTCGGCATCAAGGATGTCATCTCCAAGTACCTCGACCGCCCCGATGAGTCTCACCCCAGCTACCAAAACTGGAAGAGATGGTCCCAGCGCGTCGACAGATGGCTCTTCACCAATGTCGGAGAGAAGATTCGGTTCCGTCTGCAGCAGATCAACCCCCTCTTGAGTTCGCCGATGTGACCATGGAGCACATCCTCCGCCTTGAGCCTAACGAGGATGACCGCATGTCGATCGAAGTCTTCAACATGTGGAACATGCGCCGTCATGACTACGACAGCGCCGCTGAGTACGTCGAGGCCTGGAGTGACCAGGTTCAGCATTGCCGCCGTCTGGATATTGGCATTGGGTACTATGTGGCAACCAAGGTCATGTTGGATGAGCTCGATGAGGAGTACCCGGTCATAACAACCTTTGTGAACCGCGAAATTCGGGAGCAGGACGAGACTGCCCACGTTATGGACTGGGTCAACTTTTCTACAATTGTGAATGGTATGATGGGCTGTATCCTGGCTAAGGAGAACCCCTGCCGCACTCCGTTGGAGTGAGGTTGTTTAGTAAGTACATTTCGGCTTACTTCGTACTGAGCAAACACTGACATGTTATTCTCACTTCAGACCACCTGCCGCTCCAAGTGAGCCATTCGATTCGTCCGAAGCATAATATGAGGAACAAACCGGGCGGATGATCAATGATGAATGAGATTTTTACATAACACTGAGCTGAATATGTACCTAGCTAAATTCTCATCACAGACATAATCAATGCCACGATTGCAATCTGGCCACACTTTGTTCAAACTCTGTAGGCATAGGCTTAGGAGCTGTATACTGAAGATAAACAGTATCGATCCTAAGAAGATTAGCACCTCAATTGCAGCTCAGATTAGGACGAGCAACTCACCACTTCCCATTCTTCTCGCCAACTTTATCAAGCCGTCCCTTTTCGACAAAACCCCGCTGAGTGTACCAAGACCGCAATCCCTCTCCATTCATATAAGTATCAGGATCAATGGCCACTACAGCGACGACATTCCGGACTCGAGCATCTGTCGATACGCCAATAGAGCCACCAGGTACCAGACTCCCAATATCACCAACTCGTTCTTCACACCGGTGCTCCACCTGGCCGTCACGAACCATATTCATTATTGCCTCCAAGAGGATAGTACCAAGCCCATGATCCCTCTCGTCAGGATGCATAAAGATTGAAAGCTCCACAGTAGGCGCATATGCAAGCAAGTGCCCGCGGAACGGTGACAAATAAGCATAGCCGAGGACGAGGTCGGCACCATCATGCGTCTTCCTTTGGTCCGACGCTAGCACCAGGAACGGGAGTCTTCGTCTCTTCAGATCCCTCAGTCTGTCTTCATATTCAAAAATGGGTGGCGGGGTCGTTGCGAATGTGAGCGACGTGTTGACAATGTAATAGTGATTGATATCCCGGATCTGGGGAATGTCCGCAACGGTGGCTTCACGTGGTCTGATCATGATTTTTGAGCTAATGGAGAAACGCACAACAAAAATGCAGAATATTGTCAGACTAGACGTGGTCAGGTAGGCTTCAAGTGTTGTCTGATGCATGTCTGCGGGACCACGCTAGGGGCCACGCTAGTACTAATTTGGCTGAATGTGCCAAGACAGAGTATAGAGAAGAAAACAACAAGAGTTGAATATGATCAAACTGGAAAAATAAAACTTAGCCTTCTATTCTCCGCAAAATGTTGTTTCCCTCTCCTTTCTGGGAAAGAAGCTCTCTTCTTGGGCTGATTAGTTATCTCTTATTTCCCCAATTTCTCCCTTTCTTCTTCCCCACCCCCATCACCTCTCAGCCCAACTCATTCATTCCACCTTCCGATCCTGTCACGATGACTTCCCAGCTTCCTCCTGGTAGCATTCTTTTTGATAGCGGCGAAGACAAGGACCGGGACAAAAAGGGAAAGAGGCCCCAGTCGATGCATTTCCCGCTGCCCTTCACCCCCACCATGTCACCCATTGTTTACCCTGCTACCACCAACAATACCAGCGAAAAGAATAAAGAAATCAAGCCCAACATGGATAATGGAAAGGGAGTGGACGATGGGGATACCCCCAAGCCTGTCCAGTTTCCGATGCCGAACAACAGAACCGCCTTTCTCTGTCCCCACGGCCTCCACATCTCCGACACCATTACCGACGACAATGCTGGCCCCGGACCTGGACCTTCCAGCCAAAACTACCTGCAGACCCGCTGCCTTGTTTGTGATGTTATGCGCGAGTACCACCCATACCAGCCCCAGACTGCCGATCCTATCGTTGGAGAGCAGTGGATTCGCTACATGGTCAGTTCTCACATGGTTCTGTTGGTAATGATATTTTGCTAATGATCATCTTGTCTAGGACTACATCTGCGGTGTTCGCGATGAGCGCATCATGGGCGAGATTGGTGCTGTCCGGGACGTTGCCGACCGATGTGTCAGCCTGGCTGAAAACCTGCTCGCCCGGCAAACTAAGCTGCTTGCCGATCTGAGAAAGATAAATGATGCCCCTGTTGAGGACTCCGCTGAGGAAGAGAATGATGGGCCCAAGGAGTGGTCTACTGAGGAACTCACTGAGGATGAGAAGAAGGAGAAGTTCAAGAAGGCCGTCCGAACCAAAATCCTGATCGATGAGAAGGCGGCCAAGAACGAGTTGGAGGATAAGGCGATCGACGTCGCTTTCAGAATTGCTGTGCAGCGAATGGAGTGGATGGATGAAGAGACCCTCCGGGAGTCTCTCAAGGTTATTGATGACGAGCAGAAGGAGGAGCTTGTGCTAAAGCAAATAAAGACCGAGAGAAAGCGGATTGCGGATGAGAAGAAGGTTGTCGACGAAAACAATGTCGTGAAGAAGCGCCATGTCAGGGAGAAGAAGAAGTCTGATTTGATGGATATCATTCTGAAGACGCGTCACGAAGACGAGAAGAAGGAGGCTGAGGACAAGCACATGGCTGATGTTATGAATGCTATTCTTGATCAGAGAATTGCCGATCAGAAGAAGGCTGAGAAGAAGATACAGGTCGAGAAGAAGAAGAAGGCCAGCAAGAAGAAGCAGGCGGAAGTCAAGGAGGCCGGCGACGACAACAATCTCGACGTCAAGCCGACCGGCACCGGCCCGCCCTCTGGCACGCCTACCTACATCGCGAGAAGTGGCGGTTCCGGCTCCAAGCGGGACATTTTCAATTTCACTGGATCTGGCCCATCCAAGTAAGTTACTGAGCTGAGCGAGAACCTCTCGGGTCCCGAAAAAGAACGAGCTTATCAGCTAGGAGAAAGTGTATCTCCCTTCTGTTGTAGCTCTTCTCCCCCTTCTGATGCCGTCTTGAAGAATTATCTTGAGTGGACATACGCATGTTGGTTCTTGTCTCCGACACTGTCTAAGTGTAATAGGTTGACTTGTACAATATACCTAGCGTTTTGTCAATGAAATTATTTTAATCATGTGTTTTCCATAATAGTAGTGCTTAGCGACGTTTCAATTTTCATAGAGCCGGTAGGTGTTCTAAAATAATAGCTAGCATAATGGTTAGCATCATAAGAAACGAAGGGCCCGCATTTCGAGCTGATGGGCTAGACGCTATGCCCATGTTTTCATGTTTTAGGCTGCCGTACTCTACATGCCCAGTAGATGTGAAAAATTTCCATAAGATGTACTGTATTGGTGCGGCCATATCCGAGCAGTTTCCAAATTTAACGATCCAGGCACACCACAACGTAGAAAGCTCCACCTCATAAATTGGCCAGATGGAAGTAAGCACGCGAATGATTACATGTGTATGAATAGATGTCGGAGCCTGACAATGACCGGGGTCCGCGGATTGCGAGAGCATCAGGCAACGCAATATTTTAGTAGTATTTTAGACTTTCCACTGCAACATGTCTCCACCGTCGATCATTCATGGACCCTTACCGCTGCCAAGAACCCTGACGAGGCTTGTCTATGAGGCTAAATTGTATATCTCACCCAGGCACCAGCGTTTTGCAGTAATTGACTCTTTTTTCTCCGACTATGTTCCTTGTTTGCTTACTATACGACCCACGGCTGATGGTACCTGGTACCAATACAGAAGTTGTATATCCTTGGGTACCCCTAGGTAGCCCCGAAGCAGCCATGGTAACAAACAGCGATACATTAGATACGCCAGGGAAGGAGCGTGTCACTGTTCATTCTCTCAAACTTTGACTCAACTTCACTCTGCTCCCACCTATATTACCGATCACCATGGTCTCCGCTGTGGATTCTCGTGAATCTATACCCAACTCTACGGGCAAAAAGAAGCGCTCACGACGCGGTCGAAAGGCTACACTGGACATTGGCGGGTCAAGGTCTAAGAAGAGCCTGTTCTTGGACGAGATTGGTGACGCCTTGGTCGACCAACTCTACGCAAATCCTCGACACAATGGACATCTCGATGACATCCGCGATACATCCTTCGTCTCTGTCGCTGACCATCTACGCAATAACCTCGCAGCTGCCCTGACAGCTTCATCCTGTGCCAGCTCAGCGAGCTACAGTACCCGCACGATGGGCGACTCAATTTCGACCCCGGCAACGAGCTTAGACAGCAACGAACCACCGCAAGTCACTCACTCGCTCGAAGCACCCTTCGATCTCCCAGATCCCAAAACCAAACCTCCTTCCTCGAAGAAAAGTCACCCAAATCAAGCAGACGTGTTCAGTCTCGATGACTTCACCACAATGACAGCCATCGAGCGACTAGCCGCATACCATGGCCGAGTAGCACACATGGGCATCCTCGACCGCAGCTACCGATTCTTCGTGAACCAATCAAGAACAGCAGCAATATCCTTCAAAGTACAAAACGGCGTGGCAATCGTCGGCGGAGACCCATTATGCGACACAGCCGCAATCCCAGAACTGCTATCCGAATTCGCAGAATACCGCAAAAGACACCACTGGGGCATTGCATTCATGGGTGCAAGCGAGACCTTCACAAGAGAGTACGCCCAACGAGAAGGCTGGACGACAATCCGATTCGGTACCGAGCGCGTCCTCAACCCACAGAACAATGAGGTCCTCTTTGAGACAAGTGGGAAACGCATAACAACACAAAACCGCCAGCTCCTCAATAAAGCAAAAGGCAACATCACCCTCGGCGTCTACGCTCCTGCCGTCCATGGTACAGTCCCAGAACTCCAATCAGACCTCATAGCCATCTACGATGCATGGCGCGCAGAGCGAAACAGCTCCCCAAGCCCACAGGCATTCATAACAGTCTACGACCCCTTCGCCCTCCCAGCCTTAATGACATTCGTATACACCCGCGGCGCAGACGGACACGTAAACGGCTTCGCAGCCCTCCGCCATCTCGGCTCAGGAGGGTATCACGTCGACCCCTGCATCTCCGCTCCAGGTAGCGCAAAGGGAATCAGCGATTTGCTCCTCGTAGCTGCGATGGCTCTCCTCAACCGTGCTGGTGTATCCTATCTCGGCTTCGGCTTCGAGCCTCTGCATGCCTTGACGCGTGATGATGTGAGCGGTATCCCTGGTCCGTTTGCTCATCTCACTCGAGACTTGTATGGTCGCGCTTTCCATCGGTTGCCGATTGGGGGGAAGAAGGCATACCATGATAAATTCCGTCCGGATCCTACGCAGGATTCGGGTCTTTATCTTGTTTTTCCTTCTGGGATCCCTGGGCCACGGCATTTGCTTGCTATGACGCATATGGCTAATATTAGCTGGCGGAAGATCTTCTGGGCGGATGTGAGGGGGTGGGCTCACGGCGGTGAAAAGACTGATGCGGTTGAGGGAGTGCAGGATCAGCAGAGTCAGAAACAAACCAAGGACCAGGATCTGAATCTGGACCAGAGCCAGGCTCGAATTTGGAAGGATGGAACGGGGGAATCGATGGTGTTGGATAGACCCATCCCTTTGGTTGAGAGTAGGTCATGAAAGATCTGGCTTTCATATCCTGCTTTTCTTCTTTTCCCCTCGTTTTGGCCTGGTCATGGCTTTACCTGTAAAGAATTTGGGGACTGTATCATACTCAAAGCGTATTGTCTTTTCGTTTTTTTGTCTTTGTCTTGTTCTGATAGCTCAACACTATTCCTTGCTGGTGCTTTGAAAGTGCCATTGATTTTGGATCCATGCTCCTATTAGCTTTACTATCATTGTGCCGGCGGTGCTGCTCATTCTTGTTTTGGATAATTCTGCTACTGAGTTATCAATTTAGTAGATTGAACTAGTTCGAGCAACAGAACAGATCCTGTGTTGGGTCCATAATTAGGAATAGGGCTTTAAGTAAAGAATTGAGGATTTGTAGTGCCACAGCCGAGGCCAATAGTATTGCCAGTAGCATAAATCAATGTTGTGTTCAAGATGGTGTACAGTTTCATGCAAATGCAGCCCCAGTGATGCAAGAGAAATATTGATTAACAAATACGGCCAAAGAGGAAGTCTTTGACGATTGGGGAGCCTGAGAATTCCGGGTTGAGAAGGACACAGCTGGTGCGAGGTCAGAACTGGAGTTGGGTGTGGCAGAGATGATTGGAGTTGATAACTCACTTGAGGAAATATTCCAGGCCAACACGCCGTGATTCCAAGAATTTGGGGCGGAATTTGACTGTTAGAAGTATTAGCGTGTTCAACATCGCCTCATTCCATGGCCTTGCTAATTGAATAATTGACAAAAAGAGGATCAGGAAAATGATACACATACAGAGAACGCTCTTCGGGGGTAGCGCGGGTAATGCGTTTCGAGCATGCGGGAATGAAGCAACTAGCCGCTGGCGCAAATCATCGAACTCGGAGTATCTAAAAGGAGAGACTGTAAGTTAGATGTCTTGCGCCATATGGAGATGAAACGGGGGCTGACCATACCTCATGCGAGCAACGATTGGAGCACCCTGGACGAGTAACACACATATCAGATTTCAGTTCCAATTCCAAATACAATCAATTAGCCCTCCCCAAAGGTTAAAACTCACATCAAGTGTATAGATCGTACAATTCCAAACAACATACGATCCCACCCCAGTCATGCCCTGCACAACGACATGATCATCAATAGAAACGCTGCGTGCCCAAAGCCCCCGACTCGTCTCCGAGTTCGGGTCTGCGGCATGGTCCTCGAGAGTAATCGGGGCACCACGGCTTAGAGATGACTGCGAGACATGTGAGGCATTGCGCTCATGTCGGCACCAGTATGGCGGTACTACGCCCGACACGGGGCGGGAACGAGTAGAGGATGCGGCGCTCTCTGGGTTTGGATCCGGATCCGGATAAGGAGGATCATTGTGGGTGTTTGGTGTGGTATCACTCTGGATTGAGGAGATCGAAATGGTGTCCGGTCCGAGTGCGGGGACGGGTTGGAGATCTGGAGGTTGGGATTTGGATTGGGATTTGGATTGGGAGGATGTTCGGGATCGCGTTCGGGATGGGGAGGAGAGCTGCGGCTGCAGCTGCCGCTCAGCTGCCGGTCCGGCCTCCTCAGGAGCTGGCTCCATCCATTAGATGTTGGGTCAGGTCGGGGTTGGTTGTGGTCGTATCCTGTTAGTTGGAGCTTTCGTCCGGGGTTAGCTCGTTGTTTTCCCGTCACGCGCTTGGTGTAAAGGCTCGGCTTTGAGTGCTTGAAGTGGAGGATGTGGCTCAGGCGGGACTTTGACCCCCATGCGGGGTGGAAGTATACAGTGCAGTGTAGAGTGGTGGGGGAGACGTGGTCTATTTTGGACTTTGGGGCGTGGGGATTTGATGCAAGGACCGGGGATAAGCGATGGAGACGATCCGAGGTAGTACAAACCTGCACGATGTCACGATATCAGTGGCGAGTCAGAGGCAAAGACGAAGTACTTTGGAGTTGGAGAACGATGAAAGTCAATTGGAGTGAGACACGGTGGTCACGGGGCCTGATTTAGCTTATCTAAGAAGAAAATGCTCGAGAATCAACTACTGTTCTTCTCAAAGAACATTACAAATGGGACTCGCATAATCAATCTACTTTTCATTCTGAGAAACAAGATTTATCTTTGCTGTAGCTGTCAAAGAGTTTACTCCCTCCCCCAAAGCAAAGGACACTAACCCCAACCCGGTAAGCGTTGCTGATCGGCGTTTTTGAGATGCAGAGCACTGAGACACACTTATCTCTTCAAGGCATTGTGATGTCTTACAGTACACTTCTTGCAGTGGAGACCGGTCGGCAACAGAATGGCAGGTGGCACCATGAGCTGGCAAAACGTCCTGGGAAAGAGAAACTGCCGATATCCCCGGATTGACACGTCTCAGAAAAACCTCCCTGGAATGTCGCCCTCGATGTCCAAGCCTCGCTTCCAAGGCTTTAAATGCTAAGCTGTCTCACATTACCAAATGCATACAGGTATCAAATCTTGGGCATGCAGAAAGAAAGAACAATTTCAATGCGGTAGAACCAGAAAAGGCACTAGCCCGTCCCACCAGGCAAACTAACTAGTAGATATTCTATACATAGGCATAAATAGTCCGGTGATCATTTGCTTTTTCCTTTATGAACTCTGTTTCCTCCTTGCTGGTTACTATTTTCCCTCTCCTTCTCAGTCTACATCCTCGTTGCTGTCTGTCGCCATCATTGTTGACTCCTAACATTCTCCTGTGTTGGCTTCCATTCCCCTGCTTGTTCCGAGAAGAAGTCCAGGAATTTGACCTTGGTAAGTCCCCTTCCTGTTCCAATATACGCCGTGCCCCTTCATTCCACTACCTATCACCGGGCCTCTATAATTCTATTTAAAGGAGTATACAAGGTTGGCGGGAAGTCCTCAGAGCTAAATTGCTAACATTAAAATTAAGTGGCTTCCCGCTGTCAAGTCCTGTCTCTAGATCATATACGCATCCCTCAATATGCTGTCCAAGACGCTTCTGGTTCTCGCATCGGCTGCCTCACTGGCAAGCTGCCAGTCTAACATTACCATTGACCCAACCTCGGTTCCCTATCCAACCCGACGCATGTCAACACCTCACTCAACCTCTCTACACAAAATACAAAGCTAACACATATTCTACAGAGGCTTGGTGCGGCTCCCAAACGTCCTCCTGTCCCCTCCTCTGTCTACAACTACCCGGTGCATCAGGATCTCCCACTTCGAACACCTGCGATGCAGTGAGTGAACCACATACCAATAACCCAAACCCCGAAATATCTTCTAATAAACTTTTAGGCAACGCTAAACTACAACTGCGTCTGCAGTAACGGCGTCTCCCCCAACGCCACCGAATACTCTCAGACAATTCCCTACTACACCTGCACAGAGCACAACAACCAATGCGTCACCAGCTGCAATGGCGACTCCAACTGCCAATCTGACTGTCGGTCAAACAACCCCTGCGGAGCTCGGGCCCCTAAGCATTACAATTTGACTACTACGACTGCATCTGCTACCGCGACTGCTACAGAGACACCGGTTAGTACTCTTGTCAATGGGTCGACCGGTGCTGCGCCGCGTATGTTCTCTATTGATATGAGTCATGTCTATGGGCTCTGTGCTGTTGTCGGTGTTTTTACCGCTGGTTTTGCTTCCATGCTGTAGAGTGGGATACTCTGTAGGGCTTTTGGCGGTCTATCGGGGAATTATCTACTTATGACACTGGATATGGCGTTTTTACTTTCCGCTTCGGGATTTCTTTATTGAATTCTCTCTTGGCTTTCATTTGCATTTTTTTTTATTGCATTTTCATTGAGCGTTTGTCTGATTTTGTGGTTTTGTGGAGCTACTCGTGCATGGACATTCATTTATTCAATCATTTGCTCTTATTAAAATTAATTTCACGGCCTAGATTATGTGGCAGCACAAGGCATTTCATGTCTTGATAATATCATTACTTATTTAGAAGTTCTTTGTATTGACTGCCTACCACCAATCTATATCTTCGCTCTCAATTTGGTACTATCCATTCGCTGCCCTTCATCATCCTGCTCTGCAACCTCCAAGACCGGGAACTTAACCGGCATGATCCGCCGCGGCGTCGACCCGGGGATCACAGAGTATTTGGAAAAGTCAGAAACACCGCACTTTTCACGAAGGAAGTCCTCGTCTGTGTCCAAAAGCCCATTGACTACACTATGTGGGGCACGGAGCATAGCCAATATAGCATCGGAGAAAATGGCCTATTGTAGCAGGTCAGTAATCACGCAAATTGATAAAATATATTGCACACATACAGGCTTTCTCAAATCCTTCTTGTAGGATTGATCAGCTGCCTTGTTATGCTCCGTAGCTGCCGACTCAATAGACTAGGCAAATAAAAGCAGTCAGCAATATCCCTCACATAATCCAAGCAGTCCGGAATCAAGATACATACCGATGCAGGCCAGATACTCGTCACCGCCATTTTATTCCGGCCTTGACGAACAAAGTCCATGGCCAGACCTTTGACCAAAACGCTCATTCCGACCTTGCCTAAATTAAGCAATATCAGAACCAACTCATTTGCGTAACGAATGACCGATAATAAACTCACCCATAGCATAAGCCGTCTTTCCCCGGAAGAACCTCGAATAGATAGGCGGCGAAACAACAACAACCCTTCCATTCCACCCATTTTTCTCAAAGAAAGGCAAGGCAGCCTGAACAGTGGCATATAGCCCCTCTGGATTAACCTGCTGCATAAGTCGGAACCGCTTAAGAGGCGTGTTCTCCACAGACGACCACCAGATCGCCCCAGAATTATACACCAGGACGTCTAGCTTGCCGAATACGCGGACTGTCTCTTCAACGGCACTTTGAATCTGCTCGGCGTCGCGTACATCAACGGCAACGGTTGCGGCGCGGCCGCCCGCTTCGCGGATTTCCCGCTCTACGGTGTTGATTGTTGACTTTGAGGAGTTTGGGTCTGGGGGGAAGGGGACCACACTTGATGCATCTGATGTGGTTTTCGCCGCCAGCATTACTGGGTTTTGTTAGTTGCTCTGTATTGCTGGAGCTGGGATGGAGTAGATGTAGATGTACCCGAGTAGCCATTCTTTGCTAGGTCGATGGCGATCTGGCGGCCGATGCCGCGTGAGGCGCCCATTATGAGGGCGACTTGCTCTGAGGAGGACATTTTGGATGTCTAGACCAGGGTGGGTAGCCTGTGCTGTTGTATTGAGGTTGGTGGAGGTTGACTGGCGTTACTCCGGATTATACTCGTTATATATGTGTCCAATGACAGTACCTCGGGGCCGAGACTGGGCGAACTATATGTTTAGGCGATCTTCGGTAAAGGCTGGGATTATAATCAAGATATTCTGAAATCTACGAGTTCATAGGATGACTTGATGCTTAATTTCTTGATTACTCAATGTCCCGAGGCCGAGGAGCCTCGGGAGTTGCGCCTCAGGCAGAAATCAACACATGGGATTGTATACATGTGCAGAACTTTGATCTGATAACCAAATGGGACCTTTCAAGAGAAAATGCCACCTAAGTTATGCCCTTTACTCTCTTTTTACTCCATACACGTACCTTCGGAGGCATCGGAGGGGACAGAGGCGGTCAACGGGCGGTGATGTGGGCGGCAGAGTACTGCCAGTAAACGATCATGATCGACTTGCACCTCATCTTCTCTTGACATACCTCACCTCGTGTTATTAGCGTTCGGAATCTTTGCTGTTCTCTCTCCTTGGTGCTCACTCCATTCGATTTACACCAGGCCTCGAAGCCTTTCAATCCCCATCGGCATTAATCTGGCTCAGCGGTGTCGTCTGAACAGTTGAGCCAAGATGGACACCTCGTTGACCGATGCCTCTGGTCGGTCCCAGGCCGATGCCTTAGCTTCGGTTGCTGCTGCAGATGCTAACTCTCGTGCCTCTGCTGCTGCTGGTCAATCTGCGCTGCGTGTGAAGGTTGACGGTATGTGGAACCCCACGGGACTGTCCCGGCGATCAAGCCGCTGTGTTTAGGTGACGCTGACCACTGGATCTCTCAGATGCACCGAAATTTGACCTAGAAACATACATCTCAAACTACTCCGGTTAGGAATACCCTTCTGTTCAAAGTCGATTCTTCTGACATTTCGCCAGGGCGCACCCGCTACGATCGTCTTTACCTCATAGGCACGTGCTCCACCGTGCTGTCCATCGATGCCCTCAAGGCTGCCATCGCCGAAGCCAAGTCCAGCAAGGATGTTTCGCGTTACGAGAAGGCCGTCCGCGCGTTGGCGGAGGTCGCGCCAACTGACCCCTCCGCTTCACTTGACAACGCCTGGATTCAGAGCACCCAGCGATACGTGAGGACACAGACTGAGCGACTGGAGCATGAACTGAGGGGATACAAAAATAACTTGATCAAGGAGAGCATTCGGGTAAGGAATGGAAGTGGATCCCGGCGGGTATATGATGCTGATCTCTACAGATGGGCAATGAAGACCTAGGAAATCACTATCACCAGACGGGAGACTTGTCCGCCGCAACCAAGGCTTACGCTCGTATGAGAGACTATTGCACGGCACCAAACCACATCACGTCTATGCTCTTCAAGATGGTCAATGTTGCCGCTGAACGTGGAGACTGGGTATCCATGCAGTCAAGCGTGTCACGCTTGCGCAACTCTCAATCGAAACCAGAGGACGCAGCCAAAAACGAATCCAAGATCTCCGCCGCCTATGCACTCTCACAAATGCGTCAACAGGCCTTCCTCGAAGCAGCCAATGTTTTCTTGAATATCCAGCCAGACCTCGGCGACAACTACAATGAACTGATTACCCCCAATGATGTTGCTGTGTACGGTGCCATACTGGCTCTTGCAACCATGACCCGCGAAGAGCTACAGCGTAACGTTCTTGACAACACCTCTTTCCGCAACTTCCTCGAACTTGAACCTCACATGCGCCGCGCCATTGCTTTCTTCTGCAACTTCAAGTTCCGTCCCTGCCTTGACATCCTGGAAGCCTACCGCTCTGACTACCTTCTCGACCTTCATCTTCAGCCCTATCTCGAAACATTGTACAAGCGCATTCGCACTAAGTCTATCAAGCAGTATATGGTACCTTTCAGCAGCGTCAGTCTCGAATCGATGGCGAAGATCTTCGCACCGGAAGTCATTGGCGGCGAAGCACGGCCTGCTGGCCTCTCATCGCCATTTGTGCAGGAGTTGATTACGCTAATTCAGGAGGGTGTGCTGGACGCCCGTATTGACCTCGAGAAGGGATTACTCGTGTCGAACCAAGTCGATGCTCGGACAGAGGTGCAGCGAACCACTCTTCAAAGCCTGCAAGAATTCAACCAAGAGGCTCATTGGCGAATGATGCGTGCCGCTTTCCTCCAAGCAGGATTAGAGGTGGGAGCCGTTCCCGGAGAAAAGAGGGAAAGAACAGGACAGACCTTGAAGGGTGGAAAGTTTGCCCGGGGTGGTTTGCTCGGCTGATGACTAGACCGAGCTCGCGATTAAATCGAGGCGATCCGGGCGCATGAATGATGATCAATGAGATAATACCCCGATGCCCAGCTGCAATCACAATTGGCTTAGAAAACACAGAAATAGGACCTCTCAAATATGCGGTGTCCCTGAATGTAGATGTTCCCTAAATCAGAACATCCACCAATAACGGCCCTCCATGACCAGTATGAAACAGCCCACGAACTCCTTTCAAAAGGTCACCGGGTGCTAGCTGGAAACATCATATTCCCACCTTGTCCGACTGTCGACAGGATATCAATCCCGCCGATCCAATCCGGTCCGAAGAATCCGACGCCGTGCAACACAATCACCTGGGCAGTATCACGCTTTTTAAAAAGGATCTATGTACATATACTCGGAGTGACCAAACAACCGGATATTCATGGCAGGTTTAAGAAGGGGGCAGAGAATGTCCAGATCAACGGGGAGCAAATTAGGGCTCAACGGGCTCCTGCAGAGTAAACAACGTCAATCAAGCACCAAAGCTGCCATATACTCCGGCGCATCTTCCCTTGAATCCTTGTAATACCCTAATTACTAAGAGCCCCGCAAGGGGAGGGGGCTTCCTTTGTCTTGATATTTTAATGTCCATCTCACCGCACATCCTAGTCCATCGTTTTTATCTCTTAATCTGATCCAATATTAGCCTCTGTCGCAAGACCGGTTCCTCGACATGCTATGCCTGTGCGTCTATCCTCTGTGCCCTGACGATTTAGGGCGGGAGATTGACTGGAGCGTGGACTTGACGTTGCCTTCGATTTCGAGTATACTCTCCGGGTATAACGACCCTGGGGATTCGATATCAACGTGTATGAGGCCTTCTCCGCGGCCTCAACACGTGCCACAGTCGACTCTAGTTCTAATACCAAGCATTCCTGACCCCTTTCTTGTCCCGCCGGCGTGTGTACCTTCGAAGCGGACATTCGCCGAGACAGATGCAGCAATGGAAGAGTCTTCGAGGGCTGCTGCACGAGTGTCGCCTACATTGAGAGTTGTAAAATCAATGGTTAGGGGGTCTGTGGATACTCGAGAACAAGATAGATATGAAGGAGGCTTGAAAAAGCACATAGAATCGCACTTAGCCCCGATTCAAGAGGAGACAGAGGAACCTGCGTCAAGGCCAACCTTTATACCAACAGACCGGCTCGACGGGACTATGGGATGGGCCTATCCGCCAAGTTCTTCCATTGTTCGTGAGGCCTCGTCTTCCTCGTCTTCTTCGACTTCTCATCCCCCTTCGACTATCCCCCCAATAGTCCCTTCCATCATGGCAGACCACCCAGATGCCCTCGATGGAGAAAGTGATGATACTTCCTCTTTGGCATCAAGCGACGATGCATCAGTATTTGATCAGTATTCCGACAGCTCCAGCTACACCGCATCTCTCCTCTCAGATGTCCAAAACTACAGATACGAAAATGGCCGACGATACCACTCCTACCGGGAAGGACACTACGTGCTCCCAAATGATGAGCAAGAACAAGATCGACAGGACCTGCTCCACCACGTCCGAAACCTAGTTCTCAATGGCCAACTCTACCGAGCCCCACTGGGAGACAACATCCAACGAGTCCTGGACGTTGGCACCGGCACAGGTATCTGGGCCATCGACTATGCAGACAGCTTCCCCAGCGCCGAGGTAATAGGCACCGATTTGAGTCCCATCCAGCCCTCATGGGTCCCGCCCAACTTGCGATTCATCGTAGACGACGCCGAATCGTCCTGGCTATACAGTCGCAACCGGCCCTTTGACTTCATTCATGCCCGCGATCTCGGCGGTGCTATCACCGACTGGCCGCGTTTGATCCGGCAGAGTTACGAGCATCTCCGGCCTGGGGGTTGGCTTGAGTTGCAGGAGTTTGAGGTTACGCTTAGAGCGGATGATGATTCAATGCGTCTTGCGCCGACATTGTGTGATTTTATCGGACGTTTGCATTCGGCCAGCGAGGCGTTTGGTCGTCCTATGAACATCGCGGAGGGACATCGGCAACGGCTGATTGAGGCTGGTTTTCAAGATGTGAGGGATGATGTGTACAAGGTGTGACCCTTTTTCTCTCTGGGCGTACGCTTCTGTGCTGGATGATTGTTAACTGTTTCGTAGGTCATTTCTAGTCCTTGGGCTGAGGATCCTGTGCAAAAGGAGATCGGCCGATACAACCAGTGCTCTCTTCTGATGGCAGTGGAATCCTACTCATTGGCACTGTTTACTCGAGTACTAGGTTGGTCTAACGAGGATACGCAAGTGTTCCTGGCAGGCGTGCGTAGAGATATCAAGAATCCCGCTGTCCACTCATATTGCTATATGCATGTCGTCTTTGGTCGGAAGCCAAACTACTAGGGTGAGTCGAGAACTGGACCAGGGTTCCCAAGGCGTTCGGAGTATTAGAGATCAAAGATCAAATTGCGGAAGAAGAGAATATCAGATGTTGTGTGACTGCTTCCTTGTCTGCCACTTTCCGTTGGCCCCGCCTCTCTCTCTCTCTCTCTCTACCACCTCACCACCCCTGCACTTGGTGCAACTTTGGTTTCTTTGTCTTAGCTTGGCATCCAATCGTTTCCTTTGCAAATTCCTTCTTTACTCTCTTCCAAGAACCGGAGGTCCCGATCTTCGTAATAACATGGCTTCCGGGGCATGTATGACATTGACACTGTCCCTGTGGTCCTCCCTCACCTCATATCTCACGATCATCTCGTCGTGGGCAGCTTTGGAGGCTCGCATCTGGGGCTCGGCCGCAGGATTCCTGGTAAGCTGCGGTATTGCATTACCCGTACTCCCTCGTCTGTTGCCGGCTGCAGGACCCCTATATCAAAGCCCTTGTCCTTTCCCTATCCCACCCGACACACAGCAGCTCATCTTACCTCGTCTCAGGCATCTTAGTTTCCGGTTGTCTTGTCCGGTCTCGCCCTGTACCGCGCTAACCATCTGCAATCTCACAGTTCTTACTCTGGGTCTCGTACAGCATCATCTACGCTTTCTGGCTTTCTCCGCTGCGCCATTTCCCCGGTCCGAAGCTATGGGCTATCTCGCGCATCCCCTTGAACGTCTCCGTTCTGCGTGGCTATAATCATCTGGATATCTTGGCTCTGCATGACCGGTATGGCCCGGCTATTCGAATTTCCCCGGATGAGCTTGCTTTCAATACGCCCCAGAGTTTCCGTGATATCTATGGCAACAGACCCGGTGGTTGTTTTCAGAAAGATCGGAGTCATTACATTAAGCCTGCAAATGGTGTTGACCATCTAGTATGTGCCGTCGACAATTCAACCCACGCACGACAGAGACGGTTGCTGGCTCATGCCTTTTCCGAGAAAGCGCTGAGAGAGCAGGAGGGTTTAATCAGAGGCTATGTCGATACGCTGATCAACAAACTGCGGTTGCGTGTCGAGCATGGGGATTCGCTTGTTGATATCAAGAGCTGGATGAACTTTACCACTTTTGACATTACTGGTGATCTGATGTTCGGTGAGTCTTTCGACTGCCTGAAGAATAGCCAGCTTCACCCTTGGATCCGGTTGATTTTCGATTCTATGAAAGTTATTGCTTTTCATGGAGTTGCCAACCAGTTTCCTTTGATTAAGGGGGCCTTAAGTCTGTTGGTTCCTGCTGAGGCCAAGCGGAAAGGCCAGGAGCACTTTGATATGACTGCCCAGAAGGTTGACCGCCGTTTGGAAACTAATATGGCTCGTCCGGATTTCATGTCGGCCATTCTTCAGAATGGACTTAGCGAGGATATGGGCCAGTATCGTGAGAGCAAGCGGATAATGACTAGAGCTGAGATTCATTCGAATGGGTTTATGTGGGTTGCATTCCGGGTCTCATTTGATCGTTCTTCTCTCGGTCTATGCAAAAGGTCTATGCAAGATGAACAATATGCTAATTAAACAGTCTAATTGTGGCAGGCAGCGAGACCTCTGCAACTCTGTTGTCTGGTTGCATCTTCTTCCTGTGTACCTACCCACACATCATGAGCCAGCTCGTTTCTGAAATCCGGAACGTCTTCAAGAAAGAAAGTGACATTACTTTCCGCGGCATGATCGGCCTAACCTACCTGGCAGCTGTCATCGAGGAGTCCCTGCGCATGTATCCGCCTTTCGTGACCAGCCTAGCACGGGTTGTCCCACAGGGCGGAGCAGTCATCAACGGCCAATTCGTGGCAGAGGGGGTACGCACCGTATAAAAGCCTTCTATTCAGAATGCCAGTCACTAATCCAAATCAGACAATCGTATCCTGCCATCACTACGCCTCATACCACTCGGGATCAAACTTCGCATTGCCAAATCGATTCATGCCAGAGCGGTGGCTAGGAACCGACCCAGTCTTCGGAAATGACCAGAAAGACGTCCTACAGCCGTTCAGCCTCGGACCCCGGGTATGCCTTGGAAGAAAGTGAGTATCAGTCCAATAACTGGAGACACGCCATTCAATACACGTAATATACTAAATCCCATATCCCACAATCCAGCCTCGCCTACTGCGAAATCCGCCTGATTCTCTGCAAACTACTGTTCGACTTCGACATCGCTCTCTCGCCTGAAAGTACCAACTGGCCCGATCAGAAAGTCTACTTTCTCTGGGAAAAGCCTCCTCTCATGGTCAAGTTGACGGATAGATTCCCCGATGCGGAAATGCCGCCACAGGAGCCTTTGACTATGTCCTCAAAGTAAGAGATCGATCTGAACTGAAGAGACACGATACAAAGTCGACCTTGGGGCATTTTTCTGCAGTTGTACAATGCGGATCGGGGTTGGGTGATTTGGATGACTTTCATGAGATCCACGATTTACGTTCTTTACTCGTGCTTTTCTGTCTTTGCGTTTGGGGTTGGTTGTAATCGTTTTTCGTTTTCACGGGATTTCTAGGTGGCTGCACTAGATCTGGATCTGGATCAGAGATAGATGAAGATTTGCTACGGATGTGTTGCTTTTTGCTATTCGGGTTTAATGTCTCTTCCTCTTCTAGAGAGTGGCTAATTCCATGGCTTGAATGTTGATAATAATGGATTTTATTGGCCATCTACATGCAGTAACCTTGGAAGTCGTCCCAACATAGTAGGAGATGGGTCATAGGGAGAGCATATTTGAGAGACTAGCTGGGATACATTCCCGAAGCAAAGATGGTCTTCTTTGTTTGATATGTGATACATCCACTTTTGTACTTTTGACGCGATGCCAAGACGTAGTCAAGGCGTTAATATCAATTAGCCCTAATTGGACATGACGCCCTTGCAGCGACGTGCTTTGCGCTGCATGCTACGCGATCAATAGTGTTACCAATGACAGCTTGGACCCAGAAATGATCTATGGATCAAAGCGACTCCACATGTCTTCTGCGGGATACATGTAGATTACGGAGACATGATGAATGTCATCGCATTCGATGGATGAGCACTGAAGGGGCAGAAAATGGTATATTCAAGGACTGAAGATACACGTATGAAAAGAAGACGCTAGATCGTAGTCTGTCGTGGAGAAAGGTATCAAACATTAAGGAATAGTAGATGGACACATATGTGGGATACATGATTACGTCCGAACGAAACAACGGAAGAAACAGAAACCCCGGAACAATTAAAACCGAGCACAAGGCTCGTACTTCACACAACCAACACAACAGCCGGTTTGGAATACATCAAATCAGATTAGATGTACGCCTTGCTTTAGATGAAAGCGCAAGCCAGGGCCAGAACGGCACCCCCAACGGTCCAGAGGTTTCCTCCGAGCTGGCCGGCGGCGTTGAAAGCCGAGGGGGAAGCAGAGGGCGCGCCAGTTCCGGAGATGGCTGCGTCGCTGGTGGGGGCAGCGACCAGGGGAGTGGAAGTGGCGAGCGGGGTGGAGATGAGAGCCGAGGAGGACTTCTTGGGGGTCATGGTCGGGGTCATGGTGGAGGTGGGGGTTTGGGTGGGAGTCACGACCGCGGTGGTGCTAGACGGGGTCGAGGTCGGGGTGGGAGTCGACGTGGGAGTCGGGGTGCTGGTGGAGCAGGGACCGGTGACGGTCACGGGCATCCAGTTGAGGTCGGCCGAGCCCAGAGTACCGGAGGGAGTGACGGTGCCAGCGGAGGCCTGGCAAGAGGCGTAGGTGGTGCCTTGGACGTTGCAGGACAGGGTTCCAGTGCTGTTTAATATCAGTATCGGATGCGATATGCGATGCGCGTGGTGTCGCGTGTACTTACGTTCCCTGCATATTGACGTTGCGGAGCTGCATGGAAGTCGGGGCGGCAATCGCAGTCATGCCCTCGCCGGGGATACCGCAGGCAGAGGCGGCCACGGTCTGAGGGCAGGTGATGCGGTAGGTAGTCGCATCTCCCTCCTGGGAATTGTTAGTCGATTGTTGGCAGATAGCGCATTATGCGCACACATCACGGGGTACATACTGAGCCGATGATACCGGCTTGGAGGTCCTTGCCCTGGAAGCCGGGCAGAAGGAGGTCTGCAGTGTTACCGGCAGCAACGGCGGTAGCGCCGGTCAACAGAGCGACAGAGTAGAAACGCATTTTGGCAAATGATGTTCAAGCGGTATTCATATATTGGAAATTGGTGAAATGGGCGGAATTGCGCGATAAATGTGAGTACACGGTAGAGAGCGACTGTTCAAAACGAACGACTGGATTTTAACGAGAGACTGAAGCACGAAATGAAAGAGTGAAAGACGGACTTCTGGAGCCTGAAGGTAAGAAAAGAGAAGAAGAGAAGTGCGCGAAAACGGGGGTCATATTGACTTGGCAGGCGTTGCCCCAATGCGGCGCGCCAAGATTGAGACTGCATTGGCCAGCGGGTTCCAACGTGCCAGGAACAGGCCCCAGGGGTTCGACGGGGCCAGCAAGAAGAAAAGGGGGACCAAGTGCCCCCCAATGGCCCCAAGGCGGTTGTTTACGGGGAACTGGAGGCGTTTAGTTCTGATGTTAAGGACGACGCTAAACCTTCCCTGGACTAAAGGCCGAACGGACCCCTGGGTCAAGCACCTAATAGGGAAGGTTGTTTGATGCTCCTCATTAGGCCGGAGACTAGCGAGATGAGATCAACAGTTGAAAATTCAGACTGTTGTCCATAGTGATCTGGAAGCATCAGGTGGAGGTACATTGTACTCTTCGGTTCAATGCATGCGTAGATCATCGATATCTACTTCGTATCTACTTCGTATCTGTTCTTAATTTCCCCAGTCAGCCACACTATCTCATTAGCGTGTTTAGTGCACGATTCAGATTACGCTGGGGCTGTCCCAAACTCGCGACGCTATCGGAAATTAATTACTGTCATGAACCAGTTTGCTCAATTTAATTTCAACCCACTTTTGCCGAACCTCGTATAATACAATCGGCCGGCCCCATTCGGCCTTGGGCTGAAATTATATTCTCAGGGGGGATCCCTCAGTATAATATTTTATGCAAAATCACCGAGTCCTTCCAAGCGCCCCAAAATGATTGAGGCCCCCACATACAAGTCCCGTGGCAAGCAGCACGCCATTGAAGCCAGCCATAATATAAAATGGGGTGCCTGACGACAACACATCAAATAAGAGCCCACCCACTTTGGTGAGCAGCAGAATTCCTGCCCCGCCGTACAACGAGTACACGCCAGCAATGGAGCCTTTCAAATGCGACAGACGCTCCAGTCGGTGATTGACGGCTCCTCCCAGAAGAGGCTGGCCCTCACCAGGCTCGGCGTCCTGACGCGCCGCGGCGCGTTGCTCGTCACATATTTTTCTCAAGGTTTCATCGTCGATACTGACGCGCAGGATGCCGTTGCTGAGTACTGCCAAACTGCAAACAATTGCTCCGATCTGGCTGATTCCAATCAAAGCCATCACAGCAAATACCCCTGGGCTACCATCGGGTTCTTTGAATAGAGGGCTTGGAAGCTTGGCAAATACTAGGTACCCGATAATTCCCACCAAGGCGGCAAAGAGGAGTGGGAAATTATACCGACGCGATTTATCCGTCAGATACCCGAATGCTGGGGCTGAAATCAAAGCAACCAATTGGGATACACCGGTTAGGATGGAGGCAACGATATATGCACGCGGGCACGCTTTCTTGATATCACCCAATCCAGACCCATGTATCGGTTGTGCTTCATCACAAAGACCCGACGCCCGATAATAGTGATTGACGGCCAGGGGGATGAACAGTGAGACTCCCACAGACGAGGCTCGGGCCACAAAGCCCCCGACGTAGCCCAGGCCAATGTCGCGGTTTCGGAATCCCAGAAAGAGGGCAGTTGTTAGCTGCTTCCAATATGGCAACCTTGGGACATCTGAGATTGAATCTTCGTCGTCTTCGTCATAACAAGAGTCTTTGGATTTCCAAAGTGCACTCCAGGATTTATCCTTGTCCCCTGGAAGATCACGCAGTCCGATGAAGCATACAAGACTAATGACAAGGGAAACAACAGCGACTAAGTAATAGCTGCGTTGGATTGCCTGAGAAGGTGTCAACCCAGCCTTCTCAAATCGAGCTGGAAGCGGCAGGAACACGACCAGTGCCACGAGCGCACCACAGCCAGCACACATTCCAACGAAACCTGAAAGTCGGGCGGATGGGGATGCACCGGAATTACCGGCATCCCTCAGGTTGTAACCGTTGCGGGCACGCTCAGGTGTGATGGTCAGCTCTGAGGAAATAGACGCACGATATGCCTGAGCACTGAGAGGTTTGCCAGTGACAGTTGGCAAGACAGCTGTGACCATGGTCGAGACAGCCGAGCCACCAACGCTGAAAAGCAACCTACCAAGAAGAAGCTGCGGGTAGATATTCGTGGCCTGCACAAACAGGACTAGTGCGAGGCCTACAATGGCATAGCCTGCAGTACATACCTAGAGTGAAGATCAATATCATTGCACCGTTGATAACCAGTAGACGGCTTACATGTCGAACTCCAATACGGTCTGAGAGAACACCCCAAAATGGGCAGGCGGCTAGCGCAAGGAGTTCATCCGCGAAGCCTAGAGTTCCCACGGCATCGCCCTCTCCATCATGAAGTCCAATTAGATCCGTTACCACGAAGGAGATGGATGAATTGATGAAAACTAGGAAGGCGATGGAGAAGGGGCACACCGCCAATAGATAGGTTAGCGTCTGGCTGCGCGAGGCAGTAAACAATGCCGGTGACGAAGCCATCACCGACGATGATTCATTTCAGATAGATAAAATGAGGGTGGGATTTAGCAAAGAAATAATCCCCTTGATGCAGAGTGAAGTGGGAAGTCCTCAGCTGCACGCCTGAGCAGGTCATGTTTCCGGGGTGGGGTCACATGACGGTGATCAGATAAACACCGATCGACGTTATTCATAGATCTTGGTGCTTTTGTTTCTGTATTGCTAGTTAAATATTAGAAAGCTATAATGCCATTGTATATTATATTATCATTCATTGATGTAGAATCTAAACAGATATACTATTGTTTGTTTGTTTGGTTCGATGTTCAGCCGAAGTGTCAATGAGGTCATAGGAATCGAGTCCTTGTAAGTTAGATCAAGTCATTCAAAGTGACACTTTGTATCTTATGTTCCATTTAACTCAGTTTCACTCAATTCCATTCAATCTCACTCAATCCTTACAATACTCTCAAAAAGTTTGGCGTAACTTATAGATTGACGGCACGTGCAGTGGCTGACGTAAGATGCGGAGAGCGCTCTGGAAAGCTGTCCAGATCAAGCTACACTCCACAAGATACGGCATTCCCTTACTCTCTCCGCCAAATGCTTCCTTGAGACGCTAGTCTCTCACTTTTCCTTGGTCCATGACCTTCGGCTCATCCATCTCAGTCGACAGCCATGAGACTGGCCGCATATACTGGGGTAAGTAGTACCGCAGCTGAATGGAGGGGAGACCGCTAACCCCGTTTACAGGTCTCGGTGGTCCTGGCCACCGGTGTATTTCTCAAAGCCCTTCATCAGAGGGCCAATTTCTATTCAGCATGCATCTACCTTTCGCAAAGTAGCGCGAATCTTATGGTGAGTTGTCCACTTCGGTTGTCACACGGGGTCATCCGCTGACTGACCTGTCTCTAGATTCTCACGAATTTATGCCTTCTCATCACCGGCTTTGTACTCTTCTGGCTTCAGCGACTTCTCTACGGACCCTTGCGAGCAATCGAAACTGAACAACTCTATGAACGGGCGTGGTTCGCCGTCACAGAGACATGTCTGGCCATGACCATCTTCCGGGGTGAACTTGGGGGCTGGTTTTTGGTTATGTTCATTTCGCTGCTGGTTGGCAAGGTCTGGGGCTGGATTGGTGAAGGCCGTGTCGAATACTTGGAACAACAACCTCCGGCTAATCCGCGGCTGTTCCATATTCGACTGGCGCTGTCGCTGGTGTTGACGGTGCTATTTGACTCCTTCATGTTGCAGTACTGCGTGCATACTGTCATCAGCCAGGCGCGACCAGATATGATGGTCATGTTTGGATTTGAATTCGCAATCTTGACTATCCTTTCGACCTCTACCCTCCTCCGATACGCCATCGCATTGACCGAAATCTTCATAACCCGCCAGCAAGTCAAGGCCAAGATGGACGAACGCCGTGCTGAGATTCGCGCTGCACGTGTGCAAGCTATCCAAGAACACGCACGCGCAGGAGCTGCCTCCCCTCCTACCGACCTACCTGATGAGAATGATGTGGATGAGATGGAGATTGACGTCCCCGGATGGGAAGAGAAGGGCCGCTGGGTGTTTTACCTTGATCTTTTGACCGACTTGCTGAAGCTCGTGGTCTATCTGTCCTTCTTTGGAATTCTCCTCACTTTCTACGGCCTGCCCATTCACATCTTGCGGGACGTTGTGGTGACCATCCGCTCGTTCGCTCGTCGCATTATGGACTTCCTTCGCTACCGGAATGCAACCCGAGACATGAATGAAAGGTATCCGGATGCATCGGCAGATGAGGTCTCCCGGGAGGATGTGTGTATCATCTGTCGCGAGGAAATGACCCCGGTTCAGCCGGCAGCCGGTGCCGGCGCGGAGCCTGGACAGCCAGCAGCTGGAGCGCGCCGTGTTCCTGACCGTCTCCGTCCCAAGAAGCTTCCGTGTGGTCACATCTTGCATTTTGCATGCCTCAGAAGCTGGCTTGAGAGGCAACAAAACTGCCCGACTTGTCGGCGCCCTGTCCTCGTGCCCACGCGAACACAGGGAGCTGCTGGCAATAACGCTGGGGCTCCGCAACATGGTCAACCTGGTCAACAAGGCGCAAATGGACAACCTCGTGCGCGAGTCTATCAGTTTGGACCCTTCCGAATTGGCTTCGGGGCTGTACGGGGAGATATTTTCCACAATCTTCACCAACAGATTCACCAAGGCAATCCAGCAGGGCAACCTGCAGCAAACCCAATCCCCAATCCTCAGGGCCGACATATTGGGCTTGGATTTGGGTTCGGCCGCCGTCCCCAAGCCCCCACCCCCGCGCCTGCCCCACAGACCCCAGGGGTATCCCTCCCTGTTGATCTCAACCTTCAACTGCTGCAGATTGAGCAGCGGATCACCACTGAGATTAACTCTCTCCGTATTGCCACGGAGCAACTGAACCGCGTGCGTCAACTCCAGGTGGAGCTGGAGCAATTGCGCAGGAATGGAAATACTCTCGCCCAACCAGTCCCATCTCTAAATCCTGGTCAGATCCCACTGGGTTTCACGAGCCACCGGTTCGATACAAGCCCAGATGCTACTATGGGTTCCGGAGACCCTCGTCTGCCAGAAGGGCTCACACTCCCTCCAGGTTGGACTCTGTTGCCTTTGCAATCTACGCAGTATGGCGTCGGTGTACCTCAGACAGTACAGCCTATGACTACCACAGAAACTACCTCCGCTACGGTTTCATCTAGTGTTGCCACTCCCCGAGATGCCGCCTCCCTTGGTGTTGCTCAGTCTCAGCTTGATGGAGGAGCGCAAGCGTCAGGCACGGCTACTGAAATAACGGCATCCACGAATGGGAGTGGTAGTCTGCAGCCCACACCCACTTTTTCTTCCCCTGAGCCCCGGGCAGACTCTCCTTCTCAAGAGTGGACTGATGTTGCGCCCACGGAGTCTACGGAGTCCCCGAAGGAAGGCCCAGCCACCATCCCAACTACCTGGGGTAGCAACGGTGCAACTGCGAATGATTCTACTGACGACGACGGCTCCGAGTCCAAGGGCAAAGCTCGTGCGGCCACGGTCGAAGAGGCCGATGAAGACGCATCCTGATCCTGCACATTTTGTATTTTTCATTCGGGCCCGCTCAGCCCTTTCTGGTTTCTTTTCCAATCCCCCAGCGTTGCATGGCGTTTCTCGCGAGCAAAAGATCATACCCAGATTTCTTTTCATGATTTTTATACAGTTGAATTCCATCTGCCTATTTGCAAATGTGTACCTGTAGTCCAATGGTAACCTCTAGGAATTGCACATAAATAAAGGGTCCTATCTGTATGTCCATATAGAGACAGTCTTGGCCCCGGGGTCCAAGGCCGCGTGGCTGAGTACATGCACGGATAGGGGGGATCGTCAAGTCTCCTGTCTACGCATCATTGATGCAATATGCACAATTATTGCTCGCAAATTTGTGTAGGGGTATATTCAAGTCCTTATGGGCCTTGAGTGCTTCAATTGCTGCTCAATTGGTCTATACGGTCTTCTATAGCGGTGTTAGTTGCATAAGATCGTACCTTAAAAGACCCCCCCAAAGGCTTGTTTCGTCATTGCGCTGCGCCAGTCACTACTCCACATCCCGTGTTTCAGGGCCAATGGACAAGATAAAGTGACCTGTCTCTTACTCTCATGGAGGTCTTTTCCTTTGACCCTTTCCTTTCACCCTTACAACCCCTTCCGAACACTCCGGAGGGCAATGAGGAGATGGTGATATTTGTGCTATGTAAGGACCCCCGGGCAAAAGCCTCGCACCTATTACCCGGCGAACAACCCCTGCCCCCCACATACACCATTGGCTGCAGTGCGACAACATGCGACACAAGGCTAACCCTACGAACAGATAATTAATAAAATAGAACACCCCGTCCATGCTTCTCCCACGGCGAGCGGTCCTCTTCCTCAGCGCCTGCTTCTTCCTCATCCTCCTTCTCACAGCCCGAAGCCTCTCTAGACCATGGCGTGAGGTCCCCCAAGTCATAGGTCTAGGCGACCTACTCCCTTCCAACAATGCCTCAGGATCAGGACCAGGAAGATGGAACATAACCCGCGGCCACACATCAAACGACCTCTACGCGCCCCCACCAAACTTCATCCCAGGCACGCCCAAACCCCCAGGCTACAAATACACAAAGACAATGGTAGTCGCCCGCACCAAAGAAGAAGACACAAGCTGGATCGCAGAGGAACTCCCAGACTGGCAGCGCGCCATCTACGTCGCCGACGACCCATCCGCACCCCTCCACCCACCCAAGAACAAGGGCCACGAAGTCATGATCTATCTCACCTACATAGTGGACCACTACGACCGCCTACCAGACGTAGCAGTCTTCATGCACTCGCACCAAGTCGCCTGGCACAACGATAACCTCTTCGGCGGCGACGCAGCCGAGCTGCTCCGCCGCCTAAACCTAAACCGCGTTATCCGCGAAGGATACATGAATACCCGCTGCGGATACGGGCCCGGCTGTCCGGCGTGGATGCACCCCGGCGCTATCGAAGAAGACGAGTCGAAGCAGGAGGAGATCATGCTCGCGCGCGCTTGGGGGGAACTCTTCCCCGACGAGGCGATTCCGAACGTATTGGCTCAGCCGTGCTGTGCGCAATTTGCGCTATCGCGGGATCGGATCCGGTCGATTCCACATGCGCGGTATGTGTATTATCGGGATTGGTTGTTGGGGACTGATTTGAGTGATTATATTACGGGGCGGATTTGGGAGTATTTGTGGCAGTATGTATTCACGGGCGAGGCTGTACTTTGTGTCGAGGAGACTGTTTGTTTGTGTGATGGGTATGGATTCTGTTTTGGGGGGGATGATGAGTTTAGGGAGTATCAGGCTCTTGAGGCTAAAGTTACTGAGTTGCAGAATGATGTGGGCGGTTGGATGTGGTTGGCTGATGACCTTGACTTTGCCGATGATGCGGTGGATTTGACTTCGCCTGCGGCTGGGGATGATGAGTCTTTGAGTCAGAAGATTGAGGGGGCGGAGAATGAGATTGTTGAGAGGCTTCAGGCTGCTGTTGAGCGTGGTAAGGACCCTAGGAACCGTGCCCTGGAGGCTGGTCGTCCCTGGAACGAGGGTGATGGGTTCTGATCTGTTTGGCTGGCCCGACTGATATCTCACCGCATGGGTGTTTGTGAATGATGATTTATACAACATTTTTTCTTGGATACTCGTTGATACACGAGTCATGCGCTTTGGGTTTACATCTTGAGATTGGATATATCCGCATTTCTGGACATCGGCAAAAGTCTCATCTGTGCCGGTATATTTCCCATTGGATTTATCATGGAGTGATTGGTTACATCTGATTTAGACATGTATTTTAGATTCTGCTTCAATATTGGGTGTATGATATTTTACAATGAAACAATAGACATTCGCAATAAGATTGCAGATAGGCATTCACTTAGTATAATAATTGGTCTATAGTGTTGAACCTGAATGTACCTGGTTACCTCAGTGCTTGGTTTATTTTGCTTGTTTGCCACTTCGGATCTATATGAGCAATGTAGAAACAATTACACTTGTTTCTTACTGTTATTTCTTGCCATACTATACATAAACATACATTATTCTACGGAGTTGACCTTAGTAAGGTTGCATTCACATGAAAGCGATAGTCACGTGATTCGACAGGGTTTGCACTGTCTGTCGTTCATTCAAACCACGCAAACATCGCATCTCCAAACCGCGCCTCTTATCGCCAACGAACGAAGCTTTTCGGCTTTGTGAATTTTCAGAGCTTCGTATTTCTTTCTTAGACGCGCGCTTTTCACCCTCTGGGGTGTGGCCAACTCTGACATTCGCACGGTGCTCTCCCAAGCTGCGTTGCCAAAATTCGAAGCTATTCGCGCGTGGATAACAACAAGAGCTTGATAAGAGCTCGATATTAACTTCTTTGACACCGGATCGGACCCTCAAGGCGCACTCAGAAGCTCCTGTTTCCAAAGCCTTTTTCGCGTCGGATTTCTACCCAACCCTCACCTGCGAAAGCAACTTTTCGTCCTATCAGCTTATCGAATTAGGGAATTAGGGCGCAAAGTGCTCTAGCCCAATTCGATACAATGAGCTCCTCCAATAACCAACCTCCTACCACCTCTTCTTCCGATATCCCCTCTCAATCAGCTGCCGCTCCTCATCTCGACCCGAATGCGCAACTGGGGAACAATGGGTATGCGCCCAACGACAACCAGCTCGCCGGATTAGTGGAGGCGGCCACCGCAGCCGCAGACCAAGATGTCTCTCAGTGGGCTGCCGCTGCCGCAGTTGCAGCAGCTGCCGGCGCAGCTGGTCATCACCACCAGCTGGACGGATATGGCGCTGAAATGCACCTTGACGACGACGGGTTTGGAGACGGAAAGTTCGCGGAGACGAACTTCGGAACTGGCATGAACAATGGCAGACATTTGCGGGTTCCCAGTCATAGTGATCACTCGCAATCCCCAGGTCTTTCCCGCACGGTTTCGAAAAAGCGAAAGAGGAATGACGATAATCTTGATCCGGCCTTGGCGGGTGCTGGTCTTTCGGGATCGCAGCAGCAGTCTCATTCCGCTCAGCAGCCTCATGGCTATGCTGGTGCTGGAGATAATATGGATATTCGTCCTGTTCAGCCTCAGTCTTTGTCGGATGCTCGTGCTGTTGGTGTGCATTCTGCTGCGGCATTGTTCCGCCAGCCTTCTAGCAATAAGAAATACACTCGGCCTCCTATCTCGAAGATGTTTTCGTCGCTTGAGATCTCGCCTGAGAACTTTTTGCATCTGCAAGCTGCTGCGAAGAATTACATGTTGAATGATGAACACCCTGAGAGGCGGGAGTGTGTTGGCCAGCGTGGAAAGGGAGATAGCGAGATGGTCAAACTTCGTCTTTGGAATTGCGTTCGTCAATTCCTCGAAGGAGAAGGCAATGGGGAGCGCTTCTTTGGAGAGAATGTTGTCAATGAGGGCATGGGTCCGAGAGCTTACATCTGGCCGCGTGACCATCACAAAATCATCTCACTGGTCATTCCTTTGCTGCGACGTATGGTCACTAACGAAAGACAACGTCAATACGCTATTGAAACTCGCAAGGGTGGTGGTGCTGATGAACGTCGTCGTCGCAAGACTGAGGATTTCTCCAATCTGAACAGCCCACGCTTCTCACCCGAGCAGCACCTCCAAATGCAGAATCAGCAACATCGTCCTGACGATATGTCGCAGTCAATGCCTCCACCTCCACCTCCCGTGCAGCAACCAACAATGGACACTACCCAATCTGTGAACATTGGTCTGACAGATCTCCTCTTGGACGGTTACACCGTTGACTGGGAGGAGATTGCCCGATGCTATGATAATTACAATCAAGGATACGAACTTGATAACCTTTGGTCTCTCTCCGGTCTCCAGCAGCCCGACTGGCGTGGAATCGTCGCTGCGGTCGACAGCCATTACCAAGTCATCCACGGCGGAGAATGCGACTGTCCACCTGCTTGCGAAGACGCAAACATCAACCGCATTATTCACGCAAACACCTGCTCGAACCTGAACTGGCGCATCGGCGGGGGGCGCAACCTTCCAGCCCGCGATGAATTGTAAGCAATCCTTTCTTCCTATACCAAAAGAATACCAGCTAACACCCCAAACAGTGCAAGCAGTATTACTCGCGATGTCTCACGCATCATACGCGAGAACATCGCGAACAGGCACGGCCACCCAACTCAAACTCAAGATGCGCACGACCAATTTCACCCCCAGCAACAGCCTTTCACACCCGTTGAGCAAACTCAGGCACCAATAACCACAAACCCCCCCCAAACGCTCAGACCTCTCTCCGCATCAACGTTCTCCAGGGCGGAAAACGCATTCTCCCCAGATTCGACCTGCCTGCCAGCCAATGCCCCAACATCGACACCGTCAAGCAAGCAATCCTCCGTCGATACCCTGGCCAGATCCCCGGTTTGCCATTCCAGGATTCAGAGGGTCTCAACATGAACACTGCCGCGCAGGAAGCGCGCGAATCAGCTGTTGTCGCCGAGTGGAGAGTCAAGGTCTGGTTGCCGGATGGGATGCTTGTTGTTCAGAGTCAGAAGGATTGGACTATTGCTTTGCTCTCGGCTGATACCGTTGACTGGATGGATGGTGATTTGAAGGTTCTTGTTGAGGTTGATGGTGAGTAGCAGTAAATGGTGTAGTCAGTGGTGCTTTGATATCTTTGCTTTTTCTGATCGATTTTTTGTACGATATCCCTGTCGTTTTGATTCTTGTATTCTTTCGAAAAATTAATTTTATCTGATACCCTTCCATGCTGTTTTACCTGATACGGCTTTGCGTACTTTACTTGGGAATTGTAAGCTGCATTTTCGGTATGAAATGGTACCTAGTCATTCAGTATTGGCCTACTAAAACACGGCTGTAAAAATACCTTGATCTTGCACGTTTTCCCCTGTTTTTGTTGTCTGCCATAACGTCTCTGCGATACATATTCAAGGTCCAAAGCTACGGATAGTCCCATGGAGTCAAGATATATCAAAGTTTATATGTTATCAAGCAAAAATATAAGAGAAAGTCCATGTCTCATAATACAGGGCGTAAGCGTAATGAGCAGGTCCTGAAATGAAATGCACAGGTCGAATGTGTCTTACGGGAAACACTAAGCACCCAAGTAACAACCGCTCTATGCGCCATATATGTCCAAAGGGGGAAAAAGAAGAAAGACGGAAAAGTAATTAAGAAACGGTCCCGCCGGGTGCTTATTTGTTGTGTATGAATAGTGTGCGGAGGGAATCCCAATGGTCAGAGTCGGCGTAGCTATAACCAAAGTTAGCATCAAAAGTGAAAGGCTTCTATTTTCCAGCGATGCTAGCGTCAGGTTATATGGAGGAGAAACATACATGTATACCATACTACTCCGTAAGCTGGAAGCCAAGGTCTCCGGGTACCACCGGAAAATGTACATGACAAAGGCCCAGGTCATACTGGCGAACACGGGCCAGGCATTATCCGTGATCTTAGTACGTGCCTCTGGTGTGATGAGGGAGGATAGAGGGTGCATGTTGGGTTGGATAGCGAGTTTGGCGAGAGCAAGCATCACACGGGCGAAAACATAGATGACGATCTAGCGATATGTTAGTTCCAGAGGTAGTCAGGAGGGAGAAAGTGGAATATAATCCCAGGTCCGCCAACATATCTGGGGTAGCTATACATACCTGCTGGCTAATACTGCCCGGCTGTCGTCCGAAAACTGCATACCCGCCCAGCAGGCCTGCAAAGAAACTATCATACCGGCCCTCCTTCCCGGCACCGCCAGGGTTGATATTCCGTAGAAGGATCATAGAAGCCTTGTATATGATAGCGAATGTGGAGAGGTTGCGCGCGTGCTGGCGAGTAGCTTTGAAAACAAGTTTGGTTTTTTCCCGTATGCTATAGCGAAAGGATCAGTTCCGCGAAAATCATGAAGCGAGCGTAGGGGAGCGACGTACGTTCCAGACCGAAACAGGAATATCATCCTACATAAAGTCCACACTGGTCAGCAATCTGTTATATCATGTTTTCCGGTTGTCCGACGGCTAACGTACACCAGCGCATGCGGAAAGCGCACTTTCGATCCGTAGACGATTCCATTGCGAGCACCCTTGACTAGGGACAGTAACGGCGCGAGTTCGGGTTTGAGGATGAGTGCATCCAGTTGGGACTGCGCGGATATCGTTAGTATCTTTGTTTATCGTGTCGTTTGCGATACCTACCAGCAGTGTATCCATGCCGCCGCTGGACCTCGGTAGGAGGTCAGATTCTGTTCGGCGGTCGATAGGGGTGGTACACCGGGACGATAGACTTAGGGATGATGGCGAACAGAAACGAACAGAGTAAGGATAGAAGGTGAAGGAGACAGGGAGGGGGACGGCACTTTACTCGGTTCCGCATTGAGAAGGGCCTCGGCATGTGAGAGCTGAGCCGACGTCATGGTCACGTGGCTGTATATAGATCTTGACTAAGGGCATCGGAGTATAGCATTATATCGATCAATATCTTTATCATTGTAGAGTTAAAAAGCTTTTCATATGCCGATAAGACTGCTCATACAGGCGCAGAAAGTATACAATCCCGTCCGGCCCAAACGCCTTAGCAAAAGAAGTAATGCAAATCTTAGTTTTTCCGTGCCCGCTTGTGGCTCTCTTCTTCCTCTTCAGAGTCATCATCCACGCTCATGATATCCTCCTCCTGCTCCTCATCGTCTGACTCCATACCCGCCCGGCGCTTGAGACCCTTCATCTTACGAGTCTGCAAGCCCGACAGATCCTGCTTGCCAAGGTGAACACGACCAATCTTGTCACCCATCGAGTCGGTGATGATGTTCTTCTTGGTGCGGGCCTCCTCATTGGGACGCTTGCCCTGCTTCATGGACTCCTTCTGAACCTCAGGAGCGGCCTGGCGTGTGCGGCCAACCTTGAAGTCGAACTTGGGGCCAACCTCCTCCAACTCAACGCGGGGAAGCTTGTGGCCGCTGCGCTTGGTGACAACTCTGTACCAACGAAGGTGGATGATGGGAGAGAGACCGGCTTGGGGCTCGTCGGCGGCAACCATCAAGACATACTGAAGACCCTCGACGTCGATCTGGTGGGTCTCCTCGCCCTTGAACATGTCGAGGAAAGTGCTCTTGAGAATGGTGTGGGCAGTTGATGTAGGGTCGTCCCAGGGGCTACCGGCGAACAGCATCATAGGGCGGAGTCCGAGACCAACGTCCATCTTAAGCTCGTTGATAGGAGGGATGGCCTCGCCGTCCCTGGCGGGCAGCAAGTTCAACTCGCACAGGTCGAGGAGTTGTGAGTTGAAGATACGGGCCAATGTGATGCAGTTGGGGCGCTTCTTGTTGTGGCTTCCAAAGGCGACCAGACCACACTCGTTCTTGTTCGCCAGGAATTCGAGGCTCTCCGAGTTCTCGTACGGGTGCAAGTTCTCATTCTTCTTGTGGAAGAGGACCGAGTAAGGCTTCGTCAGGTGATGGAAAGTCTTGAGAACGGTATCCAGGGCCTGGGGACATTTTGTGCCGTGGAAGATCAGGGTCTTCTTGGGGGGTTCGATGAGCTGGGGCTCCCGCGCTTTCAGGATGCGCGCAGTGCGCGGGTTCTTGGCCTTTCTGAAAATCAGGGTATTAGTGGAGAATTTCGATCTTGAAAGGCAGTTTGAACTTACACTTCTCTCAACATTGTGGTGTGGATAATCTGCTGAAAGGCTCGTAGCAAAAATATCAAAAGAGCGGAAAAGTTTTGGATCGATGGCTTGGCACTGCTATCGATAAGGGATATTGTCACGTGGGGTCTGTCTGCTTTCTCGTTACCACTCACAGTGGCGAAAAGTGGGCCGTCTTACATCAACTGGTTTCCTGGTCTAGCGGTTATGATTTTCCGTTAACAATTGCCTCAAGCAAGTGTTCCGGAAAGGTTCTGGGTTCGATTCCCAGGGAAACCATTTTTTTTGTGTTTTTCAGTTTTAGCTTAGCTTAGCACTCAGCAGACTTCATTGTTTTCTTAAGAGATTATTCTTTTGATTGTGCTTTTTTCAGTCTGGGTATTTCAAGGAACAAACCGTTTTTATACCATGATGCATAGCAAGGGGATGGTTAGCCACATATTTATATATTTTGGCTGTTGATTGTTCGCTGTAGCAGTATCTTATAATGCTAATTTCTCCGTCTTTTTACCTTTCATCACTCCCCTGAAATCAATTCCCACCAAACCTGATCAGTCTGTCGAGGAGGCTTTTCAATGCACTGCTAGGAGACAGTATGGCAAGCTTGCTCTTGGAGTGCATTAAGCTTAGACCGGCGAGGATAATGAATACCCAGGGAAAGAGAAAGCCTTCTAACGGGAAAGTTTCTGCATGACCTACGTACATAATCCATATTGTTCCAGGTCTCCTTGAAGCATTCTGTTTCTTTTCAATACTAACATGTCAATACGGAACAGTTATGCACGAGTAAGTTAGCAGAATGTTACCCATGGAGGGAACAGTTTAACAAGAGGGAATCAATTCATTTATTTTGTATCTTTAACCACACATGTATATTTCACTCCAAGCGCAGCTTCTCAAACTCCTTAATCTGCTCCTCAAGACGAGCAGCTTCACTCTCAGCATCACGAAGACGCTTCTCCTCAGCCTCACGAACCTCAGCCTTGACCTTGTCCTTCCAGCCAGGGCCGTTCATGATACCCTGAGACTTGCGAACAGTCGAGAGAGCCTTGTCGAGACTGGCCTTGGCCTTCTCTTCTTGCTCGAGGGCGACCTCCTTGGAGACGCGGAGGTAGACGGCGGCCTCGGCACCGACGGGGGCAACAACACAGCCGGATGGGGGTTCTTGTTGTCTGGGCCGAGGTGGGTCAGCTCGCCGAGGGTCTTACCACCTAGAGACTTAATAGTGGTCATCTGCTCGGAGATGGTCTTCTCGCTGGTGGCATCGTAGGTCTGGATGATGATGTCGCCCTGGGTCTTGACGTCGTACTGGGCCAGAATTGAGCGGATGGCCTTGGAGGAGTTGAGGATGAGCTCGTAGGCGTCGGCGGCGGCGGGGTCATCGAACTCGGCAATGTATTCAGGGTACTTGGCCTTCATGATCGAGATGGTCTCGTCCCCTGCGCGGCGGGGAAGACGCTGCCACAGGTGCTCGGTGACGAAGGGCATGATGGGGTGGATCATGGTCAGAGCACCGTCGAGGGCAGTGTAGAGGGTCTGCTTGGCAGACTCCTGGGTCTCGGGCGAGGCCTCGGCGGCCAATAGGTACTTGGAGTTCTCGAGGAACACATCGCACAGTTGGGCGTACCAGTATTGGTAGGAGATCTGGGCGGTTTGGGAGAACTCGCGCTGCTCAAGGGCCTCATTGATTTCCTTGGCGGCAGCGTTGAACTTGTGCAGAATCCAGCGCTCGGAGAGAGATTCATGGCCAGTCTTCTTAACAGCAGCCTGGGGCTTGAAGTCATCACCCAGCTTGCCAAGAACGAACTTGGTAGCCTGGTAGATCTTGTTACAGAACCTACGGTAGCCGTGAATAACCTGGATATCGAATGCAATATCACCACCTGCGAGCTGTTGTTAGCGAATGATATAAGAACGGACATCAAATATACATACCTCCGGTGGTGTAAGAAACAAGGGCGAAGCGGAGAGCGTCAGCACCGCACTCGGGGATACCCTTGGGGAAAGCCTTCTTCTGGTACTTGGTAGCAGTGGCAATCTCCTTATCGGCAATGTTACCCAGCTGCAGCTTGTCGTGGAGAGTCTGCAATTGGATACCCTCCATGACATCCAGAGGATCAATAACGTTACCCAGAGATTTGGACATCTTACGGCCCTCGGAATCTCTGATCAGTGAGTGACAGTAGACCTCCTTGAAGGGAATCTTGCCAGTCATCTTAATACCTAGCATGATCATACGAGCGACCCAGAAAAAGAGAATATCCCAGCCAGTCTCCAAAACGGAGGTAGGGTACAGGTTCTCGAAGTCGTGGGTCTGGCGGGGCCAGCCCAGAGTAGAGAAGGGCCACAGACCAGAAGAGAACCATGTGTCGAGAACATCGGGATCCCGGACCAGAGAGAAATTCTTACCGGGGAACTTCTCCTCGGCCTTCTTACGGGCATCCTCTTCAGTGCGGCCGGTAACCCATAGGTTGCCGTCGCTGTCATCGCCATCCTCGCCCTCGATCTTGACGAAGTAGGCAGGGGCCTGGTGACCCCACCAGAGCTGACGGGACAGACACCAGTCATTCAGGTTGCGCATCCAGCGGAAGTAGCTCTTCTCGGCGGACTCGGGGCGAATGATGATATCACCGTTCTCGACCGCCTCGATGGCAGGCTTAGCCAAGCTCTCCATCTTCATCCACCACTGGGGCTTGAGGATGGGCTCAATGACATCGTTGGACTTGGCACAGCGGGGAACCTTCATGGGGTTGTGCTCCCACTTCACGTACAGACCCTGCTCCTTGAGGGCATCGATGACCTTGTAACGGGCATCGAAGCGCTTCATGCCGGCGAAGGGACCACCGTGCTTGTTGAAGGTACCGTCATCGTTCATGACGGAGATGAACTCCAGGTTGTGGGCCTTACCACGGTTGAAATCATTGAAATCGTGGGCAGGGGTGATCTTGACAGCACCAGTACCGAACTCGGGGTCGACCTCCTTGTCAGCAACAATAGGAAGCAGACGGTCCACGAAAGGATGACGGGCATTCTTGCCAATGAGGTGCTGGTAGCGCTTGTCGTCGGGGTGAACAGCAATACCAGTGTCACCAACCATGGTCTCGGGACGAGTGGTAGCAATCTCAATGCGCTCCTTGCTGCCATCAATCTCGTAGCAGAAGTGAGTCAAGACACCAAATTCGACCTTCTTGTCGTAACCGGGCACATCGAGAAGTGTGCGGCCCTCGATCTCCTTGTTCTCAACCTCGAGGTTAGACAGAGAAGTGTTCAAGTGCACACACCAGTTGACGAGGCGGTTGGCACGGTAGATGATACCCTCCTCGTGCAGACGAACGAAGGTCTCGGTCACAGCAGCGGACAGGTTGGGGTCCATGGTGAAGGCCTCACGGCTCCAGTCGAAAGAACCACCAACACGGCGCAGGGCGTTCTTGATGTTCTTGTGGTACTCGTCCTTCCAGTCCCAAATCAGACCAACCATGGCCTCACGGCCAATGTCGTGACGGGTCTTCTTCTCCTTCTTCCACAGCATCTTCTCGACAACACTCTGGGTGGAGATACCGGCGTGGTCCATTCCAGGAAGCCACAGTGTGGTCTTGCCCTTCATTCTTTGCCAACGGATCATAGTGTCTTGCAGGGCGTTGGTCAGGGCGTGACCCATGTGAAGAGAACCGGTAACGTTAGGAGGGGGAATAGGAATAACAAAGGAACCCTCGGACTTGACCTTGCCATCAGGGCCAAATTCGGGCTTGAAGAGATCACGCTCCTCCCACCAATCGAGACGGCCAGCCTCGATAACATGAGGATCGTATGCATCGGTGGTCTTTTCCTTCTCGGGCTTGGCCTTCTTGTCGGCCTTGGGAGGTGCGTCCTTGGTGGCAGCAGCCTTAGCAGCCTTGGCCGCTTGCTTCTCTTTAAACTTCTTGTCCTTCTCGGCCTTCTTGCGCTCCTTTTCCACTATAAGCCGTCCAATGTATTAGCGAATGCCCATAGTATCATGGTCCATACGGACGAAAGGGACCAGCTGTCAACCTGGTTGTAACATACACTCCTTCTCGGTCTTCACCTTGGGAGCGGCATCGCCACCCTGGTGCTGGCCCTGGGCGTCCTTTGCGGCGGCATCGGCGATCTGGGTGCGCGTCTGTTCGTCGACCTGAGGGGGTGCGCTGGTAAGGGGAGCCGTAGGCTCACCCGCTGTTCGAGTAACATGCATGAGCTTCTGCGACACTGTAATGAGTCATTGTACTCACTGGGATTTTGGGAGGCAGAGTTCTGAGCCATCCTGGAGAATGCACGATAGTGAGGAGTAAATCTCCAAGGCGCCGATCGCGCCACGAACCGCCGGATAAGTATCTTGAGAGATGGAGAGATACAAGGAGGGGTGGTTGTGCGAAATGCGGGCAATTAAATTTCCACGGTGGGTGAACGAATGAGAGCGCGGGGCTTGGTGGGAGGTTCGGTGCCCAGGTGGAGTCGGACGAAACGCGCTTATATGCAAGAGTCACTCAACTGACGATTATTGGGGTTTTATATTCCTTTTCTGCATGCGCATTGTAATTTGTTTTCTTTTCTCCGCCAGACGTTGCGATAAAGCCCTCACGTGATACGCTGGAGCCAACGGGCGATCTGAGTACCACGATCTATAACTATAGACTTGGAGTACTGGCATGGTCGCATGACATTTTTGGTCTTATATACCGGATTGTCTAGTCAAATTGACATGTTGTAAGAGATAATACTTTGGTTGTCAACGAATAAGGCCCTACACTACGATCTACTTGCATATATCCATCATGTCAAGGTTCTATAGCAGATTTTGGATTTTTTTGGTCATCCACATGTTTCATTCATATGATAGAGTGTAATAAGATGCAATGCATTGTCTTGTAAAAGAGCCCTCCTTGAAAACAATAACTAAGCCAAAGAGCACCCAGCAGAAAGGCCATAACACCAATTCAACTAAGGGAGAAATCAATTAAAAGGAACCCACGAGCAGCGCTATACAAATAGAAAAGATGAA